CTTCGACTAGCAAATTGCCATTTCTCAATTTCTTAACTGTTTTAGCGTTAATCCTACTGAGCCCAACATTGGGACGTGTCAAGGAGGAAACCCAGTCGCCTTGACAGGTCATGGCTACACAAACCAGTATACTCATATTCGCGAGAGACTCTGAGCACCCATTAAACATTTGTTGCCCTTCCCAAATCTTAAGCGTACAAACTGGTATGTTTACAGCCATGTCTAAGTGTTGTAACCTAGGGAAGGTCACTGAACAGAATAATCGCACGAAAGTTGATAATGAACGATAATACTTAAGACACGAACAACACATATGATTCACCAGCAGAATGTAGTCAACAGCTAGAAGTGAGTCAAGTGAATTCCACAATGAATCTCCAAATGCATATCTACCAACTGCTCTATGAAGTCAGATGTGGCACAAGGCTGAATTTAATGTGGGGTATCCAAACCCGTTGGATCAGCCAAAAATTCCCCATAGACCCCGTATAAAATGAGGTCGGGTAGCTGTTTCCCCGAGATGAGACTCTGCCCTTCGACACAGCCTCATCTTGGGATCATCACTACCCAGAGACAGAGAGTTTGACCAGCACAGCTGGAAACAAATCTCTAACTGCAGACCAGCATACAGTATTTACTACTGTATTCACGTGAATGGAGACATACCCATTATCTTCTGTAAGTATCCTACATTAAGTCCAGATCTCTTCGAATGGATTGATCTTCAGCCATCGCCTAACTCCTATAAATTGGATAGAAATGGTATTTTATCCCAGTGTATATTTGGGTTATTGTATTTGATTATAAAGTACTCCATAAATTTACTGGTGCTGAGTTGTCCCAGCACTCAGTCAGTGGTGTTGAGTTGTTCTACACCCTCCATATGAACTTCTTCCCTTTCTTATACTCATACAACACTAAACAGTAACCCTCAATCTTGAGTGGCCCTTCGGCCTTGTATTAGAACATTACTAAAAAATAATTCCTTTCAACCATCAACAATGACTTCATTGTTTTTTAAAATAAAAGTAGTTTCTGTAATGTTTCATTCTTTTGTAAAATTTGCTGATATTCAATGATTAAATTATTTTAAAAATTTGAAAAAATTTAATTCAAACTGTTTTATTCTTTCTGCTCTTGATCATACCTTGATGAAACAAATGATTTAATAATCAAGCAATACATGGAATTATCAATAAACAAATAACATTTAATCGATTTTTATGGAGCCCTTGATACACAATAATTTTCTCTTCGACAGTTGCAACTTGCTGCATGATTACAAAAATATCTTTTAACCGGTTCAGGCCATTTCAGATAATTATCCAATGAAGTAATTTTATGTCCACTTGGACACCCATACTAGGGAATGATGAAAAATTATCTTCAGCTGGTATCTGTAAAAAATTTATGAGAAGACTTAATTTAGAGATACAGGCTTTAGACACAGATAACATCTTCAAAATCAGGTACACATAAATGAAAAGACATTTTTATATATATATATATATATATATATATATATATATATATATATATATATATATATATGAAAGAACAGTAAGATATATAATCCGGTGTTCTTATAGATATTTTTATTTTTACAAATAGTGCTCAATGTAAATTTACAGAGCATTAATATTATAAATCAATTGATTCAAAATATGTTTTTTTTTTCGCTACACAGTTCTAACCATGTTTCAAAAATGGAAGCTAAAAGCTTCGAATTTAATTTAATTACAAAATTAAATTCAAAGCTTTTAGTTTCCATTTTTGAAACATGGTTAGAACTGTGTAGCGAAAAAAAACTTATTTTAAATCAATTAATTTACAACATATATATATATATATATATATATAAGTTAATGATATATTTTTATATATCAAAAGCAATATTGGAGGAAAAATGTATGACAAAGTGGAAAAAGTTTTCTTGTGACATGTTTCGTCCTTTAGGACTTCATTGGACTGCATATGTGGTTAGATTAGAATTTTTTTCCCATTTTTCATTCAATTACCTACCATTAGTCTAATACTATAAGGTTTATATATCATATTCCTCTCTCATATACATATTTTAAAATACATTTTTTTTTCTCGTCACTAGCATTGATCTCTCTTTAATAGTTTTTCTTTTTCACTTATATTCTCTAACACTTAGTAAACGCTTGCAGCTTATTGGTTTTACTATCTTACTTGAAAGGGAAATGATTAAAAAAACATTATATAAAGACAGTTTATGTCTTTCTTTATGTCAATGTTACCAATCTATATTATTTTTCATTTTATTAAATTTAATTGAAGGTCAACATTTTAAAAAAATCTCCATTTCTTAAAGTGTCATAGGAGAAAGCATTAAAAAAATATGGAACAATTACTGTGTTTTTTTTAATGAAAATTATAAGTTAACATAATATAGTTTGAAAGTTAAATCATCTAATAGAAGAGTTTTACCTATTGTTTGGTTGACACTCCTCCCAAGTTTTTTTTTTTTTTTTAACAGGAGTAGAGATTTATCCCTTGTTTCCTGTTTAGGATCAGGTTTCTGGTTCCTTCTAAACTCTACTTTTACATTATACTTCTAACATCTTCAAATGAATTCAGAAATTTTATTCACTAATTAAATCTTGACCTCTTCAGCTGTTATCTTTCCTGCATAGCCCCCAAGAACTTCACTTCTTGCTCTTTCTTACGCTAATACAACTACACACAGTAACTACCTTGAGTGGCTCTTGAGCCTTGTATTGGGTAAATATTAGTAAAAAGAAAAATGACTGAATTTCATGCAGAATGCAATATTCAGGTGCTGAGAAGTGACTGTCCATTACATAATTTAAATTTTAATAAAAGTATCTGATTAATGCAATGTTGGCGCAGTTTATATATGATACAGAGATTAATGATTTAAAAAAAAATTGTCTTTAAAATAGACAGGATTTATATTTAAAATAAACAGGAAGTAATGTTTTTTTCTTTTTTTCAATTTACATCCTGTTTTAAATGCAAAATATTTAAAAAAAAAAAAAAAAAAAAATATACACAGTAATCTAATATATGGACTTGCTGACATTGCATTAACCAGATATTTTTTTTAAATTTAAATTATGAAATAGTCTCTACTCAACACCTGAAGATTACATTGTTCATGAAACTCCAAGTTGTGTTACTGGTGAGGAAAAAATTGTATATTTATTAATATATACTTAATAGCTTTGTTATATTACATCTAGCACTATTTTATCAACACTAGCACTCGATGTGTGATACCGTATATTTAAAATTTATGTATATTTTTATCACTCTAAATGTTATTTTTTTTAAGGAGACATGGGGGAGTATTGGTTAGAGGAAATGGAGAGCCAAGTTTGAGTTCCAGTCAAATCCATCACATTCACATGTGTTAATACCCTTGGGGAAAGGTATGAATTCTCTTCTCCCCAAAGCTATGGGTAAATAACAGGACAGATTGGGTTCTATAGCTTTGGGTAGCAACTGGTCTAGCAGAAGGACAACTCTGAATTCAAAACCTGATCCTCCTACTTGCTTAAAAACTTGATTGTTACAGAAACCACAATATTTGCGGCCCTATGTTTCTCAAGGAATTTAAAAGCTAAGAAAAAAAAAAGTTACTTTTAGTGGATACTAGTTCAGTAGATGCTCCATTTATTTATTAAACAGTATATTTATTTTCATCTACTGGCCTGAATGTTCAAGAAAAATTAATAATAAATATACATTTTTTTCCCCTCATCAGTAGCACAGGAATAAAAAAATGTATATTTATTATTAATATAAATTTTAGCTTTGTTATTATATATCAAGCACAGAAAAATATATTGAAAAAACAAACAAAAATCCTAATATGCGATAATGTTGTTTTAATGTTTAATGTCAACATCAGACGTTTCGGTCTAATAAACCATCTTCAGGACATATTCATAAAACATAATTAACATAGACCATATACAATTCAACATGAAAAAGACGATGAACATAAAAGCAATAACAATCCAAACAGATAACTGAAATCTTTTATAAGATCAGCGTTCCGTTTGAATAAGATCACATCGTCATCATGTGGGCGATGTTGTGAAAACGTATTCCTAAAGATACATACATACATACATACATACATATAAGTTTTAGATCAAAATAAAATTCTTTTCGTTTTTCATTCAAAATACTTAAATTTTAGGAAAAAATTTTAAAAATAATGTTTTATGAATATGTCCTGAAGATGTTCTATTAGACCGAAACGTCCAACATTGACATTAAACATTAAAACAGCATAATCGCATATTAGGATTTTTGTTTGTTTTTTTCAGTATATTTTTCTTCATACTGTCGGATCTATATCCATATATTTGCTTACATATGAAAGATATATAGAAATGTATATTTCAGACTAATAATGGCTAATCAAAGGACAAAATGAAAAAGCTCCTAAGTAATGCATTTTGTGCCAAAAATGGACTTCATCGAATTAATAACAGGTTTTATTGATGGGGTAGGGGAGAGATACAACGAATTACAATTTTACATCAAGAAACATCAAAAGGTACAGCTGAACATCACTGTATCTAAATCAGTGTTTTCTTGTATTTATTTCTGCCCAGCCTTCTATATAAGGAGAAGGCCAATCCAAATCCTACTGAACAACATTACATATTATATAATATATATATAATATAATATAATATATATATATATATAATATATATATATAAATATAATATATATATATATATAATATATATATATATATATATATATATATATATATATATATATATATATATATATATATATATATATATATATATAATATATATATATATATATATATATATATATATATATATATATATATATATATATATATATATATATATATATATAGTAGCACATGGTGAGTGCAGATGGTAATAAAAAGTGCTCCATGTATGATAATAGAGCAAATATTAAATTTATCTATCAGTCAATTCATATCTATCACATACAGATAGGAATAAACTGAAATAGAGAGAGATGTATAGATGAAAATAGATAGAAAAGATAGAGAGATATAGATGTATAGACGAAAATAGAGAGAAAAGATAGAGAGATATAGATGTATAGACGAAAATAGAGAGAAAAGATAGAGAGATATAGATGTATAGACGAAAATAGAGAGAAAAGATAGAGAGATATAGATGTATAGACGAAAATAGAGAGAAAAGATAGAGAGATATAGATGTATAGGCGAAAATAGAGAGAAAAGATAGAGAGATATAGATGTATAGACGAAAATAGAGAGAAAAGATAGAGAGATATAGATGTATAGACGAAAATAGAGAAAAAAGAAGAGATGAAAAGAGATAGATGAAAGCAATAACTATTCCCACAATGCAATTTGCATAAATCTTTTCCACCTGTAACAATATATTCTGTTGTCTCATTCTTTTTATTAATAAACTTCACTGTAGCTTTCATTTTGTTCTTCTTCATTTGAATCAACTTTCTTGTCTGCTTCTTCCATTTCCTGAAAAAGTGAAGAAAAATGAACTAATAAGACTTACAAAACAGAAATTTATATAATTAATTATTATCTTAGCAAGGTAGCAAAAATTTTACAAGAATAAAATTCATGTAATCTTTAATCTTATGCCATTAATTAAAAAGTAAATGCTTTCCAAGCCTGCAGTAGTCATGGGTATGACAACAAAATACATCCAGAAGTAAGGCCTCTGTTGGGAGATTGGAGGTTTTGAGGAGCATAGAACCACCTCCTAATTGCTGGAGTGGTAGCACCTGTTAGGGTTCTAGCTATGGGCAAATAGTGAACCCTCAAAAAAGAAAAAAAAAATACTATATTTTGTTCCTCCTTGTTGCACATTGCTAGCAGAGCAGCCATGTTTACAGTGTAACAGCAGCAAGAAAACTGGCATGTTCCAGCTCAAACTGATACCAACTATGAGCACACATGAACAAAGGCAGGGTGACACACTTAAAAATATGTTATGGTGAAAGTGCAGATAATTTTTTTTACTGGATTTCATATATGCTATGTTTTTTCCTATAAATACATACCTGTTAGGAGTTTTAATCTATAAGTTATAATAATAAAATGATCTCATATATATAAGTTATAATAAAAAATGTTCTCATATATATAAGTTAGTTACAGTAAGAGATTAACAATAACTAATAATAAAATCGAACAATATACTGTAATAAATGTTATGCCAGATACAAGGTTAGATTTTATAAACCTTAGACACTTCAGCAGATGATTTTTTTTTCTTTGCTAATCAAGTTGAAAATAAGTTTCATTTAAAGCAAACATTACACAGCTTCTCTTTGACATATCTGAATTCTTACTTTGAAAGATCTGAATCATTATTAAATAAAACTTATAAATTGTTTATACCTGCAGTTGATTGTGCATAAATAAAACCATAGAAATATCCTTGCCCTGTCATTGGGACTTAGAATATGGCAACTGTATTCACTGTTAACTTTCCAGTTTGATACTTGTTGACACAAGTAAACCCAACCAATATCTATTTTCCCTAATGCAAATCAGAATTGTGCCCACATTTTTTACTCTAATGCAAACCAGACCAATGCTTATCAATCTATTAATTCATTCTGATTTTTATCCAATAAGAATTCTATTCAATAATAAATAAGTCAATAAGGTTTAAGATGTCATTAAATTAATCTAAATGCAGAAAGATAAAGGGAGACAACTGTGTAAAGAATTCCCTCATCATCACAATAAAATTATATGCAATAAAGGGAATTTCGCCTTGCTTTTTCATAGTATTTTACTTTTCAAAGTGGCAACACCTTTCCCCAGCCCCCACCCACCCCCACTTCCTAGACAGAAAAAATTAAACACAAATTTTGTACAAAATATAAATTGAAAACCTCATGCAAAATGTCACCTGGAGAAACTTGTAAGCAGGGGTTATGAAAACACAAAACCAATTCAATAGGGCCTTATTATCCAAGGCTGATAGATTTTAAAACAACCACTACCTCCCGCTCTACCTTGCAGATTATGAATTCCAAGACTAATATCAAGCCTTAGACATAAACTAAGACAGGTTCAAAATTTTAAATGCAAAAATGAACCCTATTTTGAAAGATTTAATTAAAATTTTACAGATTTTTTCATACATTTTTTATTTCTTGTTAGTGCATCAATATGGTAAACAACCCTTACCACATCACTCAGCTGTTCCTCTTCTTCCTCAGACATCACTTCATCTTCCTCTTCGGGTTCTGGTTCCGCTTCTTGAGCAGCTGGAGATACTGTACTTGACTGGGTACGGATCTCCTCTCCCTGTAACAACACATAAATAACATTCACAGTTTTACTGAACAGTTGTACAATGTATTATTGTCAGACATTACAAGATTAAAAAGGAAGTAATCAAAAGAAAATAATGTTAGACCTTGAAAGTATGTCCTCATCCAAAAGAAAAAATAAGAAAAAAAAGTTATGTTACTGCAATCAATAAGGATAAAAGAATAAAATTATCAGTGAAATATTATTAAAAAGGTTTGAATGATAAACGATAGAAATCAACAATACTGAACAAATAGAGATAAACAAAACAAACATTACAACTCAAAAGGCATTTTCTACAATTTCAAAAATTACGTCCTCTTTCATAAAAAAAGAAAAATATTACACTTAAATATGAATATAGAATTAGTCATGTCAATACAATGAATTAAACATTCCTAACAATTTCTAGTCACAATAGACAAACTTAATAAGTAAACTTGCTAAAACACTTATTCAAAAAAAAAAAAAAAAAAAAAAAAAACAATCAAACTTGTAATTTTGGACTTATCTTAAAACAAATAAAATATAGTGTAACCCGGATATAAGAGAGATTTTCTCTGGTCCCAAATTAGAGCCTGTGTTAATGTATATAAAATAGACCAAACCCGGATATAAGAGACTTCTTCTCCGGTCCCGACAACTCTCTTATGTCTGGGTTACACTGTAATAAATTAATAATTAAATACTGTAAATCTCTCTATATGTAGACCCCATAACCAATCAATGGGTAGTGCATTAAAAAACATATTTGTTGTGAAAATTCAACTGTCATATCAATGTTGAAATCTGCTCATCAATTCATTTAATCAAGAATTGCATCAAATACATTTTAAGCTGTTTTTGTACAAACCTCCCATTGAAATTTTTTCCCTTTGATTTAAATTAAATTCAAAATTTGAACAAGGGAATGACTTCTATCCAAAATATAGAAGGAGAAAGACAGAAGATGGAGGTCACATCAGCAAGATCATTGAGTAATATGGAAATGCATAGTTTTTCTCCACAAATTATGACAATAATTTAAAATCACCCATTGTTTTCTTACAAAAAAATGTGTGACATGCAGTGAGGCACAGGTGATTTAGCCTTGCATAATAATATTACAAAATTATAATATAATAAAGAAAGAAAAATATTATTTAAAAAAATGGATAATTAAAATAAAGACCTCCTTTTCAAAATACAACTTCACTTTCTTTGAGCAATAAAAATAAAAACACGTCCGTTCACTCTAACATCAGCATCTAAATTTAAAGTTTTGGTTGCTTCTTTTTGGGGTTTTTTTAACTATTGGTTCCATAAAAAATTTCATACTTTATTTATATTTCAAATATTTTTAGCAACAATAAAAAAAATGTTCTCATATATTTAGTGATAATTTTATACTTTTATTCTTTTCTTATATATTGATACCATGGTAGAGGACTGCCATGTCCCAGTGATTTCAAGATCAAAGCTGTCTGGAGTTTCAACTCCTGAAGAGTCACCCATGGCAGTAAGGTCAAGGAGAAGGGACCAAAATGAATGTGATCAACTTACAAAGACCCCAATGGCAAAATAGGCAAAGATCTACAAAATCTCAACAGCTGAACTGGTGGAAGAAGGCAGCAACAGTCAGGCTGACGTGACCTTCACAGACCAAGCATCCAACAGCCCAATGCAACCAGGTTTGCCAGATCTTGCCTGCCTCAATCCTGTTTAAGCCATGAAGGAGGCGCTTCTGGCCAAGCATGTGTGCTTGTCCGCCAAAATCAAATTCATACAAATGACCTCATCAAACTCTCTTTGACTACTCTTCAGGTGTAGACTGAGCCTTCACAGCCATCTTCACCACTGCCACCAAAGGGGAGAAAGCCATCTCCACCACTGCCACCAAAGGGAGAAAGCCATCTCCACCACATCTCCACCAAAGGGGGAGAAAGCCATCTCCACCACTGCCACCAAAGGGGAGAAAGCCATCTCCACCACTGCCACCAAAGGGGAGAAAGCCATCTCCACCACTGCCACCAAAGGGGAGAAAGCCATCTCCACCACTGCCACCAAAGGGGAGAAAGCCATCTCCACCACTGCCACCAAAGGGGAGAAAGAGAATATAAGGAAAGAGGATGATGATCCTGATGCTCAAATGCAAACAGGTACCAACTACAAGATTAAACATTATCACCATTCCATTGCAAGAATTCTATCACAAGTGAAATAATATTTTAGTCAGTGTATCATAAATTAGCATAAACTGATTACATATAGCCCGATGTTTTTTTTTGGGGGGGATCTGACTTCTGAATTACAACTGCCTGAAATAATCTTTTTCACTGATTGTTCCCAATACAAGGCCCAAGAGCCATTCAAGGTAGAAGGTTACTGAATAAGATCGTTGGAGGGACTAAGAAGTACAGATTATGAGATATAGGAAAGATAACAGTTAATGTGAGACTTGAAGTGGTTAAGATTGTGGTGATCAGAGATCTTCCTTCTTACTAATGGAATACAGAGGGAATGGGGATGATTCATCCCAATGTACATGGCATGGTGGCTTTTACTTTTTACAATATGGACTGGTGGAACTAATGAATGCAGCTTGTCAGAAAATTCACCATGGAAATAGTGATAGAGTAGCAACATTTCATCTGTGGGAAAGGGGTTGTACAGTGGAAAATAATTCATCACCCACAAGGCCGTGAAGATGCTTTTAAACTTTATTAAATAATATACCAAAAGAAGATTAAAGGATACATAAGTTTAAATATAGCTTAATATAATTAAATAAAGAATATTACCCATCTTATTTGAATGAATCAGTATCATTAATTTCCCAAAATTTCTTTTTCTTATTCGCATACCTTTTCTTTCTTTCTTATTCGCATACCTTTTCTTTCTTTCTTTCTTAATAACATACCTTTTCTTTCTTTCTTTGTTTCTTATTCACATACCTTATCTTTCTTTCTTATTCACATATCTTTTCTTTCTTTCACAGACTTTCTTATTTTCATAATCTGACATTATTTTAATGTTCTTATTTTTTCAAGATTCATCTTTGAAAATGAAAACAAAATTATTCAAAAAATAGACAAAAATTTTTTACTAACCATTAAATCTCGGTTTTTAAGAATTCCTATCATGTAACCTTCTTCACATTTGTTAATAGACAGCATCTCTTTCACTCTCAGCATTAATTGTTCCAAACTCTTTTTGACCAAGGGAATTTGGTTGGTGAGTAACACACTTTTCACAATCTATAAAGAACATAAGGTTAATAATGACAGATCAATCACTTTGTTGTGTTCGTGTGTGTGCGTATTTATTTGCGTCAAATAAGAATGAACACGCAACTAAACTTTTATACATTAATTTATTATTGGTAAACAATTAGATGTAAATATGGCCAGTCAATTACTGGTGGATTAAGATTCTGTGAGGAAATATGAGGGAATGCTTGACAGCCATATTGAATTCCTTCCTTTTCCCTACCTCTGCTTTCTAGTGTTATGATCAAGGGGGCATAATTTCAGTCCATCTAAGGAGTGAGTTAACTACCTTGGTTACTGACCTACCATCCTAACACCTCTCCCTTGAAGTGTGATGCTTGTAGGATGTGTGACAAGGATCTACCTGCAGAGATGTGGTTAGTGCGTGCTTGCAATTTGTCTTTCTTGTGCCTTCTTCTTGAGCCTTTGGTTGTTTATTAGATTTCACTTGAAAATTTTGAGGAAGTTCAAACATGTCCAATAAAATATCAGGTGGAATGATGCCGTCATTTGATTTGGTCTTTTGAAGGTGGGAAGGGCATAACTGATTGTATGTCTAACCCAGATAGATGACTGCACATCAACATCATATATTCAGCCAGTAGACATAACTGTGTGCTAAGGATTTCATTCAGTTTATTACCTGATGTCCATAATGGAATATTACTGCATGTGCTTGAGCTCTTGTTAAAATCTCATCGCCGGTGTTGTGTTCATATTGATTTGTCAAATAAGAATGAACATGAAACTCAAACTTTTATACATTAATTAATTATTCATAAGCAAATATCTAACTATGGCCAGTCAATTATTGGTTGGTTAAGATTCTGTGAGGTTTGTTTAGTTTGTTTAAAGGCATATCAACTCCTTATGGATCATTTAATGCCAAAGTTTTATTTTCTTGTAAGCTTTGGTTGTAGTTGGTTCACATATTTTTATAATCTTGTCAAAATAAAATTATTCTTGTAAATAATCAATCTAATAAATAAACAGTAATTAATATTTTTGTTGTTAATTTTCAAGAACAAAGAAAATGTATAAATCCAGTATCATATGTTCAGGTTTTATAAAAATTCTAAAAATATCTTTAAAACAATATGGGTCTGTTGATCCAGGTATCCTTCATGGAGTGTAAAATTTAACCTTTTCTTTAATCTAAGGGGGCAGATTGTTCTTGTCTTGCTATCCATGTCTAGGGATATCTCACTTATTTAGGTATTGCTCACTCTGTTTCCACCCAGTCTAAGTGGGTTAGAACTCACAATTCTTCTGCAGCCAAATTAATGAACTTTTAATCCTCCAGTTTGTTCCTCATGAAAAAACAGAACAAACAAAAAATGAAGAAGGCCATAAGGCAAAACAGCTGAAACATTGAAATAATAACAACAAAGACGAAGATATTAGTCTGAATGTAAATAATGCTGAAAAGATATTTGGAAAATTGTAAGCGATCTGGAATTGCAAACAAAATATGTGTCACAGATTACTTCCACATTACAGAAAATAAATCACTAAGTTCAGACTCGAACATCGGGGGCAGAAAGAAATGCTGAAAAATCGATTTGCAGGTACTATCTCACAAATCACAATGCACACAACCAGTCAAAAAATTAACTCACTCTCCAACAAACGTGGTAGGCAAAATACCCAAATTGTCACCGATTCAAGAACACCAACTGCTTTTATCGGCCAAGCATTTTTCCCATTCATTGACAGCTTGGAGAAAACGCTCAATTTTTGCATATCAAAATACTTTTATAGCGACTCCAGCAACAGATTTTTTTTTTTTTTTAATTTAAATATTCCATCTTCAGCATGTCATGCAGAATACGTGCCCTTTTCTTTGGTAAGTAATTTTCTTTTTCGCCACATTTTCCGTCGTAGGATACACACGATGTCACTTGGTTTGACTAGGTAAGTCACCGTTTTCTTCACTATAAAAATTTCAAAAAAAATTTTGCATTTATGATCATGCATGTTTGATATGGTTTACTCTTCTGAGTTAATCTGAGAAAAAGTGAAGCTGAAGCTAGACAGTGAATTACCAAGGCCTATAGCGATGATACAATAGGTGCAAGTATGTTTCAGTCTGACAGAGATTTGAGATTATGGACAAATAACACTTGGGGTAAACTTCATAATATGAAACCTGATGCATTGGAGAAGCTTTTAAAAGAAAGTGTTAAGAAATAGGAAATTCTTAAAAATTTAAAGAAAGCAATGTTTGAAATCATATATGTATTTTGAAATTAAATAATTTAAGATAATATCAGAAAACACAATATAGGAGCCTCCTCCAATTAACTTAGTTAATGTGTCTTCAAAAGTAGCATGCTAATTGAAAATGAATCAATTCAAAACACTAAAAGAAATAATGTAATTAATTCTGAACTGCAATTTTTAAAAAATAAATTTTTAATAATTTAAAGACAATTTTCAAACCCATAATAGCAAAAGACAATGCTTCATTATTATAAGTTTATTGAAAAGAAAAATGCTTTGCAGGGCTGGATTATGCTTTCAGCTAGTATAGGATAGGCTGCAGACTAGAACCAGATTATCCTTTAAGCTTGTATAGTCTGCAGCGTAGTGACCCTCAAGCTTTTATAAAGCAACTAGCAGTAGAGCCCAGCATTGCCCGGGGATGTAACAGTAAGAGATAGATCAAGTATCGACCATCATAAAGACTGAAAAATAAAATTGACAAAGATTATTGTTTAAGGTTGATGGACACGCATGTCTTAATTAGTTTTTTTTTATTTTTTTTTTTTTTGTTTTTTTTACGAATTGGTCAAACCCAAACTCAAACAAAAACGTTGATTTCAATTGTTATGAGTCTACCGATTGAATAGAATTTTATTATAAACAATTGTCTTGCAAATGGAATTTTTAAAGCATTCTGAATGTAAAAATAAAGAAAAAAGTGTGAAAGACAATAAGAAACACTACCTGCCAAAAAAAAGTGAAGTTTTGTTGAAATCGGTTGAAAAATTTAGGAAATCCAATCCCATATATAAATGAACACACACACACAAACAACCTGGGTTTTATAAGTATAACTCGATATGAGTTGTCCTCCTTTCATTCTGGTGACAGAATTGTGTTTTATCGTGTTTTCAAATCAATTTCGTACAAAAACAATCATGTTTTTCCAATTTTTGGCGCTGTCAGAACCACCGCAAGGTAATTTTACGTAGTCCTGTGAAATTTTGTTGAAATCGGTTGAAAAATGTAGGAAATCCGATCCAATATATAAACGTACACACACACACACACACACACACAATCTGCATTTTATAATAAGTAAGATCATTTTAATTTTGCAGATGTTATAACTTCTAAATAGTTTCATAAACTGAAATGATATCAATATGACAAACTTATATTCATTGTGATTGTTTTATTGTTATAATGCTGGTTATAAAAAATTTTTTTTCTTACTACAGTTTAGTTGAAATATGTGTTAATTTGGTTTGCAATAAATAGTGGTATTTCTTAAAAAGTATTTTCTATTGACAAAAAAAAGATAGCTAGTTTATTTAAAGACTTTGCACTAAGTTACTTCAAACTATGAAAATTTCACTAAAATATATCACAAGTAAAATCATTCAAGACAGGTATGGGTGAATCCTACATGGTTCAGAACAGCCAAATTTATTAAAATATGAAAGCAGCTGTGTGCCAATACTATAGAATTTTTTTTTACATTTACTATAAATTTTTATAGTAATTTTTTAATTTAAAAGTCTATTTTCTGTTCAATAAACTTATAATTTCTAGTCTTTTAGGAATTTGAGCAAAGTGTTCCTCTCTAAGAAGGTTGCCTTACCAAGTTAATGACCCCTTCTTGGCCAAACGACCTTGGACTATGCTCTACTGGTGGTCAAACCAGTAGATTTACAAGTCACAGAGTATTAAACAAAAAGGATGCATCTACGAACTCAAGCCTTCATTCTAGTCAGGAGACTAGGTATAGAGATAAAATTTATTTTATCACAAACTAAATTATTTTTCATCAGATTTTAATGACCGCGTTAAACAAACTTTTAAATAAAAAATGGTACCACTCTTCATTGGGGATTCCTTAATAAGTAGAAAAAAAAGCGAAGGCAAAAAATGATATGGGGAACAACTCTAGAATATAACAAAAGGGAGATAACTCACTTTAGAATGTCCACAGATATGGTGAAGAGACCTTGTGCTCAACTGCATGCTTTTTAACAATGCCTGAATATTCTCATACTGACTTCGATATAACTGGTCCAACAACGGCATTGCTTGAATCGTGAAAGCATCCACAAAGACGCGGCCAGTCTGTTGGTAGAGAAAAAAAGAATATATGTTAAAGTTCATTTACATGCTGTTATTTTTCATTGATGGTAAAATGTGTACATTTTTTAAAATCATTTCACTCCAAGCAAGATGATAAAGCCAAAAACGCAAAGGAGGAGTGGGGAGGTACCAAAAATGAATGACAAGAGTGAAGGAAACTGAGAAAACGTTATTGAGGAGAAAAGACAATGAAAAGAACAGGATTCAAGCAGACAGAAAATGAGGAGTGATTTTTGCATTTAAATGTTAGGTTGTAGTTGACAGGAAAAGCTGCCAAAAAAAAGTGAAGTTTTGTGAATTTCACAAGTGGGAGAGGCAACTGTTAACATAAAATTTATGGTTACACTTAGCAATTTCAACAATGAAACTATGAGACCTAGCTGCCAATCTAGTACTGCATTTAAATTTATGATGTCAAAATATCAGAGATAAGCTCATCAGAACAAATAAGATGAAAATATTTAAGGAAAAAAGGAACAGGGAAGCTACGTTATAACAGTGGAAAAGTGTCTGAAGCCGAGATACCAGGTGAGAACCGATAATAATGCAGATTCTTCTTTGGATTTTGTCCAGAATCTCAAGTTACATAGAAGCACCAAACCAGATGTGGCAGCAATATTCTACGCACAGACGGATGATAGATTTATAAAAGCGCAAGACGTCATTTGTGGACCAAACATAATTTGCACAGACTTACGGAAATATTTTTCTTTTTTCAGAGTTAAGAGAATTACCAATACAATATATAAGTATCTTTTAAACACTTTTTTTTTTCTTCAAATCATTTCACCCCAAGCAATGTGTTGATGCCACTAAGACGCAAGATGTTACTGAGGGTGAAAAAGAATGGGAAGATATTAGTAAGGGAAAGGACAATAAAAGAACATTCAGAAAGACAGATGGCATTTGACAGTGCATTTAAATTTTTCAAAGATTGTAGGTGGCAGTGTAGCAAGAAATCAGAAGAGAGTTCCACAGATGAGAAGTTCAAGAAAAGAAACTATTGGAATAAAACTTAGTTACACCTAGCTTGTTCAACAGTAAAACAATGAGACCTATCTAGTAGTACACTTAAATTCACATAGTCAGGTTACCAAAAAGGAGAGCTCATTAGAACAACTGCTATGAAAATATTTATCGAAAAGACAGAAAAACCACGTCACATCAATGGGATAGCAACTGAAGCCAAGATGCCAGGTGAGGAAAAAGCAAAGCATGACTTTTTACTTTTTTTTTTTTTTTTTTTTAAAGGCCCAAAATTATATAGAATTTAATTTTCATCATAATCTTTCAGGCCCCAAATCATTTTCATTTTTCAATGTGTTCCAAATGTAAGGAACAAGTGCCATTCAAGCAGCTTTTAACCACCCCAAGAACTGCAACTTGCCATATTTATAAGTAGAAGCAGTCCATTGTTGTGGTAGTGGGGAAGAGCAGGAAGTACGCAGAGTCCTACTCTGCAATATAAAAAAATCATTTTGTTTATCTTATCAATTAAATAAAACAGTAAACACTGAAATGTATACCCAATTATATCAGATGGCCAGTGATCCTAACAGATGTTTCACCCACCCTTTGAGAGGTCTTGTTTTTAATCCTATCTGGTGTCTAGCCACCCTCCTCACTAGAAAAGCCTGGTGGGGGAACCAGTTTAGTTGCTGATGACCTGATTATGCAGCAGATATTGCTGGGTTACATTGTACCATCAACACTTGTAGAATGACACAACATAAAATGGCAAAATGAATGAAAAAAAAAAAAAAAAAAAAAAGAAAGAAAGAAAGAATCACTCACCTTCAAAACTGTCCCTATGTTTACAAGGGCATCAAATCTCTGTGGAGAGAAATTATTGGTTAAGTTAGGTTGATTTTATGACATGTCAATTTTTGTATGAGGCACCTAGTGAGGATAAAATTCACTACTCAATCGTAATGGTTAGCTAGACTTGTCTTACTAATCATTACTCCACACCACACATTCAAAATTTTTCTTCAGACAATTGAACCACTTCTTTGTATCTTTCATATTGTTAAACTGGTGACATAATGCAGCTCTACTATGATTGGGACATTCTCATGGAAGAGGATGGCAAATGATTTTATCTTAGTCTTAAATGTCTTGTATTTTTCTGACCAGCAGTTAAGTCTGTGAAATTGCATCTTTAAAAGCAGCCACTCACTTAACCAAAATAAAATAGATAAATATATGAAAACTTTTGGGATAAAGTAGTACTTGGTTGGAAGTTACAAATTTCCATTCACAAGCTTGTATAAAGTCACATTTAAAAATCCAGGCCACCCATTACTGGGATCACTCTGTCCATCAAGAGTAGCTAGCTGCATATTGTAATGTAGATATGGGCAAAGGGGTGGTAAAAGATAGTCAGAGTTCTTACTGGTTGAACAGAAATGCTGAGTTGCTAGTCTGACATGGCAGAATATGTCAAAAATACCACCTAACTATTGTCTCTCTAGACCATGCAAGTAAATCCATGATTAAACAATCAGATATATTGGAAACACACACACGCACACACACATATATATATATATCTCTGATGAGTAGACGGAGTAATTCCCGGAGGGTCCATTACAAAACAATGGAGTCATGACACTGAAGGTAGCATCAATCAGCTAAGTGACAAACGTTGTACTTGTATTAACTCTCTCTCTCTATCTCATATGTATGTGCGTGTGTGTGTCTGTAGTTTTAAATTTTCTTCTATATTTAAAATAGACATGTTCTCAATATCAGAAACCTGACCATTTATAGTTATAAACAATGTAGACACAAGAATTAACACAGTTTAGTAATTAAAGAAATTCAAACACTTAATAATAATTTTGCTCTGTCTTTTTACATAGAGCTCTCCCTGGATCTATCCATATCCTACTGGAAATTCCATACAAATTACTATATTGTATCATTACTATATATATATATATATATATATATATATACACACGCACACACACAATTTATATATGTAGATTCATCAGGTGTATTTTAGTTTCTGCTGGTATATATTTATTTTTATAGATAAAGAAAACTACTTACTTTGATGAAAGTTATCAAAACATGGAAGATGCGCACAGCCCAATTCCACTGAAGAATTTTCTCTTTTCTAATCTGAAAACAGGACAAATTTTAAAGAATTAACAAACAGAACTGGGCATTTTCCTGAAAAAACTATACAAGGACTAATCAAAAAGTATCAGGACTTGTGCGATAAAAAGAAAACTACAACACATCAATTCGGCATTTAGACTCCTTTGAAGTAGTCCTCATTCTGAAGCCACACACTTTATCCAGTGTTGTTTCCTTCGATGGAAGCATACTTGGAACTCTTTTTTTGGGATAGCAAGCAGCTGCTGCATCAAAATTCTCTTGGATTTCCTTTGACATCTTAAAACCTTGTTTCTTGGTTATTGGTTTTGATTTTTGAAGAGGAAAAAGTAACAAGGAGGGAGATCTGAGGAATATGGTGGTTGTCAAACCATGGGAATGTTGTACTTGGTCAGAAACTGCTGCACTGATGGAACCTCTGTGGTGTGATGACCACACTTGACACAATTTCTTTCCAAACAATGCTATAAACAACAGAGGTGAGCAAGTATCTTATAACTTAGTGAGTTCAAGGTCAATCTGTGCTAAGTAGCTTCACTCTGTGTACTGCAGCTTCATTACTATAGCAACATTCCCAATACATATTTTCAGACCTTATAATAAAATTGAATAAAAACATATGACAATAGATCAATTGTACATTACAATTTACAACCACACCTCAGAACAATGTAACATTTGCCTAGAGGAGACAACTACTCGTTTTACAGAACAATATAAACTCCAGTATCTGTCTATATTTCTGAGATGAGGTATTATGTACACTATCTACAATATTCAGACAATATTCCTTATCTTTGTTGCCATATTTATCACAATGTTTCGGCCATTGTACACTTTGGCCTTCTTCAGGTGGTTGGAATGTCAAACTAACACCTTTTTCCACTGTGGAAAAAGGTGTTAGTTAGATCCAGTGATAGGTCCCAAAGAGTGTGAGTTCATTACCTTGTTAAGGCAGTGGAGAACTTGGAGAGAGGAATTAACAGGAGATAACTGATAACTGAAATCCATTAGACATGGCACGTTGAACTAGAACAGTCTACCCTAGAGGGCGAAATAAAGGGTTCAGTTCGACATTCCAACCACCTGAAGAAAGCCAGAGTGTACAACAGCCGAAATGTTGTGATAAATATGGCAACAAAGATGAGGACAATAGTCAGAATATTGTAAATAGTAAATATAAACTCCTAAACAAAAAATAAGGGATTATTTACAAATGGACATACAAAAGCAAATACTTACTATGCTACAAACAACCACATCACAACTCTAAAAACTAAAGAATAACTTAATTAAAATTAATAAACTTCATTTCAAATACCAAATTCTAGAACTGAAGGAAGTGCACAAAAGAAATAAAATAAATCAAATATTTAAATATTTTATATACACTTAAGTATACCATCTCCTGTGGAAAAAGTTATTTTATTTAAACATGCATACAATATATTTAATAAACATACAAAAACAATTAAAATAACACATAGAAATATTTGATACATCCTTTCTGTTTAACAGCTATATATGACATCAGCTTGAACCAATTCCAATTCCAGAAATCTAAAAATGCCAGGATTTAGTCAAAAACTTATTTACCATACTGACGACACCCAATGCTTAATAAAGACTGATATAGTCAAAAATATTTGAATATAATTAGAAAAAAAAACATGAACTTTGGGCAATTTATTCATAATTTTAATCCCAATATACAACATTTCATTCAGAAATTGGCAAAATATAATAAAACATTAAATAGACATACTTTGTTGATTGAATTTAACAAAACATGTGTGTGTATGGACATGCGGTTAGAACATTTGCTTTCTGACCATGAAACCTGGGTTCGAATCTCACCAAGGTCGATTTGTCAGGAAGGAGACTTCCTGATGTTATCGGACTGGATCGAGGTCGATCCCAGCATGCGGCATCTTTGAAAAATGCCTGAAAAACATACTACAGGTTGACCCAAGACTTGTGAATGAAATTGAGTAACAAACCCATTCTACTAAATTGCTGTAACTTCCAACAAACCTGAAACAAACTTTACAAATCAGATAACATAAAAGGATCTATTTGAAAATACCAATCCAAGCAACATCATAAATTTCATTAAAGAAATTAGACTCTACAGGAAAATATTAAAAAAAAAAAAAAAAAAAAAAAAAAAAAAAAGAAAAGAAACAGTTTACTAAATCTGCTTACCTACATGGTTTTGTAACCAATTTTTAAGGGAAAAATTATTTTCAGCAATACATTTTTGAAGGAAAAATTATTGCCAGCAATACATTTGACTTGACAAAATACTCTTTACAAAATATGTCAATGAAACCTGATCTACAAAATGATATTCCTTACAAAGAATACATACTCTATTCATACAAACCTATCTGAAAATTCTTGTCAGCATTAAATAACCGTTTGCTTTGTTTTGTTTGTTTTGTGGCATATCAACCTCAATGGGTCATTTAATGCTGACAACTTTTTTTTCCGGGTAATATTTTTGTTTTGTCAAAAATCTATTTCTATTAATATATTTTTCCTCAAAAATGTATAGCTGGTAATATTATTTTTTCAAAAACATATTGCTGGTAATAGTTCTTTTTTCAAAAACATATTGCTGGTAATATTTTATAATGCTTTTTACCTCAGGTTTAACTATTTGCCCATAGCTGGGATCCTAACAGGTGCTACCACCCCAGGTCAGGGTGGATCTGAGAACACCAGCAATTAAGAGGTGGTTCCACACTCCTCAAAACCTCCTGATCAGAGGCCTTGCTGTTGGACGTAGTTTATTCTTATAACCAGGACAGAAATAATCGTTTGAGGTTGATATGCCTTTAAACTAAATAAACCAAAACCAAACCTCAAACACACATCCTTCTGTTTCATAGAATTACTATGTCTGTCCCATAATAGTTATTACATTTAGTGTATGAAATGTGTATGCAAATGGAACAATTATTTTGGGACACTAGCAGTAATTCTATGAGACACAAAATCCTAAACATTTACTATGTCCAGTAATCATTGTTACATTTAGTGTATGAAATGTGTATGCAAATGGAACAATTATTTTGGGACACTAGCAGTAATTCTATGAGACACAAAATCCTAAACATTTATGTCCAGTAATCATTGTTACATTTAGTGTATGAAATGTGTATGCAAATGGAACAATTATTTTGCATTGTGCAACGATATAGTTGGTCACCAAATTTATAGTTTATAATTTTAACTGTTGCAAACACTAATCATGAGTAAAAGAAAGAGTTATGAAGCAGGTTTTAAATTAAAAGTACTAAATTAGGCAGAAGAACATGGAAATCGATCAGCAGAAAGGCAGTTTGGAGTTTCAGGAAAGGTTGTCAGAGGACAGAAAGCAGAAAGATCAGCTTAATGCTAAAATCAAAGAGAGCAGCAAGCTATTCAGTATCTCCAAATCAAAATATGGAAAAAGAATTGTATGACTGGGTTGTGGACATAAGAAATAACGGCCTTATTGTAACAAGACATTTTCTTCTGCAGTTATTTCTTTTTTTTTGTCAAGTTAACTCGATACTTCCTTTTGTTTACATGATGATTGACGAAATATATTCTAACTGCAAAAGTGTATTAATAATTGTAAGTTTTGACATAAAGGTAGAAATAAAAGGTACATATCTGATAATTCTTACATTTAAAAAGGGTTGTGCAATTCCCCAGATTATAGTGGGACCTATCTGCAAGTTAACAGTAAATCATCAATTATTAAGCCATAAAGTAGGGGGGTGACCTATCCGGTGAGGCGAGCTATACTCGAGTATATACAGTAGACAATAAAAACAGTTGTTATTAATCTAATGTTAATTGGAAGAAAAAAAAAATACAAACTCACCTCATACGATTCATCCTTCTTGCCAGCAGAAATCGTTTTAACAACAGCCACCAGCTCGGCAAATGACACTCGATAGAATGTGGGAAACGATGATCTGTACGAAGAGAAAAATGACATGATTAATGCAGATTTTATAAGCATAATATGTAATCATTTACAGATCTCTCAGCATTTAGACTAGTATTTCTCAGCATTTTTTACTTTGAGGCCCCCTTGTAGTAAAACTCTGGAGGACACTTTGATTTTTAATAAGGAAATATTAGTCAAGAAATCAGAAAATAGGAAATTTTGATTTAGTGTTCCCAAAGAAAATTAGCAGTACAATTTCCATATAAACGTATTCATAAAGAATATGCTATTTATTTATTTTTTTAAAAGGTCGATAATTTTTTTTTTTTTTTTTTACAATAAGGTTCACTCTGTACAAGGCCACTTGAGGTATACAGTTATGTTAAAGAGTAATTCATATGGATTGGAGGGGAAGATAACAGTGAACAGGTTAATATTGGAGTGGTTGGAAAATCATCCCCTTCGGAGTCTGTTCCACAGAGCAATGGTTCACAGGAAGAAGTTGTTTGAGTGGAACTTACTTCTCACCAATGGAATACAAAGGGAATTTGGGTGGTTTGCAACTATGAAAGTGGCATGGCGGGTTCTTGCCATGAAGGTTAGACCTGGTGGAACCAAGAATGTAGTTTGTTAAGCACTTTCCATGGAAATAGCAATAGACAAGTGAGAGACTCACCACATCCCACCTGTGAGAGAGAGAGGTTAAAAGGTGGAAAATAATTCTTCTTTAACAAGGACTTGAAGATGCTTTTGAACTCAAGACTAGAAAAGTGAGGAGTGGGCAGCTCCCACCCACATATATGACAACAATAATCCATTTTCAGTCTAATCTTGCTCTTATAAAAATAGAGGACAGCATGAGGATATGTCTGATTTAAATCAGAAGGCAAAAGGAAAAGGATTATCCACTCCTTAAAGATTAAGGAATTTAGCATCCAGTTTAAAATATCAAATAAAGACTTGACTTAGACATGGAAGCCATGTGCTTGGTGTTTCTAGCTTTTAAAAATAAAAGTTTTTTTAAATATAAAAATAATTCATAAATTATTCTACTGTTAAATTATAGCATATTAGTGTGCCCGTGCATATCAGTTGCAAAAAACCGTCTTAGACTGTAAATTTCTTTTAAAATAACTGAATGATTTTATTTTCTATACGATTGAAATCAGATGAATACCATAAATTCTAAATTAAATTTATCAAAACTTCTTTGATAATTCACAAAGGAACTGATTTAACAAAAAAAAAAAATAAATAAAAATAATGTTCTTATTGTCTTCCTGCTTCAAGGTCTCTAGATTCATGAATTTGGTAGTATAATACTTGCGAGTTCAATTCCTGAGCCAGGTAGTACAGATCAGATTTAGTGGAAAGGGTGAACAATACTAAAAAATGAACAAGACAAGATAACGCTAGACATGGACAGCCGTGGGAGAATAATCTGCCCCTAAAGGGTTCAAAGAGAAATTCCCTGAAGGTTACCCAGATTGACAGACACCTGATGAAGGCCAGAGGCCACAACATCCAAAATAGTGTGATAATAACAACAAAGAGGAGGACATTGCTGCTACACTCGTAATAAATTTTGTTGAGTGTTGGTTGGTTGATTTTGATATTGAGAATTGGAAGTTTTAGTTTATTATTTTCACGGTGTAGTATATTGGCATTGTCAACAAGTATTTTCTTGTATTGTGAATAAAGATATGCTACCGCTCTCTCTCTCTGACAAACTGGAAAGGTTTTTTGTGAATCGTTTTATGATGAGACCTTGTTGCTAATCTAATACTGCACTTAAATTCATAAAGTCTACACACCGTAGAGGAAAGTTAATCAGAACAATTACCATGAAAGTATGTATAAAAAAGGCAGAAGGAATCTACATTACAGTGGTGTGAAAGTAACTGAAGCCATGATGTCAGATCAGGATCAATAATATTACAGATTCTTCATCGGATTTTATCAAGAATCTCTAAATATATAGTAGGAATACCAGGCCAAATGTGGCAGCAATATTCTAAGCATAGACGAATTGTAGACTTATGCAAGATATATTCAAGAGAGAAAAATTGTCTAGCATAGCACACAGAACTAACTTTCCTAGCAGCAGACCTAGCAATTGATTCAATATAATTGTTCCACTTCATGTTAGTAGAAACCCAAGAAGGCACTACAAGTTATTCTCCTGGAGGTTAGCATCAGCTATGCTGATGGAAATCAGAAAGTGGTCTCTTAAATGATTAATAGAGAGCAGTTTTGTTTTGGAGGCGCTAAAATTAACAAGCTATTCCTTGCCACAATTAACAGTAGATTTTAGGTCACTTTTGAGATCAGTTGTCAATTTACTTGGTTCAGGTTAATATTGGTTGTTTATACTAGAGTCTATAAGTATTTTATGTCTTTTTTGTTTTGCTTTCTTAATACTAAATTTCCCCAAATTAAGACTCAAGAACCACTGTTACAATCAAAATGTTAATGATGAAGGAAGTGTGTGATATCAATGGCAGAAAAGGTGGTAGGAAGTGAGGATAAGAAGGATAGATAATGATTGAACCTTGACTTGAAGAGGTTAAGATTGTAGTGTAGAGGGTTACTGTTAAAATGGTTATGATTAATGAGCTGTGTGATATGAATGGAAGAGGAGATGTTAAGAAGTGAAGATTATGAGGATAAGGAGGATAGAAAACTGAGCCTAAACTTGAAAAGGTTAAGATTCCAGTGTTCAGGAAAGTATTTATGTCTGTTCCACAAAATGGTAGTTCTTGGGAAAAAGTTGTTATTAATAAGAGTTGAAAGGAATGCATACAATATTTCACAGCTCTAACATAATTCCTTCATAGTCATCCTATGAACTTTTCAGCCCACCCTCATAATTCAGGATTTTTTTTCAGAAAATAATAAATGAGTGCAAGAGAGAGAGAGAGAAATGTTACTGACACTGTTAACGTTGGATACATGTACGATGCTTTTTGACTTGAATCCAACAGCTCAGGAATGGCTTCGTTTGTCAATTTTCCAATTGCATCCAATGGATTCTTGGACAAGGATATAAAATATCTGTAATAAGAAAAAAGAAAATGTTATACAATTTAGAATTATTTTTCAGATTTAACTTTGTAAAATTTGTTAAGCTGAAACAAAGTTAAATTTTATATCTAATATTTATCTTGGCAAATATAATTTTGATAAACATTAATATTTTGGCATCTTTGGCCCAAACTGAAGCCATCAATGGGTACAAGTTTGCAGAAAAATTAATCTTACTTTTTAGTCATATTTATTTATTTACAATCTCTTAATTTTCCACAAAGGAGGTAAGACTGTAATTTGCAGGTAAAGGAATGAAAGCAGAGACTGGATTAAGTCTGGCTGAGTAAACTGAACAAGGAATCTGATATTGAAAAATGTAAAAACCCTAATGACCCAAGGAATATCAATGTTTAGAAAGTGTCTTGCTCATAAGGTCATTTACAGTAAATTTGTGCCCTGGCTCTTACAATATTTCACCATTCTATTACTACAGTTTGGGATATCTAACAAAAGTGATGAAAAGAAAAAGAATCTAAATTAAATCAGCTAGATTAAAAAAAAAAAATTAAAAAAATTTTTTTAAATTCCCAGCATCCCTCATTCATGCATATAGGTAGTCACACCAACATAACAAATTTAGTCCAATGATGTCCTAAAGGATAAAACAAATCATACAAAATCTTTTTCCACTTTGTCATACATTTTTCCTCAAACGTTTTTGATATATAAAAATATATATTATCTCATATATATCCGTCCTGGGTATGACGATAAACTACATCTAGGTCCTGGGTAAGATAATAAACTACGTCCAACAGCAAGGTTTTGAGGAGCATGGAATCACCTGGAGTCAAAACACTATGAAAGTGTAAAAATAGGTTTTAATACCAGAAATACTTTTTTTTGGAAAAATTATTACCAGCAATACATTTTTGAAAGAAAAAATATTACCAGAAATACATTTTTTAAAGAAAAAGTATTACTAGCAATAAAAATTTTGTCAGTATTAAATAACCCATTGAGGTTGATATGCAGTAAAACAAAACAAAACAAAACTCATGTGTATACACACACTAAAAATAATGTTTAAAGTAATAAAAAAATTAATATCAAAAAATTTAATTTAGTCAAGCACTCTTGGGAGAAAAGCGTGAATTAGTAAACAATGACTACTGCTGCAAATATTGCAAAGCTCTTTCATGAATTGAACCCTATTGATCATAGCCATGTTTATACAAAGAGTAAGTATGTAAAAATTTGCCTTCCTCCCAAGTGAGCGCTGATAGCTCAGGGGTAAAATCTCTGACTGATGCCAAATCAGTTGGGTTTCAATCCTGGCTTGAGGCAATTGGATGTCTAGCCACATTGATGAGATGTGAAACAGTCTGTCTGTGGATGACTATATATATATGTCACGCATTATGAAATGGTCAAAGTCTGAAAATTATTATGTCTTAAAATATATATATATATATATATATATATATATATTATTTGTGACCACATTATTTTTAGTGGATATATATATATATTTGAGTAGATGCTCCATTTATTTATTAAACAGTATATTTATTTTTGCCTACCAGCCTGAATATTTCAGAAATCTTATTAAAGAAAAATATGCACTCTTTGGCAAGATCTCTGTATCCCCTTGGGGAGAGGAAAACTATCATTATATCTGATTTGTCTAAACTGGCTTAGCCACAAAGAAGTTTTGCTGATCAAGCAAGATCTGAAAAGTCCCTTTAAGTGAAATCCTTCTCATAGATTTCTATTCCTGTTGAAGCTTAAATAAGCATGGAATAATACAACACAAAATGTACGTTAACAAAATGTATTGAAACAAAGAATAGGTACACAATATTTACAGTTAGTTTGGTATATTCTTGGGAAGACTGTTCCTGCATAATGGGTTGACTAAATCGCAGTCGGGCAGAGTCTCTGGATTCAATTTCTTAATCTCTACTATCTTCCCCGTCTTCCGGTACCAACCCATATTTATATGGTCGGTAGTCCGCTTATGTAAATTAGGTGTATCATACACAACAATTCCTCAGTTTTGTATCCAAATGTAAATAAAGTAATTTTCTAAAGTAATGGATTTTTTATTTATTAATCTGACAGATTTTTATCATTTTAAATATTATTTTTAGTGGATACTCATATGTGTGTAGATGGTTAGTTTATTTACTAAACAGTATATCTATCATATCTGTTCAGTTTCGTATTCAGGCTGGTAAACAAAAATAATTTGTTGTTACTTGTTGTTGATTATTATTATTATTATTATATTTGTGTTAATTATTTTATTATTTACTTAATTTGTTTACTTATTTATTGATTTAGATTTTTTGTTTATTTATTTTTTCATAATTGTTTTTGATTTTTTTACTAGGCACACAAAACATCCTTTACAAATAGTAAATACATGAACAACACGTTTCCTAAACATATATGGAAAATTAAAAACAAAAACGAAATTAGACAAAAATGTCATGGAAAATAAGGAAAAAAGCATCAGCCTACAACAATAAATCCCAAAACTGTAAACTCTGAAAAATAGCTAAAATTACCTTCCCAGACAAACACAAATTACTAAAATAATAACTCATCTCAAAATGCTGACAAAAAAATAAATTATTATGTTAGTCAACCTTTATCATTCTGTACGTAACTTCATTTCTTGTACAAAAAGTTTATCCTGCCACTGAATTTGACTGATCCCTGTACAATAGTGTGTTTGAATTTCATAGTTGTGTAGTTATATCCTGTTATGGCAAGAGAAAACATCATTGAGTGAAATTAATAATAAGGATACTGTCTACCACTTCGTCCCCAGCCCCTCAACCTCCAACATCTTCCTCTTTGGGTTGAGGTGTCCACTTGGTCCGAACCGAACTTAGGGCTAACTGGCCGTACGCTCCCTGAGTACCCATAGATTATTTCGACCGGTCAACTGGTCAAGTCCTGCTCGCTGCCCACACTGTGTTAGTTTTTAGATCCAGTAAGCGGGGTGTTGACCATACGTTCATGGTCGACTGGGGATGTGGACATGGCTGTGAGAGTTGGCGCCAAGAAGTTTAGAATGTGGCAAAATAAAACAAGAAATAATATCTGCAGAAGCCAGACAACAATGGGGGAAATATTGACGTCTTTTATATAAGAAGATAACATCAGAACAGAGGTTACAGAGAGAGTAAAAACATTTAACATAAATGAGAAAAGAAAAAGAAAAGACAAAATGCATCCAGCGAATTCCCAACAGAGAGAAGGTTTGTGTGTGATAAACGTGTATTGAATCACCTGGGGTAGGTTTATGACTAATAGTCCAGTCTCATACAGACTTCTCAGAACAGGGGTTAGTCTTCTCTCTGGCTTGTAGCACCGCGACCCGTAATGGTCACCTGCAGGTGCTCACGCACATGATGACGATGTGCCAACCGATTGCGGTCTCTCTCTTCTATCTGGCCTCTTCTGTCTTGCTCGACTGCCTCTTCTTCAGCATAACTATGCGTTTATATAGATAAATCTGGTTGGTCATGAATTGACCATTGGCCCGGCACACGATTATCATGAGTGCCAAAAACTATCCCTTGACATGTAAACCTATTCTCCAATTATTTACCTTTTCTCAATCACAAGTTCTTCTCACTTCACCAAAATTATACTTTGGGATATCTAAACATTGATTCAACCTTTTAATTAAAACAAATACTGTTAAACAAAACCAAGTATCTCGCCCTTCCCCATTGTTTACTAGTGACCCAGATTTAAAACATTGCCTCCTGGACTGCGGTCGTGTTTCTCATTGGTAAACACACATCTTAACCCAAATTGTACTTTGATATATAAACACCATTTCCACTTCCAGTCAATAAAAGTTATATTTGCGTGTGTGCATTCATGTGGGTGTGTGTATACCTCTCTCTGTTGCAACTGCAATTGAGAGGCCTTGAAAAAGAATGCAGTGGGAAATAATATCAATAATGCAGAGTGCTAAATGTTAAAAACCTGCTTGAAAAATACGGAGGCATTTAAAACATTGTTTTTGCACTTTTGTTGCCTATATTATGTAAATGAACTGATGCAAATTGCTAGCTAATGTTACATTTGCATTAAAAAGATGAATTTGAAACTACACTTCAAGGTCACTGTCATATAAGACTCCAGTAGGAAAAAAATTAAAATATACTGAGGAATTTCTGAAAGTTCTCACTAGTTTATACAATTAGTAAACAAACATTTTTAGATGACCTACTTTAAAATGATTTGAATCTGTTTGTTGAACTTAGCACCTTTCTCTGGCTGCCCAACACTATTCAGCCAAGTTCTTTGTAGAAACATTTCAGCCAATTCCGCTGTAAATAGAATCAAAACAAACAATGAAAAAACAAGTCAAAAGTTGTCAATTTGTACAAGGAGGCACAAAATATTGTTTAAAAGTTTATCAGGGCTGCACAGTATAAAAAGTAACTCACAAAATTACGATTTAACACTAATACACTTTTGGACAGAGAGGTGAGACTTTATTTAAAAAACTTTTTCTGTGGAAGAAGAAAAAACTAAAATGACTCTAAAACACTCATTAAATTTACCCTGAAAACTGCAACTTCTATCACATTCACACACACCTCCCGCACCCCACAGTCGATTGAACAGGAGTATAGGTTTATCCCATGTTTCCTGTTTAGGATTGGATTTCCGGTTCCTTCTAAATTCTACATCAATTCTATACTTCTAACATCGCCACCTAAACTGAAATTTTATTTATTTATAGGATTAGATAGGTGAACATACCCTGTTCACACTACTCCCTGGTCTCTTGAACAGGAATAGAAGCTTATCACTTATTTCCTGTTTAGGATTCAGTTTCAGGTTCCTTCTAAAGTCTTTTCCTTCTCTTTAGCTTCCAGTGGCATTATCACCTTTCTTGGGGTGAATTGATAAAAAAAATAAAAAACTTAAACAGCAGCACTAACCCTGAAATCAATAAAATTATTAATTCAATTAACTGGTTTAAATGATTTGTTTTCTATGGCTTATCAAACCTTTGCAGGATATTTAAAGCCCGAAAAACAATTCTTTTTTTTAGATTGTAAAAATGTTTTGGAGATAATAATGATGTTTAATGATACAAGTCCTAGCAATTAATTAACCCATTGCTGGGAAGAGAAGAGGTGGATTCATATCTTTCCCAAGGGTATTTGTGCATAAATGAATATACCAAAGTTGACTGGAATTGGAACTTGGCACTCCAATTAACAATTCCAAGTCATTATCCATAACATCACCTGCACATCAAAGCATACACCACCTGGTATTCCCAAGCGGTTACTCATCTAGGTACGACCAGGCTCAACATTACTTAACTTTGTTGATCATACAGGAAATGGTATTTCAATGCAATATGACCATATGCCTCAATTAACTGGTCATATATATATATATATATATATATATATATATGATGATCCAAAAACAATCAGTTTTTATGCTTGTGACACTTCAGTCCTGCTAGTGACCTGCATACAAGTCCCCATATTGTGCAACAGTGAGGATCTCAGGACATAGCAACAAGAATATTTGCCGATGCTTTTCACCATTGTCTTTCATCTCTTAGCTGGTCAATAAGACCGATTTTGAAATTTCTGATATCACTCTGGCAAAAATATCTCCAATTATTTCAATCCAGAGCAACTTGCTTGAAGTGAGTATGAGGCACATTGACAGCTGAGGGGTTACTCTTCAGCTTCTCTTTACACCTGAGCCATGGCTGTCCAACATTCCTTTGTCCACTGTCAAGTTGACTATACATGAGGACCTTAGGAATTTTGTCATCACTCATCCTTGCAATATGACCAGCCCACTGAATTTGTGACTGCATCAGGAAAGTCGATTCCATCAATGTTGCATTTTGCGACATCATCATTGGACACCCTATTGTCTACAGTATAGCCCAGGTCATGCGGAGACAACTTTTGTGGAAGACATTCAGCTGATTGATATAGGACCTATATATATATAAATATGTTTCAAACAGTACAGAAACTATGTGTAAAGATGTTCTACTCCCCCACTCCATATTAATTCTGTTATTTACTATTTCAAATGTAGTTGTGGATGCGACTACATAGGTAGAACGAGACAGCGTTTGGACGTTAGAATTAAACAACACGTACCTGCTATAATACAGAATAAAAATTTTTCTTTGGGCGATACCATTTGTAACACGTATGGGTCTTCGATTGCGGATCATTTTATAAAGAATCCCACTTGTGCAATGGAGTTCAGTGTGAACTGGTTTTCCGTTTTGGCCAGAGCACACTCATTATTCCATCTTAAGGTGTTGGAGACACTGTACATCAGGTCCAGGCGACCTGCTCTTTGTAAACAAAGAGACTGTTTGCTTGGACTTGCTGTGCTGCACCTCTTTGTTGGTATAACTTTTATCATTTTTTTTTTTCTTTCCCTGTCCATTCATTCACGTCATCCATGACAGACTTTCTTTTTTTTTTCTCTTCATAATTTGTGTTCCCCGTTAACAGTTTTGATGAGAGGGTACGAAACTGGTCAATATATATATTATTTTAAACTACAATTCTCCATGATTTTCTCTTATACATTCATATCTGCTCAAAGCATGTCCAAATATATGTCAGAAGACTCACATATATATATATATATATATATATATATATATATAAAGAAATATAGTTTTAAGGTGTGCTATATTTATGGGATAAAGTGCTCAATAACACAGAGCATATGTAAATATAGATATAAAAGTGAACATAGAAGTCAACACTTAGAAGCAACAGGCTGTTTCATGCTAGACGCGATCATCAGGCTGCATGACGATTATGTCTAGCATGAAACAGCCTGTCGCCTCTGATTGTTGACTTCAGTGTTCACTTTATATATGTATATATATATATATATATATAAATAAAAATTTGTATATGCATACATATGTTATTTGTATCTGTGTAAGGTCACACATATATAGGTGTGGTAGCAATATTCAATGTTATTGATTCAATAAATTTTGTTTTTTTTAGCTCTATAAAAAAGAGACACTGTGACTATTTCTTAAAACATGAACCAACTCATAACATTTCTTCACCACTGAATAAAACCTAAACCTGCACTAATTCTGATGAGTCGTCATATGCTCAAAGAGGCTCCTTGCTTTGAATGCCTACTGGGGCTAAAACTCACTCCCAATCGCAAATGGAAGCTGTATATTCATGTCATTGTAAAAGATGCTGGAAGCATTGTTGGTACATTTTACCGCTCCAGAAAATAACTCACTCCTGCTGCCACGTTCTATTTGTATAAAACTCAGAACAGACCAAGAATGGAGTATTTCCGCCATGTCTGACTAGGTGCTGCCCAATTCTCACAAACCAGTCTCAACAGAGCTCAAAAGAGCTTATGCAGCCTTATGGATGACAAATTATTTTCTATTCTACAAACCTTATCACACAGATGAAATATCCCCAGCAGTGGGGAGATTCAAGAATTTTAAGAACAGGTTCTCTCAACAACAGGTCTCAACAGCAATGGTTCCCTCATTTTTCCATAGTCTATACTTTACTATATAGATATAATTTAAAAATAAAGCAAACTTTTCTAGTACTTAGACAAAAATACCAAAATTAATCTGCATTACATTGCACATTATCATTTTTAAAAGGAAAAATAATTGAATGAAATGCTTTAAAATCTTTTATTCATGATCTTTCATTTTAAAAACTTTCAAATAGCCACTTGATTGTCATCAACACTGATTTTTTTCTAAGATATGTTTTAATGAAAGGTGTGACATCCCATAAATCTAAAGGGAGACCAACTGATTGATTGTTATCTAAGTATATAATATTCATTCTTGGAAAACTTTTTTCTGCCTCGGAAGAACTGATAGCAATCATATCGATAATAGTTTTCACTTTTTTTACACACTGAAAAATTACTGGATCATGAAAGATTTTCAGAACATTTTTCACAATCACAAAAAATCATTAATGGGAACATTGTGATGAAAGATTTTACTGAAGTCGTTCAGCTTTTCTTCCACAGCTATCCAGGGAATAACTATTTCTTGAATATTCCAAATATCTGTCTCAAGTAAGCACAAGAAATTTGTATTAACCTTTATTCAATCACCTGAATTTACTTCACCAACTGATTATGTGACTACAAATTGTAGACAATTTAAAATTAGCCGTTTGTTCAGGTTGCAGCTAGCAATGGAGTCACCAAGCTCTCATAAAATTCCAAGAACAGGTTCGTGCAAACCTGAGTAAATCTACTAAATCCCACCACTGGTCACCAGCCTTTCACTATTACTATGATAGATCTTCAGACAAGTTACATTCCCTAATGCCACCAGCTTGAACCTTCACAGCCAGGACCCAACATGTTGTGTTCACAGTGGCAAACAATCCCCATTCCCTTAAATAAAAAAAAAAAGTTCCACTTAGGCAGCTTCTTCCCCAGAACTATTACTTCATGGAATAAACACCTGAGAGAATGCTTCCCTAACCAGAACATCAGTTTCTTTAAGTCCAGGGTCAACTAATATCTATCCTACTCACTGTCATAATACTCTTTTACATACCCCTTCCCCAACCTTAAAATTGCACTCAGTAACCCCTACCTTGAGTGGGCTTTGCACTGGGTGAATTATGAGTAAAAAAAAAAAAAAAAAAAAAAAAAAAAGCCCTAAAGGCAAATTAAATATTTCTTAAATGTCTACTCACCTGGTTTGTGTTTTTCTTCATTAGATCTTTTCTCTGTCAACGTGACAAGCAATTCTGTCAGTTTGACAGCAGCCTGGATGTTTGGGATGGTATTTCCAAAATTGTACATGTAATTCACTGTCAGACTGAATGAAAAAGATATGGAAAATCTTTGATGTTATATTTGTAAACATTTAGGAGTTTGCTTCATTTACAAGTTTAGCAGAGAAGTCAAATCATTTGCAATAGAAAAAAAAAATTACTGAAAATATTTTCATTTATATTAACTTAGATACCTCTAAAGATTCGATAAAAAATTAGCATACCATGATGATAAAATGCTCCAAACTTAATAAAAAAAAACAAAGTTTTATCATCAAAATCTTTGTTATTATTAAGAGTAGGTATCACAAATTTTTATTTTTAGTATATCCAAGAGTTTTTCATGTAGGCATATAGAGCTTGACAAAAAAATAATACAAAATTTATCTTGCAAGCTCAATTGGCAACCGAGTTATGACCATTCAAAGTTTTTCAGATTTTGTCTTGAGTGCAATTGGGACAGAAGTCCATTTTAATTATGTACTTGTGAAGATACAGGCTCCAACAGAAGAAAAAATCATTATAAATGCAACGTCATTAAGTAATAAAAGATAATACTAATGAAATTAATAATTATTAGATAAGACGAGCCTAAACAAGTGGGGGGATCACATTCCATCCTAAAAACAGTGCAAAAATAACACAGTTAGGCAACTTTGACCATTAATATAAATTTCAATTCTACAGTTAAGTCATTGAAACTTTTTAATGTTTCATGGAATCTTAGAGATTAAGCTAAATTTTTTTCAAAGGAGTACATCAGTAAAACAACTCTTATTTTACCATGTAAGTACTGGCAGAAGCAAAATTTGATAGGACACAAAAGGATAAAAAATACCTTTTTGAACTTGCTGTAAAAATGTATCCAGTGTGGCCTGAAACTACTCATTTTTGGATGAGGAATTCAACAAAATAGTTATTTTGTCTATAATATTAAAACTCTTTCGCATCAATGTATTTTTTTTTTAATTTTTAAATTTATACAATTTTTGACTTGCCCAAAAAGAACTAACATCAAAAACTTCATGAGAAACGCCTCTTGAGGCATATGTTTTACTGTGAGATGTGAGTGGCAGTTTCAAAGTGAAAAAAAAAAAAATTCTCAATTCACACAAAGAAATAATATCCTGTTTTCCTTTTAAATAAAAGATACATTAATTCACTTCTCAAGGAGGAAATGTTTCACTGAAAATATAGATCCTTTAGTTGTTATCCCTCCATGAAAATCATACAATCATACAAGGTTGAAGCTGTACTTCATTATCAAACTCTGATGACTGAAAAATGCCAGACTTTGCAATTAATATGACATGTGGTACACTTGGGAATAGTCACTTTTATTTTGTGCAAAGGAAGAAGAATGTTATGACAGTAAATGTCATTTTGGCTGCGTGAATCTTTTAAACATATATGGAGATAGGTCATATAAGGAGTAGTTCACACGGAAAATATATTTCCATCAAAGAAATCTTAAATTTTAGCGTCATCTACTATATATATATATAGAGAGAGAGAGAGAGAGAGAGAAAAAGAGAGAGCAACAACAAACAAGGGGAAGAAGAGTAAGGATAGTAAAATAAATCACCGTGAAGAGGTGGTGAATTAAAACAACAACAATATACAAGAAAATAACAAAATAAAGCCTAACTGGTTAATGATCCCCACTTTCTTCAGAGCCACTTGAGAACAAAGTAAATTGTGAGCACAATGTCTAAAAAAAAGAAAAAAATTAAGAACAGCCAAGGAATCATTCCCCACCCCCATTCTTAATTTGTATTATTTAAATGTTTCACTCACAATTTATATGTTTATCCTTGGCTGACCCTAAAGAACGGGGACTGAAAACCAGGTAGGCTTGTTTTCATTTTTTATTTTCTTGTTTATTGTTGTGATTGTTTAAATTCACCTCTTTAAATGAATTTATTTTATCATCCTTTCACTTCTTCCCTCTACAACGGTTGCAGTTTTTTTATATACAAATTTAATATGTCTATTTTTATAGCATTAATAAAGTTTTATATCTCCCACCCCATAGATTATTTAAGAAGTGTCATTACGAAACAGAAAAATGCATAACAAATAATAAGCAAAACTAATTTAGACTTACTTGAAGCTTTCCTGCAAAGATAAATTAGTGTTTGTGTTGGCTTTTATACGGCCAGCAATCACAGACAAAATGGATGTCAGCAAAGCACTATTAGCAGGAAGTGTTAAATCTTTCCTAAAATGAAATTAAAATCAATCATTAGAGCAGCTAAAGGTCTTTTTAACAACAACAGGTGAAATGCATTTGTTAAAACAAAAAAAAAAACAGAGTTGATACAAGGGGAAAATCATGATTATTTAAGAGTATGAAACATCATAATGCTATTTGGGATTTAGGCATCCAAATCTTTAGATAATGAAAAGAGACGCCTGTTTGATCCATTACAAATGACAAAGACAGTTTGGGGATTTGGGCTTTGAAAACCAAGATGATCACACCATTGTAACACAAGTTACAATTTATCTAATTTAACCCCTTAATGGATTCTTTCTTTCTTTTTTTTTTAATCAATTCACCCCAAGCAAGGTAATAATGCCAATAAGACACAAGGGTCTACTGAGAGTAAAAAAGAATCAACAGAGTTTAAGAGCCAGAAATCCAACCCTAAAAAGGAGACAAAGGATAAACCTCTACTCCTGTTCAAAAATCTAGAGAGGAGTATGAACCAGATGATAGGTGAACTTCTCTACTCCTATTGAGGAAAAATTTCAGAGTTTTAGACGTTAGAAGTATTTCTGCTGATGTTGATTTTTGAGACATGATAGCTGTCTTGGTGGTAGGGGGGCACAAAAATTAATAGCTTTTGAAATGGACAACTTGAATAGTTACTTAGAAATGTTGGCATTTGCTAAACTTAGTTTAGAATATGAACAGAATTAGAGGTACATTTGTTATGATTGATTTTCACTCCTATTTAAAGATACTTAAATATACATGCACCCAAGGCAAAACCCAAGCATTATGTTTAGACATTAGCAGCCAAAAGTTATTTAGAAAATAACTTTCCATTTTGAACTGAAACAAAGATATTTGTACATTCAATTACATTTTAGAGCACAAAACAAGTCTATTCATGAACTTCTTACTACAGGCAGCAGTAATCTTTCAAGATCAGTGTCAATAAACTGGATAACAAATTTTACCTATTTCAGAATTAATTGTGAAGTTTTTTTAAGGCTTTTATAACAGAAAACAATTCTTCCTTACATGCTTACAAGGATTATATATATATATATATATATATATATATATATATAATTTTACAGTTTGTACATCCTATATATACATTTTTGCACTTTGTCACACATCTTTCCTCCAAAACTGTTCTTGACATATAAAAATTTATATATTGTTATCTCATATATATGGTCTAAAGATTGCATTCAAGCATGAAACATACTGTCACCACTGGATGTGGACATCAATTTCAACTTTATATTTACATATGCTCTAATCACTGATATTGAGCCCTTAAACATTATATATATATATATATATATATATATATATATATACACACACACACACACACACAAAGCAAATAAAATTGCTGGCAACATTATTTTTGGATGTAGTTTATTGCCATACCCAGGACGTGGATATATGATAGAAAAAACTGGGAGTTCACTATTAGCTGGGACCCTAACAGGTGCTACCACCCTGGGTCAGGGTGGACCTGGGAACACCAGCAATTAAGAGGAGGTTCCACACTTCCTTAAAACCTCTTGATCAGAGGCCTTGCTGTTGGATGTAGTTTATCATTTACCCAGGATGATAAAAATAATGGCTAACATGATATATATATATAAGATATTGCACATTGAGTACTGGTGTTAATCAAATTAGTGCTCAATGTAATATAACACAGCTACTAAATATATATTAAAGAATATACATATTATCCCTCACTGGTAGCACAACTCAGAGTTTCATGCACAACGCAATCTTCAGCTACCCAGCACCTGAAGATTGCATTGTGCATGAAACTCCGAGTCATGCTATCGGTGAGGGATTATAGATATATATATATATATGAAGAAAAATATACAAAAATCCTAATATGCAATTATGCTGTTTTAATGTTAATATAATGTCAACGTCGGACATTTCGGTCTAGTAGACCATCTTCAGGACATATTCATAAAACATAATTAACATTAGACTATATTTAATACAACATGAAAACACGATGGACATAAGAGTAAGACTAATCAAAACAGATAACTGAAATTTTTCAAGATCAGTGTTCCGTTTCAATATGATCACGTTGGCGTCACGTGGGCGATGTTGTATTCCTAAAATAGAGTATTTTGAATGAAAAATGAAAATAATCTTATTTTAATCTAAAACTTATATGTATGTTTGTCGAGCATTAATCTTGCTAGAAAAGGGGAAATATTAAAGAAGCCAGTTCTAGTATTTATGAGGCAGGCATAATATCTATCTCACGCACAGCAGTATACCTTGCAAAAAGAAATCTCCATCAACAGAGGACATGATTGCAATCAAAAGAGCCAAGTCTGCACTGAGGAAAAGAACACGCAAATGAGAAGCTAGATCAACTCTGGTTAATTACACATATTTGCCTTGTGTATTTAGAGACATTTTTATCAAGTTTCTGACTGGATTTCTAGGATGAGGAGTTATCATTATTTACATGTAAACTATTGTCAACAAAAGATGAAGACAATAGTCCACATTTTAACAGTGTAAATAATAATAATTTTAACAGTGTAAATACTTTTAAAGAGATATTTTTATAAATTTACAACCAAAAAATTGGATAAAACAAAAAAATTTTATTATTTCTATATTATATTCTTAACAGATACTTTCATAAAAGCCAAAAAATTTGACTGAAACATAAAAACCAATGAACAGCACACTTGTATTAAATGAACTTACCATGAGAATAAAGAATGGAAAATTTCTATTAACAACTGGAAACATAAAGCCGCTCTTTGAAATTCAGGCGTAGTGTGTCCAGGCCCATCCAATATGCCATCATTACTGGCTACCAAAGCCTGGAATTAGAAAAATAATCATCACAAATTCCTTTACAAAGGATATTTTCAACATCATAAAAATGAGTGAGTTACCTGAAAGAAAGCGCTGGAACCTTCAAGCTGCTGACACAAGGCAGGTAACAATGTAATTATCTTTTGAACGATTTCAGTGGGACTTTTTTGATTTAATAAAGTGAAACCAATATCTTCATTTCTTGTGACCTAGAAAGAGAAAAAAAGATCTGATTTATTAGTTCCTTGATATTTTAACAACATATCAACCATGTTAGGTTATTTGTGTGTATCACATTGTAACACTGGTTTCTGTACAATCAGCGAAGTTAAGCAACATCAAGCATGGTCAGTATCTAGTTGGGGGACTGCTTAGGAATACCAGGTGCTGTAAGCTTGGATGTGCAGGTGGTGTAATTGATAATGGCTCTGAATTATTAATCAGAGAGCAGAGTTCCAATTCCTGTTGGGTTCGTTATATTCACTTATACACAAATACCTTTGGGAAAGATATGAATCTGCCTCTTCTTCCCCCCAGTTATGGGTTAATTAGTAAGACTTGTAACACTAAATCATTTTTTCTCAAAAGAAAAAAATATTCTTACAAACTGAAAATATTTTCTGGCTTTAAATAACCTGCAAAGGGTTGATAAGCCATAGAAAAATCAATAAATCAATCTTACTTATTATAAAACGCAGATTCTCTGTGTGTGTGTGTGTGTGTCTGTACGTTTATATATTGGATCGGATTTCCTACATTTTTCAACCGATTTCAACAAAACTTCACAGGACTGTGTAAAATTACCTTGCGGTGGTTCTGACAGCACCAAAAATTGGAAAAACACAATTGTTTTTGCACAAAATCAATTTGAAAACATGATTAAGAATGAAAGAGGGACAACTCATTATACTTATTATAAAACCCAGGTTGTGTGTGTGTGTGTGTGTGTTTGTTGATATATGGGATCGGATTTCCTACATTTTTCAACCGATTTCAACAAAACTTCACTTTTTTTTTTTGGCAGGTAGTGTTTCTTATTGTCTTGCACACTTTTTTCTTTATTTTTACATTCAGAATGCTTTAAAAATTCCATTTACAAGACAATTGTTTATAATAAAATTCTATTCAATTGGTAGAGACTCATAACGATTGAAAACAATGTTTTTGTTTGAGTTTGGGTTTGACCAATTTGAAAAAAAAAAAAAAAAAAAAAAAATAATTAAGACATGCATGTCTGTCAACCTTAAACAATAATCTTTGTCAATTTTATTTTTCAGTCTTTATGATGGTCGATACTTGATCTATCTCTTACTGTTACATCCCCGGGCAACACCGGGCTCTACTGCTAGTCAATAATAAAAATAGATAGCCAAAACGCTTTGGAAGAGTTTCATTCCGGCCTCTGTTTAACTGGAGTCAATTCCAGGCAATTGCTGCTAAGCTTCCAACAAACACACAGACAAAGAGCTTTTAGCAACGAGACCTACAGCAAAAAGAGAGAAATTTTTTCTACATGTTCCTACATAGGACTACTATTTAAAGTATAGTATTGAAGTAATATGACCGCCTCAGGTCACCCTTCATCACAAGCTAACTAATGTTACATACTCACTTATATACAAATACCATCATAATAAACCTGTAGGTGAGTTTCACAACAGTGTTAGTGAATTCCATGGAGTTTTAACTCACATCTATAACTTTCATCTATGCCTTGGTTCCTGGAGAAAAGTGTTATCATGGTCCCACAATGGAATTCAATTCAGTTGTGATATACAAAGTGTTCTTGAAAGAAAATTCTATCACTGGGCGGTACAACCAGAAATGCTATCATACCATAAAAGACCTATACAGGTATACAAGAATGACAATGCTGTTCAACCCTTCATGATCAGGATCCGTGAACCATTAGCAAATGCATTGGGTTGTCACGGATCTATGGATTAAATGAGGTGGTATAGTTGCAAATGATCCATACACTGAGGTATTTGAAATGTTTTAGTATTAATTCCACATTCTGAATTTTTATGATGGATTCAAAGTATATGCCATCATTGATTTCATTCCAATTAAATTCTTAGTTCTTTGATATCTTGGTTGTACATCTGACCAATGGCCTCAAGTCTCTGCTTTCTTTAGTTACAGACTTTCTCCCATTTGATTAGATGAGAGAGATGTGCCTGGAATGTACTTGAAAATGAAAATCTAATAGATGAAAATCCTTGTAAGAGGCATGAAAAATTACAAAAGGGTTAATGAGGGTGCTATGGGAGAAAGGATATTCCCCATTTGCATTTCCCCCATTATAAGTATTATTATGTCTATGTTATAGTAATATCTTAATACACAGACAAAAGAGAATAGCTGAAAGAAAAGGAATAACAAACTGTAGTGAAAGAGATAATCAGCTACCTCGAAAAAGAGTTTGTGTTTTGTGTGTGATCTGCCGAAGAAAAATTACCAAAAAGTAGTTAGCAAAAAAAAAAAAAATCTACTTTAAGGACTAGAATCTAATGCTAATGTTCTTCCCTCCCCTGAATAGCGTGACCAATCGGAAAGATCTCTCAGTGAACAAAAGCCGTTGTTCTTCGCTTATAAAGGCAGGAGATTTTCTGAGCTTGAGAGACAAACACACATTTTTGCTGGTAAGAAGTGAAGATTGGACATGTGACCCAATTTTGTCATTTCTATACTGCTTGTTGGATTGTTACAATGGGCTATCATTTGAACTGTGATTTGGCTACAAGTGTTGCAGTCGAGAGACAGAAGAAATCTATTGCAGACATTTGTTGCTACTATAAGTTGACAGTCTTTTCTTTTCTTTACAACCACACAAACATGCTTTATTCTTAAAGAATTTTTATACTCCTAAGTCATACACAAAATTATATACAAATATTTACACTTGCCCCACACTGAAAAACTATAAGACATGTATATAGCAACAAGCAGTATGAAAATGACAAAGAGACATCGGGTCTTCCTTGGAATAATTCAATATGGGAATTCAATTTGTTAGAGGATTCAAATATAATTTTGGAAAAAGCATATTTTTTTCAATGGGAAATCAGCATGACCATGTAGTAAGGCCATATTTATATTTCCCAACAGGAATTCAAGCAAGCTGGATTTATCTCCTATGTCTCAAGTGTGGACATATTTCCCAACAAGAAAATAGTGAGTCATGTGTATTTCTCAACACAAAGACTGCAAGCCAGAGATAGTTTCTACATTTCCCAATAGGAAAACAGTGCTACAGGCTTGAGTGCTGCTCACATGGTAGGTTTAGCCTTGCCTGTGCTAAAAAAGCAAACACTAGCCTTGACTCTCAACAGCTAACAACTGGCTTTGAAAACCTGTTCATCTCAACCAAAGGGAGATAATCGCCTTTTGCATCCCAATAAAAGGGAGGGGGGCTAAATAAATAATGCAACTTTACCCTGGCAAAGCAAAACTTTCTCATAGCTGAAGTTGGCAAAGAATGTTTGAGTTTTCTGTTCAAATCTTTGAGCAGGAATTCCACTTGGGGCGGTTGTACCTTCACGTCTTGGAGACACTGATGAACAGAAGAAAAGAAAAACATTAAAAAAAGAAAAAAGAAGATATTTCCAAACACAAATTCACACACAATTTTAAGCCTGATGACTCCCGAGAGAAACAGATCTGGAAAACCCAAAACAAAATTCTTCAGTAAAGACTCTTTGCTTGGTAGAGAATAGATGTTCTGCAAAAGATTATGTACTGGGAAGTTCCCTCACTCATTTCCCCCTCTCCATCACTGACAAGTAGTTAGCAAAATTTCCTTACAGGAGACAACAAAAGTAGCCAATACAGACTATAAGCACTGTGCTATTTATTACCATGAGAAAAACTTTTCTCCTGGTGAAAGGATGGCTGATTTGAATTTTGGTAAGGAACACAGAAAGTGTGACTTTTGCGTATTTGCTGAAAGACAACCATGAAGACTAAACCAAGACTTCACACTATGGGAAACAACTGTAGCTGCAAAACACTAATAAAACTCATATAAAATGTTGTGACAATGTAAAAACTTTTTTTTTTTTAAAAACAAAAACTAACCTCTGTATTCATTTGTGTGTCAAGAGACTTGCTTGTGATTGGTCCAACCAACAGGATGTCCATTACATTAAGGTGGAGTTCTCTGAAAATTAACAAGTTTTAATTCATAACAAAGGTCATATATCAGCATCACAATGGATAATATCAAAAGGAAAAACAGCAATTTCAATACTCCTCTTGAGACAGGCAGATAGAAAGAAAAAAGAATAGAATTACGGGGTGCCCTCTGAGGGAGCATCCAGGTAATGAGTCAGCTGAACATGAATCAATCAGAGATGTAAAACAGGTGCCATTCAATTCATATCATGAAACTCTATAAATGTACCAAATTTGAAAAAATTTGAACAGTGATGGTCAGACCCTTGTTGATTTGACATGGAATGACTCATCAATTATATATATATATATAAATATATATATATTGTGAATCAAATAACGGACTCCAACAAGACTTGTGTGTGGAGAGAGAATTTATTTAGCGACCTTCCAACACCACGTGGTGGTAACCAACTGTCCCTACCCCCGTGTTTCCGCCTCAATCGTACCTCACTCATGGAGAAGGAACAAGGGGAACAACTTCACGTTGATTAACAATTCTTCCCCTTTTTTTCTTTTCTTTCTTCTTTCAGATGAACATCTGAAAAAGAGATTAAAAAAAATTTTGAATTTATTAAACAGATGATTCCTTGGGCTCTGATATAAAGCCAAGGATTTTAAATGATGGTACTCCTTTCTTTGTCAAGGAGTCTGCAACTTGTTCACCAGTTGGTATCCAAGAGAACTCTGCAATTTCCTTTCTGTCCAACATTTCTCTCAAAATGGCCATCTCAATGCGAAGTCTCTTATCCAAAATCTGTGTTGATGAATGTACTGAGTCATAGAGACAGGAATTGTCAGTTTTGCATATGATCTTAATGTTCTCAGTTTCATCTTTTAGCTGCAGTAGTTCCAATAATAGTTTTCTGTAAAACAGGCAGGCTTCTGACATGTCAACCATGGCTAGAGTTTCAGCAGCCAGTGTGCTTTTGACCACCCTTCTAATGCGTTTGGATTGCCATGCAATGGGCATGTATTTATTATTATTTCCTACCAAAAAGAGTATGTAGCCTCCTTGTGATCCTCCATCTGTCAAATTAGCGAAAAGAAGCATCACTATATGCGACAATTTTAAATGCTTAAGGTTTCCTAAGTCAGGGATGTCTATCTGTGATTTTTTCCTTTTTGCTTTTTTTAACTACTCTATTGGCTTGTTTTATACATTCTACATTTTGTTGTTTTAGAATGGAGCTTAATGCACTAACATCATAACTTAGATCAGGTCTGGTTTGGGTGGCCAGCCAGTTAAGTTGACCAATAACTTGCCTGATTTCAGTAATTTCTGTTGTGGAAATTGTGTCTTTAAGGTTCCTGCCTGCTTCTACTGGAATATATTTTAATTTCTTTACATACTCATTTTGTCCAAGTTTGATATTCTCATTATTCTTTTTTATATCTAATCCTATGTATTGGAACTCAGCAGTTTCTTCGGTTTTAACTGCAAATACATGACAAAGCCTGTCTATAACTCTGCTTTGAAAGATCTCTGACCCTGCAAAGCAAAAATCATCAACATGAGCAGCAATTATACCTTGCAGTTTGTTTCCAAAATGCCATGTAAATATTGCTTGATCATATTTTGAAGCTATTGCTCCTGACTTCATTAATTCTTCCTTGAGTGTTAAGTACCAGGACCTAGAAGCATCAGTCAAGCCATACACACATTTTGAGAGTTTCCAGATATGGCCCTGAGGTACATTGGCTTCTTTAGGAGGATCCAGATAAACCAGTCGATCCAACTGCTTGCTCTGCAGGAATGCGGTCTTTATGTCCATTGATTTACACATCCACTGGTTAGCTGCCATTATTGCCAGTGCTATCGTAAACCTTCTTTAGAGCATGTGGGAGAATCATTCCTTATGTTGTTAGTGTCTCTATCTTGGAAGCCTCTTGCCACAAGTCTGGCTTTATAGGTTTGCTTGCCATTGGAATTTTTATTTGTGTAAATCCATCTTGTTGAAATTTTTGGTTGACCTTGGTCAGGTACTTGGGTGTACACTTTATTTTCAACCCAGCTTTGGAGCTCTTTCTTTCTTGCCTCTTCCAGTTCCAGGTCATCATTAGAGGAGGAAATCATTATATTTTCCTCGTCACAAGAAGTGTGTTCAAGTTCAGTTTCCTCAACCTCACTTGTTTGCCACTCTGATACCCCATGCTCAAAGTCCAGCCAAAAAAGGTTCACCCTGTTCCATAAACCACATTCATCAAATGCTTGTTTTTGCCTGTTGCTTTGCCTGCCCTACTTATGACATTTAATTTTTTCCATTCTGGATCTGTGTCATTGGCAAGCTTGCATTTAATAGTTTGTCCTGGTTTAGGAAGCTCAATTTTCTTTGGAGTAAAGTCCTGCTTATGTCGTCTATCTCTTGTTTCTACAGTCTGATGTTGCTCGACATTGTTATTTGTGGTTCCCAAATCTTTGTTCATATCAAACTCTTCAGAAATTGGTACTTCTGGAGATTCTTCAAGCCTTTTCTGTGAGGCACTAGATTCCTTGATGCTGTCCTTGGAAGAGCTTCGATATGTCTCAGGGTAGGGTGTTAAGCGAGATGGATGTGCCCTTACATATGTGCCACCATGTTTGACAAGCACCTGCTTATGTTCCCACCCTATAACAGTTCCTGGACCAAGCCATCTATCACACAGGTTTCTTTTTATAAAGGACGGCATCACCATTTTTGTAGGCTTGTGCTATACTTGTTCTAACTTGGTGACGAAGTGCACGTCTTAGTTTCTCTGAGGACTCACATGCTATGAATTGTTTCCTGGCAGCATGCATAGCATTTAGGTTATCTGCAACAACTTCACTGGTGGAAACACCTTCTAATGCAGGAAGTTTGTCATTTAGAAAGGCAGGTAGGTTGGGATTTTTGCCAAAAACAAGTTGATTGGGACTGTATCCATGAACACTGTGAAGTGTGTTTTTGGCACTTATGGCCCATGCAAGTGCTACCTCAAAACTACAGTTGGTATCTTCTATGGTTTTCTTCACCATTTCTCCCAATATCCCATTGTGTCTTTCATTTAACCCATTGCTCCAAGGACTTTCAGCAGCAGTGGTACATACCACAATGTTTAAATTTTGCGCCATATCTCTAAATGACTGGTTATTAAACTCTCTGCCATTGTCAGTGAGGATAAAACCCGGGGTTCCAAAATATGCAACCCAGTGCTTAAAGATGGCATTAATAATGTCAGAACTTTCCTTACTAGGAATCCTGACTCCAACACTGTATCTTGTACCATGGTCAATTAGGTGCAGTACCTTGTTGCCGTTAATTTCTTTGATGTCCATGGCAATGCTCTCATTGAAATAGGTTCCTAATGAGAATCCAACAATGGGTCTAGGTTCAACCCTTTTGTACCTCATGCAAATTTCACATGAATTAGGAAGTTCTTGTAAAATTTTAATAAATTCAGAATCTCTCATTCCAGAATTTCTCACTAAATCACATAGCTTTTTGCTGCTGGGGTGACTGAATTGTCTATGCAACTTTGTGGCAATTTTAATTTTCTCTAGTCTATTTTTACTCGCAATTTCTTTAATAAATAAAATTTGCTTGAACTTACCTCGGTCTGGTAGAGGTCTGCTAATAGGGATGTGGTAGTGACCAGATGAAGTACACTGCATTGGGACTTTTCTCCCCAGCATGGTAACAGTGTCATTCTCAAAATTGAGGCATGTCCTGGCTCTTTTCATAGAATTTTTACTTAACAAAAGTGGTATGTCAGAGTCCACAACGTCAGTTACGATACTAACTTCAACATCGGCAATGACACACGGTAGAGTGACTGTGTAGATGGATTTGAGCTTGTTTCCATCACCAAACTTATATGTTCTCACTCCGTCTCGAATTTTTATATATTTTTTTTGTTTTTCTGGTATAGTTTCAAGAAAACACTCGTACCATTTCTTTCCACAAACAGTCCCAGAGGCACCAGAATCCAAGACGGCCGAGCCTAGTGTTTCACCCAAAAACGTGTTAGCGCCATCTTCCCCTTTTTGCTGACTCATCAGCATGAGGTTGGAGACGAGTATGTTTTCATTGTCTTCCTTTTTATGCGAAGTATCTTCTGTGTATGGACATTCGCGAGCCCAGTGGAATTTGCATCCACATGTGAAACATTTAGTGGTGTTTCCTTCAGGTCCTAGTGGGTTTAGATTTTTATCAGTGGAGCGTGTTGAATTTCTGTTACGACCCCTCCTGCCATTACCTCGCCGACCAGAAAAGCGGGTAGTAGTTCTATTTGAACGATTGTAAAATGTCCCACTAGATTGCTCCTCCTGATTATCCATGCTGAAGGCAACATCCATTTCATTTTTCACCACGAGTGGTGGGTGATGAAGCGTCGCAATATTGTCTATGCAGAATCTTCTTCAATTGTTTAGACATGTCGTTAAGACTAAGTTCCTTAACCGTGGCTTTCACCAGCCGTTCATTCTCTGGGGTGAGATTTGCGCTTTTTAATGCCCTATACGCGAGAACCGGTTCGGGCAGCGATATCTTGTGTTCCTTTATTTTTGCAATGTTACAATCGAAGCAGATAAGAAAATCATCAATTGAATCAGTGCTCTGTCATGGTGTATCGCTCAAAGGATTCATACGCTGTAAAAAGCCGCCTGGTTTGCGTCTTCCAAAAAAAAGTGTGTCCAGTTTTTGGTATAACTTTTCCATGCCATCATCGGCATTTAGGTGGCAATGTCAATTCTAGTACAGCTTCCTGGCCTTTCCTTCCAAGGATAGAAGTACCACTGGGGCGGCGTCTATGTGTCTCCAAGCTGGTGGCAAGTTCCCACACTTGCATTTCTTTTTTCCAAGTATTGTACTTGTCTGTGTTTAAGGCAGGTGGGGAAATAAACTTCGAAGCCATTTTTTTTTTACGATCTAAATGCTCTGCTACCAATGTGAATCAAATAACGGACTCCAACAAGACTTGTGTGTGGAGAGAGAATTTATTTAGCGACCTTCCAACACCACGTGGTGGTAACCAACTGTCCCTACCTCTGTGTTTCCGCCTCAATCGTACCTCACTCATGGAGAAGGAACAAGGGGAACAACTTCACGTTGATTAACATATATATTTTATAGAACGGTTCTTTGTAGCCTAGAGGTAAGGCACGTCAGCGTATATGACGGTTCCGTATAGGATGCAGGTTCGAATCCTGTCAAAGAACGAATATTTTCTATGAAAATTTCGGACATTCAGGCGGTAAATGTTATTTAATACTGTTTATCATAAACAGAGCATTTGCTTAAATACTTGTATCTATAAAATAACAACGTTAAACATAAAAATGTCTTTAATAAATAAATTGTCGGACCTTGTCCATTTCTTAATATATGACGTCATTTGTTTACATTCGATATGCCAGAGCAGTTATGAATGTACGAGATTCATGGAAGATTGGAGTTTATAAGCAGTAAATTCGACCTTGTCTACGAACGGTTCTTTGTAGCCTAGAGGTAAGGCACGTCAGCGTATATGACGGTTCCATTATAGGATGCAGGTTCAATCCTGTCAAAGAACGAATATTTTCTATGAAAATTTCTCGGACATTCAGGCCGGTAAATGTTATTTAATACTGTTTATCATAAACAGAGCATTTGCTTAAATACTTGTATCTATAAAATAACAGCGTTAAACATAAAAATGTCTTTAATAAATATATTTTTATGAATAAAAATGACAATAGGAAAACTAGTAATTGCTGACGTGTTTCATCCAATGTGGACTTTATCAAAGCAAAATACGAAATGAATTTAATTGAACAAGGTAACTAATAAAAACAAAAAACAGAATGTTCCTAGCAACTGGAATGTAGAGAAACGCTATTTTCATATTGTTAACTGAAAATAACGTCAGTATTTGTCACGTGTGGAGAATATTGTCATTATATCTGTGTTGATGTATTCAACCATTTTCTTTTGATTTTATGAATCAGTTGTGTACATTTGTTTGTGAGAGCAGTAATTTACTTAAGAAAGGTGAAATGGGGAAAAAACTTGGGCGTAGATTAATATTTGGGTAATATTCTATGGCGGCACTCTCTAGAATTTTCCTTCTGAGTGAGATATAATGACAATACATTCCTCCTTCAAGTTTTGGCTTGTTGTTTTGTTTTGTATTGATTAAGTCTTTTATTGTTTTAGACATGGTTGTGACAAATTTTATGTTGAGTTTAGATAAATTATTTACATTGTAATTGTGATAAAATTAGTGGGTAGAACAATATATTTTTTTGATTTGTTGGGTTTGCCAGAAAGAACCACTTTTCTATTTTGAAATATCTTATGAGACTTTTGTTTCACACTGAATATGAAATACTTAGGATATTTGAGGGTCTTGAAAGTATTTTCAAAGTATTTCTTCTCTTTGTGTAAATATTAAAGGCTGCAAATTCTGAGTGCTCTTAAGTAGAATCCAGTGACTATTCCAGATTTTATTTTGTTGTTATGATGGGAATAGAAATTTATTAGATCATTTTTATTAGTTGATGAAAAGAAACTAATGATGGAATAGCAGTAAAAATCAAAACCTTGATTAATTGGCATTAAAATACAAAACTAATGATGAGTTATTTACCCACCAATGCCAGAATTTATAATGTCGAATTAAAGTTTTAAGATATTTAATAAATTCTACTCGTGATAGCTTGAAATAATATTGCATTTGTTTCTAAAGCAAAAAATATTTCTAAATATGTTACCTGAAATACTGGTAATAGTTGTCCAAATTAATTCCAATTTCCGAAGAATCTTTGGTAGCTTCAGAATGACTGTTCACTTCACTGTTTTCCTTAAAAGAGAAATTTAGAACCCCATCATAGGAAAATAAATTTTCCAATTATGAAGTGTGTATAATAAAATCAGTGTTAAAAATTCAGATTAACAAAATACTTTTGGAGGAAAATATATTTTCTTATTATTTTTAGTACAAGGGTGACTTGTCATAATTGGTACTGTTATTATCCTTTGTCCAAGTATGACCTTCATTTTGGTCCAAGTATCACTTTGGCATGCTTGGTACAGTTATTAACCTTTGTCCAAGTATGACCTTCATTTCTTTCAGAAATTTTGCATTTTTGTAAAAAATCAAATTTTAAAGATGGAGCTAATTAAGTGGCTCAGAAGTGGAGGTCTGATTTAAAATATAATACATAACTAAATCTTAATTTTATGCCTCTCTTTATGACACACAAGGTCCAATTTGTTCTCTAAATTTAAAACTAAATTGGAGCTTGATTCTGTATTGGTCTTTATATGCAAGTGTATTTTTGAATTACAGAAACCAAAAAACAGAAAAATATTACATTTTTTTTTTTTTACTTTTTCATCAGAAATTTTAATTTGTGGTTGGCATTCTCATAACATGAGTTGAATTTCTAATAGCTGAAAAAAGAAAATGCAACCATATATTTTTTGGTCTTTTTAGGCTTCCATACATTATAATTGTGGATACAATGAACGAACAAAACCTATTTCCTTTCAAATAAACCCAAAGTAAAAGCCCAGTTTAGCATTATGCTTACATTGTTAATTGAACACACCAGCAAAAAATTCAATAACTTACTGTTGTGGTACGATACACCTAATTTACATAAGTGGAGTACCGACCATCTAAATATGGGTTGGTACCGGAAGACGGGAAAATAGTAGGAAGAAGAGATCGAATCGAGAGACTCTGCCCGACTGCGATTTAGTCAACCCATTCTGCAGGAACAGTCTTTCCAAGAATATACCAAAACTAACTGTAAATATTGTGTACCTTTTCCTTGTTTCAATACATTTTGTTTACGTACATTTTGTGTTGTATTATTATTATTCCATGCTTATCCAAGTTTCAACAATGGCGACGAGGAAAAAAAGAATTAATAATTGATAGCCTTCAACAATTGGGACAAGTGAAAGAACCCAGGCTGAAGAAAAAAAAAAAATCATTAATTAAAAGTCGAACATCTAATGGAACGGAAAAGTATTCTGAAGTTTGGACAGTTAAAACTAGTTAAAGGACGACTAAACATAAAGGAACGTTCACTCAGAAAAATCTGGAAGGTGGCGTAAACAAATAAAAAAAATAAAAAAAAAAAAAAAGCTGGCCGACTAAAAAAAACATGCATGGAATTAAAAAGGAGCACAAATAACGCGATGTCGACGTTGAAAGGTAAGCGAACTTGTAAAAAAAAAAAAAAATTTGTTTATTTTTTTTTTTTGTTGCTCAACAATATTTTATAAAGCAAGACATAAAATTAAAAAAAAGGCGTAAGTTGTTTCGATTTTTTTTTTTGTCTGCTTATAGTATATTCGTGGATACACAATTTAAAAGTATATTCTTTGTTGCATGAACACTATCAGCTAAAGATGGAGGAATTATCCAAAGTCATAGCTGAATTGTTTTAAAAGCCCAGCAGTTGAGTCAAGCTGAGTTAGTCAAATCCCAGCAGTTGAGTCTGCAACAACAAAGTGAACAGTTTGCCTTATTAAGAGAACAGCAATTAGCACAGCAGAATTATCAAGAAAGGCAAGAGGAGTTGAGTCAGCAACGTCAAAGGAACAGGAAGAAATGTATGTCAAGGTTTTGGAAATTCAAAAGTTAACATTGGAGAAATTAAACAACAATCAGGCAAATGAAAGTAACTCTTCATATTCTAATAACATCATATTTAATTCGTTGGAAACTTTCAACTATGTGCCAGACGAAGGAAAAAACGTTTGAAGCGTACTTTAAACGATATGAAGATATTTTCCACAGACTGTGAAAACTGGTCGAATTCAAGAAAAGTCAGTCTATTACTAAGAAAGCTAGGTACAGCGGAACATAGCAAATTTGTAGATTTTATTCTACCGAGAAGAACAAATGAATTGGAATTCTCGGAAACAGTGAAATTGCTAAAGGAGCTGTTTGGAGCAAAATATGTCGCTTTGGCATAAGCGATGGTTATGCATGAATGTAGCTAAATCCGACGATCAGGATTACTTAACTTATGCATCTATAGTGAATAGACATTGTGACAATTTCAGATTGGCAGAGATTACGGTTGAAGAATTCAAGTGTTTAATTTTTGCTCAAGGACTGGTATCCAGTAAGAGTGCGAAATAAGGCGTAGAGTTTTGTCTAAACTCGAATCTGAACAAAACCTTACCCTGCAAAAGTTAGCAGAGGAGTGTCAGCGGGCCGTAAGTTTAAAAGAAAGAGTCTCAGAAAATTGAAGCTAGTATTGCTTATATTAAAAAGTGAAGAAACAGTCAAATTACCCATCAGAAAAAATTGGATTAAAAATTGGGCGTATTTTAAAAATAGACAAGAAAAAATTAAATGAAAAGAATGAGGAGGGAAAAAAATGGTTCCGCCATTTAATTGTAGACGGTGCAACGGAAGACACTGGGAGGTAAATTGCCCATATAGAAATAAAAATGTTTCGTGTGCCACAAGAATGGTCACAAAAGGGTCGTGTTGTAAAAAAAAAAAAGTCAATAGCCGAATTAGACAAACAAATTCAAATATCAAATCAGATAGAGATTTGAGGAAGTATGTGACGACTGAAATATTTAAAAAGAATATCAAATTTCAACTCGATTCGGGTTCAGATTTAACAATAATGAACTATAAAACATGGAAAATATTAAAAGGCCTACAATAATGAAGTCAACGAAAACGCGCTTCGAACAGTGACTGGAAAGGAAATTAAATTCAAAGGTGAGGTTGTACTTCCCATGAAATTGAACGGGATAGTTAAAAAAAAATAAAAGTTTTCATTCTGAAAAATGGAGAAAATTTGATGGGTACAGATTTTATTGAAACATTCGAATTGTGGGATAAACCGTTAAACTCTTTTCCGGAAACAAGACAGGACATTAATGAGGAATTAAAGAAAAAGTTTCGGAAACTTTCACACCTGGTCTTGGAAGATGTAACAAGTTTGAAGCCAAATTCAAATTAAAGGAAAATACTATGCCAATTTTTAAAAAGAAACGTAATGTGCCTTTCGAAGTGTAGAGAAAATTAACGAAAAGAACTTGATAGGTTGGAAAAAATGGGAATTATTTGAAAGTAGAATCTAATTCATGGGCTGCGCCGAATTGCGTGCATAAAAAGAAATCAAACCAAGTCAGAGTCTCGTTGATTTTTTCGACAGGGTTGAACTCGTAATTAAGGACTACCATTACCCGTTACGAGTCCGGAGGAGATTTTTAACAAGCTAAATGGTGGAGTTATATTTTCAAAAATTGACTTATCAGATGCCTATCTCCAAATTCCCGTCGAAGAGGAATGTTGAAGTTACTAGGATAAACACGCATAGAGGGTTATTCAAGTACAACAGGCTTCCTTTTGGTATTAAAGTGGCACCTGCCATTTTTCAACAAGCTATGGACGTCATGCTGAATGATTTAGACTTTGCGAAAAATCAAATTAACTGGCGCTTACTTAGACGACATCATAGTAAGGGCGAATCGGTCGACGAACATCGAGAGCATCTCAATCAAGTATTTAAAAAATTCAGGACTTTGGATTTAAAGTCAAAGAGTCAAAGTGCGAATTTGGTTTGGAGGAAATTAAGTATTTAGGGCACATAATCAACAAAAATGGCAGATGTCCAGATCCGGAAAGGTCCATTGCGATTAGAGACATGCCAGCGCCCACTAATGTGGCGATGCTACAAAGTTTTCTAGGGCTTGCAAATTATTATCAAGCGTTCATTAAAGGAATGTACAATTTAAGAGCTCCGTTGAATGAACTGCTAAAAAAAAAAGACAAGGCATGGGAATGGACGGTAGAATGTCAGAAAGCCTTTGATGAAATAAAGAAAATGCTTACATCCGACCTCTTTTAACCCATTACAATCCAAAACTGGATATTGTAGTGGCAAGTGACGCTAGTTCATACGGGATAGGGCGTGTATTCAACACATAATGCCAGATGGTTCTAGAAAACCAATTGCACACGCTTCGAGAACTTTGCTCCCAGGAGAAAGAAGTTACTCTCAGATAGAAAAAGAGGCACTGAGTATCATTTTGCCATACAAAAATTTCACAGGTACATCCACGGCAGACATTTTATCCTTGAAACGGATCATAAACCACTGATCACTATTTTTGGTTCAAAGAAAGGGTTACCCGTTTATACAGCAAATCGTCTGTTAAGATGGGGAACCATTCTTCTCAATTATGATTTTCACATAAAGCACCTATCATCCAAAAAAGATAATTTATGCGAATAGTCTATCAAGACTAGTACCGAGTCAAGAAGAAAGATTGAAGAATCAATTATTGCAAATATCAGAGCAGATTATGAGGTGAAAAGCATGGTAAACAACATTGTAAAGAGAGCTACCGTTACGCTAAATGAAATTAAAAAAAAGAAGCTGAAAGCGATGTTTTCATTTTAGAAATTAAAAGCAAAATGGTAGCAAATGACCAAAAGTGCAGGAGATTTTTTCAATAGGTGATGGAGTTTTATTATATGGTGAGAGAGTAGTAATACCAAAGAAGCTGCAGAAAAAGAATACTTGGGACTTTCATATGGGTCACCCGGTATTAATAGAACAAAAAGCTTAAAAAGCTTTGTGTATTGGAAAGGAATGGATGTGGATATCGAAAACATGGTTCATCGATGTAAGGGTGTGCGTTAGCAGCTAAGGCACCACCTATAGTACACAAACCATGGCCCAAGACGGATCATCCGTGGACAAGATTACACATTGATTTTGCTGGTCCAGTAGAAGATTTTTACTACTTAATAGTGGTAGATAGTTTTACAAAATGGCCGGAAGTACTACGCTGTAAAAAGCCTACGTCCAATACCACAACAACCATTTTGCATGAACTATTTGCACGGTTCGGTGTGCCAGAGTGTATTGTGAGTGACAATGGTACACAATTCACTTCTGAAGAATTTAAGGAATTTTGTGAGTTATATCAAATTAACCACATAACGACGCCTCCGTATCATCCGAGGTCTAATGGACTCGCAGAAAGATTTGTCGATACTTTTAAAGCGAGCTCTGAAGAAAGCCTCAGGAGTTCCAACGGAAAAGGCGCTTCAGCAATTCTTACAAGTATACAGAATCACGCCAAACCAGAGAACACACTCAAACATGGCACCAGCTGAACTAATGTTCGCTAGGAAAGTTAAGTCAGTGTTTGACAAGCTTTTGCCAGGAAAAAATAGAGTAAAAAAATACCATGTATACAGCGAGAAAAAAGATACACTCCGGAGAGAAGGTGTTTTTCAAGTGCTATAAAACAACGTTGAGTTCTGGGAATGAGGCAGAGTGGACAAGAGAATCGGTGACCTGATTTACATAATTAAATGGCGAAGAATACTCATAAAAGGCACCAAAACCAACTTAAAAAAGATTACGGTATAGAGCAAGAAGAGTGTATACCGGATGAGGACGAAGATCCCATTGATATAATGTATGATATGTTTCAGGTAGAACCTCCACAGAATACACCTGAACCAAGAAGATCCGGTAGGAAACGGAAGTTGACGGACCCATTGGACGTGAATCCAAAATGGAAAAAATATTAAAATTAGGCAAATGGATCTACAAAGAAATAGCCATAATCATCAACCCATATAAGCCAATTTGAAATCCAAAAGGGATTCCAAGGCTTGGGAGGAGGGTGTTGTGGTACGATACACCTAATTTACATAAGTGGAGTACCGACCATATAAATATGGGTTGGTACCGGAAGACGGGAAAATAGTAGGAAGAAGAGATCGAATCGAGAGACTCTGCCCGACTGCGATTTAGTCAACCCATTCTGCAGGAACAGTCTTCCCAAGAATATACCAAAACTAACTGTAAATATTGTGTACCTTTTCCTTGTTTCAATACATTTTGTTTACGTACATTTTGTGTTGTATTATTATTATTCCATGCTTATCCAAGTTTCAACACTTACAATAATATATTTCCATATTGCAAACCTTTTCAAAACAAATTAAGATAAAAAAAAGTAAACCTAAATTTTATCCAATCTTGATAGAATCCAAAAGCATCTCCTCGTCCTTGTAGTTGATGAATTATTTTCCAACTTGCAACCCCTTTCCCAGACAAAATGTCACAAGATTCTTGATACTCTATCACTATTTCCATGGAAAGTGCTCAGATCAACTACATTCCTTAGTTCTACCAGTTCTAACCTTCATTGCTAAGACCTACCATGCTATGCACATTGCAGCAAGATTTGGCAAGATCTAAGTTCCAGTTAAACAGCATCTTCCTACAAATCACTGTTTTGTGGAACAGACTTCCAAGAGGATACTTCTCCTGATGAGTACTATCTTAACCTGCTAGGGTTAACCATTATCTTCCTCAGTTTCATAAACTACCTCTTACTCTGTAATTCTCTTTCTTGAGTGGATCTTGGGCTTTGTATAGGGTGAACATTATTGTAAAAAAAAAAAAAAAAAAAAAAAATACAAATTTCATTCGAATTCAGAAAAAATGATTCATCAGAGTTTTCTTATTTTTTGATAGTATGTTTATGTTAACTTGTGATGAAGCCTTGATTTAGCATGAACCCGCTTCTCATGCAATGAAATTTTAAAAACAGTACAACCTCGGTTCTCGAACATCTCACATGTCGAACAAATCAGTTTTCGAACAGAAAATTCGAGATGAAAATGCCTCAGTTATTGAACAAAATTTCAGTTCTTGAACAACATTGCTGAACCAAGTTAAACCAAACGGAATAATTTCTGAGTCGACCACCATGGTGTATACATTCAGGTGTTGTGGCATGCTTTTCTTTTCCACTTTTATTGTACTGTGACTTTCTTCCTCTACATTTATTCCTATTGGAAAAATAGTTTCCGGTTACAAACGGCCTTCAGAAACAAATTAAATTTGTGAACCGAAGTTCCACTGGACTTCACTGATCATGTATTATTATCATTATCATCAAGTTGCTACCCTACACCCATCCATACACAGAACCTTGCCTGGGGTGTTAACGTTTTAAGGTCAGTGTGGAATACCTACTTACAAAAGTAACAGAAAGAAAAAGACTAAATGAATTCAGCTAGATAAACAAAAAAAAAATTCTAAAATTCCCAGCACCTCTCTGTTGTGTGCATGAGTAGCCCTAGCAACATACAACAAGGATCATATTGAGAACAAGAGAGATGGGGGAAACGTAGTGTGCCATTTACCCAACAAGATTGTGTAAATGGAGGGCGGAATGAAGGGTGGGGAGAAAAGAGAAAAACTTCTAAGGGCCACAATGAATAGGAAGTTGGGAAGGACCATGATCACCTATGTCATAAGACAACGATAAAGGATAACTGATTCTTGTTGCTGAAGACATTAGGTTTATAATATCCAGAAATTCATACACAGATGTCCTCAAAGACACATGGCACAGTGGATAAAGGTGTTAGTTAGATCCAATGACAGGACCCAAAGGTTAAGGCAGTGGAGAACTTGGAGAGGGGAATTAACAGGAGATAACTGATAACTGACAACCATTAAACATGGCATGTGGAACTAGAACAGTTTACCCCAGGGTTCAGTTCGACATTCCAACCACCTGAAGAAGGCCAGAGCATACAACGGCTGAAACGTTGTAATAAATATGTCGACAAAGATGAGGACAATAGTCCAAATAATGTAAATAGTGTACATAATACCTCATCTCAGAAATATAGACAGTTACTGATTCTCGTTTGTCAGCCCTAATGTTACATCTACCATATTTCCTTGTGTATAATACAAGAAAATTTTGAACAAAAGGCTAAAAAGGGGAGTCATATTATACACAAGTACATGACATTTTCAGAAATTTTTGCTCAACTTAAAAAAAAACAAAAAAAAAAAACAGCACAATAGATAATAAAACACAAAGTAGGCATTTGTTGATAATTTTTTGCAATTTGATGTGATCAAAATATCAAGCAAAAAGTATATATTTTCTTCTTTGGGAATTAGCATAACTGAATGTCTTTAGTCTCAAAAAAAAAAAAAAAAGAAAAAGAAAAAAAGAAGTAAAAAAGAAGAAAAAAAGGAAAAAAAGAAGGAAAAAAAGAAAAAAAGAAGGAAAAAAAGAAGAAAAAAAAGAAGGAAAAAAAAGAAAAAAAAGAAGGAAAAAAGAAGAAAAAAGTGGAAATTCACCAAAATTGATTAAAAAAAATCAATAAAAGGAATACACAAGATCTATCTTTTGTACTTTTTTTTTAGTTTTTTTCCATTTCAAAAATGGGGTGATAATTTGTTGTTTCATATTCCTCTATTTGTTGACACATATTTAAAATTAGAATATAAAATTTGTTTATATTTTGATTTTCATGTTATTTTAATAAAGTCTTCTCTCTTCATTTTTTAATGAAAGACAATATTTTTTTTTATTTTCATAGTTTATTAATATATAAAAATATAATAGTCATATCAAACAGAAAAATAAGATAGATTTCCCATAGTTTATTAATATATAAAAATATAATAGTCATATCAAACAGAAAAATAAGATAGATTAACACCTTAAAATGTATTACCATTTATGTGCAGTTGGCACCTATCCCCAAAAAACTGAAAGTAAGTTTTGAAATACAAATTAGAAGAAAACATCCAATGGCTAAACATTTAGTTCATTTTTATCTTAAATATTTTAGTGAAATATATGTATGACATTGAGACTTTAATCAACATGGTACAACTTTTTTCAAATAATTTACATAGGGATGGCTGTACAATAGGTTCGTATTATATTCAAGGATGTAATTTATTCAGTTTTTAGCTTCAGAAACATAGGTTCTTCTTATACTCAAGTCATATTATACACAATAAATTTTTTAGCAATGGAAATATGCATGGCATAAATGAGTGGTTGGTTGTTTAGCAGCATATCAAGCTCCGAGTTATTTAATGCCAAAATTTAAATATTTTGTATGCAATTTTATTTTTGGGGGAGATAATGCTTTTAGTGATACAAGTTTTACTAATTAACACATAGCTAGGGGAGAAGAGATGGAATCATACCTTTCCCAAGGGTATTTGCACATAAATGATTATATGAAACTGAACTGGAACTCAGCTATCCAATTAACAATTCTGAGCCTTTATCCATTACAAAACTGGCACGGCACATCCAAGCTTAAAGTACCTGGTATTATCAAGCAGTTACCCATCTAGGTACTGACCCAGGTCAACGTTGCTTAACTTTGGTGATTGTATGGGAACCAGCATATAGATGGTACCATGATGTGGTTGATATGTATCTGCTATTTAACTTCATATATATTTCAGTTTTATTTCGTTATATGTTATATACAAAGCAAACACATTGTTGCTTAACTTGAAATTACTTACTAAATCTGCCAACGTGTTATCACAAGTGTCTTCTGCACTTTTGTCACCCTTTTTTCTGAAATATAAAAGAGATAAATTACAGAAACTGATTTAAAATATCACAAAAAGGACATAGATTAAACTAAACAATGAAATTATAATGTAAACATATGAGACCTTGTGTCTGAATTTCTGTGTAGAGGAGTTGTCATTATATACACTATTTACATGCGGACTATTGTCCTTATCTTCATTGTTGTTATCACAATCTTTTGGCTGTTGCCCCATCCAACATTCATCAGACGTCCGTCGATCAGTCTAACCTACAGGGAATTCCAAACTGAACCCTTTATTTAATCAATGAGGGTAGATTATTCTCTTTCTCATGTCAATGGATATCTTGTCTAGTTCTTATTTTTATTACTGCTCAGTTATTGCTTGCCTCGTTTCCACTGAGTCCAAATACATGCTGCCCGGACCAGGGATTGAACTAGTGGTTTAAAGCATTGGTTCATGAATTTGGAGACATATTAGTTCAATCCCTGCACCAAGCAGAGTGTATTTGGACTCAACTGCATATGAGGCAAGCAATAACTGAGCAGTACTAAAAATAAGAACTAGATGAGATATCCCTAGACATGGGCAGTGGAATGAGAACAATCTATTCCTGTGGATTAAATAAACAGTTCAATTCAAAATTCTCTCTAGGTTGCCTGGGCCAACATATACCTGGTGATGGTCAGACAGCACAATGGCCAAAATGTTGTGATAACAACAACAAAGATGAGGACAATTGTCCAACAGTAAATAGTATAAATATGAGACCCTCACCTAGCTTTCCCCTGATCAGCCAATGACTACCTTACATGATGTCAGCAGGTGTTAAAATCTGGGAAAGGTTCACTGCACATTCACAATGAAAGAAAATACTACACCAAAAAATGAGAACTCGAACCCTGTTTTCAACATATTTAGGCATTTTATTTGGGGCTTCACATCAGACAGGATCAGTAGGTAGGTAGGTAGGTGCCACTTGGGGACAACTTCTGCCATGCCAGTCTAACAACTCAGCTATTTCTTCCTACCATCTCTCTAACTGAAGACGTGTGGGTAGAAATAAAGAATGTTCCAATAACTTGGACCAATTTTAAATGTGAATTAAGTTTAAGTGTCTAATGATTTTTTTTCTTTTTCTTTCAGATTTAACAACTTAAGTCTTTGGCAATTTCAACCATGGAAAAACTAACAATCAAACAACATGTTAAAGTTATCGAAGCCTATTACGAAAATGTTCATTCTAACAGAAATGCATTGAGAAGTTCATAGGTCACATCATCTCTTAAAACAGTAATGTCAATTGACCACCATGATTGTGCAACTTGACGCCTTTAGATTTCTTCCTTTGGGGTCATCTAAAAAGTAAGGTCTATGCCAACAAGCCAACAACAATTCAATTGCTGAAGGATGAGATAATAAGGCATATTGGTGAGATCGAACAGCAACTATGCAGAGACGTCATCAAAAATTTTGATTATCAAGTGGAGGTGTGTCACCGAAGCCTTGGCGGACATTTGGGCAATATTATTTCTTACACATAATTGCCATGACTTAAATAACATGATCCAATAGAGAAATAAATAAATTTTCACCAATAACACTGATTTATTTACTGCCGACTTTGATCCGTCTTAATGAAACACCCTTTACAAACAGGCAGCATCAGAAATACCTTAGAGACAGTCCCACCCTCTGACCTCACCACTAAGGGTGGTCCAGAATTGAATCCCAAAGAATACAATAGATCAGTAACCAGAAATCATCAGTGTCAGTTTTGTTGTCACTTGTCCCCAAATGCTTTCATTTCCTTATCTATTCTTTTGTTCCTCTTCAGTTAAGTGGGTGCCACTTAAAAGACCAAACTTCAAAGACCCACCCACCAGCTATAATTCAGAAACAGGCAAAATCAAGATAAAATTCACATTTTCATCTTGTACATGGTTATACCAATCAAAGTGTCACAAAAAAAAATAAAATAAAATAAATAAATTTAGTTTTACCTTTTGGTAGGTTTTTTTCCACGTTTTCCTGTCGAAGATGTTGAAGGTACATTGTCAGTGCTAGGTGGAATTATCTCTGTTTCATCCACATCAAAACAAGCAAGTGATGGCACGTAGCCAGGGGTGGCTAAAAAGAAAACAGAATCAAGTTAATTCACAATTATTCTTATAGAGAAAAAGAAAAGCAGAAAATATACATTAGAAATATTCATTTTTTTTTTATTAGTATTTCTTTTTTTTAATTTTTACAGTAAAACCTCAATTTAAAGAATATCGACTGACTTTTTATTTTTAATGAATGAAGTTAGAATATATCATTCATAAAGTCCATGTTAAGTTACTTAGGTACATGTTAAACTTGATAACTATAAAGTTAGCTGGAAGGTACAAATCTCTCCAATATCATCTATTTTAAAGACAGTTTTCACTATAAATAACAAAACATTACTTGGCAACAGTGTGTGTGTGTGAGAGAGAGAGAGAGAGAGAGAGAGAGACCCATTTCAATGTTATGGGTAGTTCAACATGTAGCCAAGGTCACTTATGGTAAGTGAGGCTTACTTCCACATCATGAAACACTAGTTCTTATATAATCACTGAAGCTAAGCAATGTCAACCTTGGTCAGTACCTAGATAGGTGACAGTATGGGAATACCAGGTGCTGTAAGCTTAGGTGTGCAGGTGGTGTAATTGTTAATCAGATAACCAAGTTCCAATTCCTGTTAGGCTCATTATATTCACTTTCTATAATCTTAAAATATTTTCTGGCTTTAAGTAAAAGCTACCAAGGGTTGACAATCTATAGAAAACAAATCAATCATTGTAAATGGCTGAAAAATAATAATAATTTTTGGAAGGACAATTCTAGTATGTGTGCATGTAGTTACAGCTTAATCTTGTCAGATACGCATTCAAATTGACATATTTTTGTTTTGTGCTTATCATCATCATCAAATTTATGTATTGGTTAGTTTTTAAATTTTATGTGTCTTTTGTAAATGTTGTTTTAACCTTTACCACACAGAGCGAAAATTGTCATCATAGAATTCTCTCCCTTGGTAGCTGTAGGCACATTCTGTCACCTTGAGATGGTTGCTATAAATAAACTTGTCAACTGCTATTTCCATTATTTTAAGCTGGAAATCACATACTACTGCTTTGAAAGAAGTCTAAACTTCTTTTTTCCAACACCATTTTGGATTCTTCTAGATTCTACATGAGGTGTAACAGCAATTAAATCCTTGTTAACTTTTTTCAATTTTTTATAAACAAAAATGACCACATCAACATCCAACAAAGCCTTTATTCAGGAGTTTTTTTTTTTATTATTTGGACTCCAATGATGATTTTGGAATGTAATACCCAAGTGGATATTGATGGTGAAGTGGTTGAAGATGATAACCATGCTAGTGATGTGGAGATGACCACTAGATACCGAGCGGCTACTATCATATATGGCTGATTAATGGAAGCTACTGGTCCATAGATGTACTCGAGAGCCTTTCTGAAGGTAAATTATTCCGTCTATTTATAAACAATGAAATAATAACTTTATTTGTTAACAAGACAAATAAATATGCTAGTCAGGTGAAAAAAAAAAACAAACAAATGCTGGTATCTTCTCATATGTAAACATGAGGTAGCATGTCCTTTTCTTGACAAAATGAAAGCCTTCTTAGCCATTTTGCTTTCTGTTGCACACCAGAACTCCACAATAAAAGTTAAAGTATGTTAATTTGTTAATGTATTGTTCTTTTATTTTGTGTTTCAATTGTTTTGTTTTCAACATCAAAACATGCATGCAAAACACAATACATTACATCAAAATATTACTCATCCATTCTTTTATTAGTATACAAAAAATAAAACCTATACACACAATACAAAGAAAGTTATAACAATTTTAAAACAGTAGGTATTCATGATTTTTATGCCCACAAAAAAAAATGCAGTGGCAGAGAGAACAAGTCTAGAAAGAATTTAGCATGCAAAAGGTTAATAAGAGTGTGAACAGTTTTTGCTTTTTCTATCCTGGTGAATTTTGGAATTTTAGCCAACAACCATGAACACACTTTTTATACATTGTCTTTTTATATGCATTTCTGCTTTATGTAAGACTTGGTTATGAGTTCAAAGAAAATTCCAGTGCAGATTATATCTACAACACCACTAACAAAAATCCACTCAATATGAGCAAGGAAAAGTATATAAAATTGTTTTATTTGATATTTTATACGGTTTAATGTACCATAAGTCATTTGAATGCTATCTTGGATTAAACAAAATGATGTTCCTTAAAAGTGGTGATCTATAAAACTTGTTTCTTATTAACAAAATATAGGATTTACCAGATTTAAGGGGCACACTCTCCCCATGGATGTACACGTGGTGTAATGGTTAAAAGCCCAGAACAAAAAATCAGCAGGCAAAGTTCTAATTCTGATCGAGATCGTTAAATTCACTTTCACACAAACCCTGTTAGGAAAGGGTATGAATCTATCTCAACAATTTCTGCTATTATAGGGCAGAGTAGACTAGAGAGTTGTCAATGTGGCATGGTAGGTTTTAGCTGTGAAGATTAGAACTGGTGGAACTAAGGAATTCAGTTTCTCTGAACACTTTCCATCAAAATAGCAATGGAGCTGCAAGAGGCTTGCAATGTTTTGTCTGTGGGAAATAGGTTGTATGGTGGAAAATAATTCATCATTCACAAGAACATGGGGATGTTTCTGGGCTCTGTCAAGACTGGAAAGTTAAGGCTGGGCAGCTCCTGACACATATATGGCAGGAGTATTTTATTTTCAACCTGATCTGAAGATAGCAAGAAGAGTCGGGAACTTACTGGAGCAGTACAGGTCACCCCAACCATTTTTCCAGCATCTTCAACAAGGGATCATATGTATGAGTCCCATTTGAGGTCTGGGTTGAGCTTAAGTTGAAATAGTTGCTTAAGACATGAAGCCTCCCTGAGAGAACATTCATTTATTATGATAGGCAAAAACTCAGGATCCCTTCACTGATGGTAGAACAATTTATGTATAATGATTAGAAAGAATTAAAGTTTTCAAATCCGACCCATGATATCACAGGATGCAGTAAAAAAATAGAATAAAATCAGAATCTACATTGAAAAAGTAATAAAGTTTTGATGAGCACAAAAAAGAAAAATGTAAGGGAGATAAATCAGTTGGGAATAAAAAAAATACTTTTCTTCTAGTTCTTAAAAGGAACTCACCAGCCAGGCATTTCTCCAAAATGGTTTGTACTTCTGTAATATGTTGTAACCGCATGATCACTTTTACAAGGACCTCAGCCTCCTTTTGAGAACTGAACAAATTGATGATCTGAAGAGAGAACAATTCATAGCATCATCATCATCATCATCACAGTCAAGGTTTAAGATTTATTAATCTACAGAGTGCGATGGATAAATTGTCTTTTAAATTGCACAAAAATGAAAATAACACTGACATCTCCTTTTAACAGATATATTTACCAAAATTACACAAAAATATCTTGAAATACTAAAGAGTAAATTTATTCAATAAAATCACCATTGGCTTCAACCACAGCCTCCAGACGAGTTCAGAATCTCCTACAATTTTTCTGGACGGTCTTGTTTAAGTTGGTAAATGCTGCTATAATTCTTGCCTTCAGTTCATCGTTGATATTACAAGGAGTTTTGTTCATCTCTCACTCAACAGCACCCCATACATAATAAACGAGGAGATTGCAGTGGCCAGATGTAAGGGGTGATGTGGTTGCAAAAATTGTCCAACAGGCTTCTCCTGTTTGTGTGGCATGGTGCAGAGTCCTGTTGCTAGACATAGGGTCTTCCAGCAACCATCCTCATGACCCAGGGCAGCACTACCTCCTCAAGGCACTTGCTGTAGGCCTCTGCATTAAGTCTGAGGCTCTATAAGAAGATGAATAGAGGCATAAAGTCACCATTACTTGTGATAACTCCAAACACCTTTGTAATCACCATTAGACTCATCCAACTCTTTCTGAATCCTCTGCACTGTCCTCAGATTGACACCCAAACACTCTGAAATGTTTGTATTGGAGCTTCTGGTGTGAATACCAAGCAGTACAGCATGATGTCTCCAAATATCTGGCAGAGTGAATTGCACCATGGTGATCTTTTTCTCAGACAGTGCCCAATTGACCCTACTATATTGTGCAGTAAACAAAATCAAAAACAAACAACGTGCATACGTGAAGTTAAAAATATAAAAATGGTGACAATTTACCAATCGTACCCTGTATATACAGAGGGGCTGCAAAAATATGTATACAGTAAGTATTATACCAGTATTGATATTTTTGTATAATTAATACATTTTCCATGCACGTTTTATACTCCCCCAAGTATTAATACACGTGTACCTATGTGTTGTGTGTCTCACTTCATATCACAGATATTGAGAGGGGAAAGAGAGAGGAACATAGAGAGTAAAACAAAAATAGAGAGTGAGTGTAGAGAAATAAAAAGAGAATGTAACACAGAGAGGGATTAGAGTGTGGGGGGTCATCTGAGATAAAGACAGTTGTTTGTATTGAGGAGTTAAATAATGTTTCATGACCTAATGGTCTGTTGAGGATAAATTCGCCACCAAATTGCAAGTGACCTTTTGAAATTAAAATCTTTTTTTAAAATCTCATCTTTGCGAATTTTCTACAGGTAAAGGAATCCAGACTATGCTGAGCGTCTGAGGGAAAGAGAGAGAGGGACACAAAGAGACAAAAATCGAGTGTGCCACAAAGAGGGGTTGCAAGAGTGTATTATTAGATAAAGACATTTGTTTATAGTGAGGGCTTAAATCATGTTCCATGACTTAAAGATCTGTTCAGGATTTTTAAAGGAGACTATGTCCCTTTCCTTATGACTATCTGGGTTGAAAAGTACAGAGGGCAGAATTATAAAATGTATTAGTAAATCCATGTAATTTAAATGGCATTTAAGCTCAGTGTCAATTCAGAATTCATGTCAGGTAACTTAGAAATGGAAAAAAAAAACAACACATTTTTTCCAAGAAATAATAATGGATAAGTAAATGGCAAAATAGAAAAACTTATTAGTAACATGTTTCAATCCTAGAAAGAACTTTTTCAGACTAATGACATTTTTACTGATGGAATCAGTCTTATACATAAATAAAAGTGGGAGGGTTAGTTTAGTAGAAAATACAGCAAATCCGAGTTACAATTTTACATCAAAACAATACAGGGACGCTCAGCCTTTAGATTTATTTTTTCATGTCCGATGTTTCTAGAAGTCTAGCTCAGCCAATCTAATTCAGCTTTTCATCACTTTGTTTCTATTTTATTTTATCACTATTGCTTTCAATTATCTAACATTTTATTACCACACACTGTAATAGAAGCAGCTTCATGAAGAAAGGAGATATGTATGATTCTGGGCATAAATTTACAATGGAAGATTCAGAAATCAGTGCATATTTAATAGCTTTTCACCTTAATATATTGCTTATATTATAGCCATTTGGAAATCCTAACTGTCCCTGGGATCCAAGGATTTTTCCATTGTTCATATGGTTTATGCCAAAGTCAGCAAATATGCACATGAAAAGTGGCCTCTTTTGAGAGGGTCTTTTATGATTGATTTGTTTGTTTAATGGCATATCAATTCTTTTATGGGTTATTTAATGCCAAAATTTAATTTTCTTGGGAGCTTTGAAGTAATAAAAATATATGTTATTCTGCTTTCACAATTGAATACATGGTAGATGATACTCAGCTTTTATGCCAATATATGTTTGTGTGGTCATAATTGCTAGAGGCAGTGATATGTGTGTTATATTTTGTAGTTTTGTTGAAGTTATATTTTGGAATACAGATTGATCTTTTTAAGAAATTGTAGGATATTATATAGATTAACATCATGAAAGTTCTTTCATGTTGGTTGTTTGGTTGGTGGATTTTGTTTAGTGGCAATATGTCAGATGTAGTTTGAGAAGGGCCGTATCCTGTACAAGGGATGCAGTATTTCAATGTTTGCCAATAGGACAAAGGTGTTAGAGTATGAAAATAAATGAAACATATATGTCTGTAATGCTTGTCTATATCTCCGAGATGAGGTATTATGATTATTTACATTATTCAGACTGTTATCCTCATCTTCACAATGTTTTGGCCCTTAGTACATTCTGGACTTCTTCAGGCGATTGCACACATGGCCCAGTGGATAAAGGCATTGGTTAGATCCAGTGACTAAACCCAAACAGTTTGTGAGTTCAATATCAGGCTACAGCAGTGGTGAACCAAAGAGTTGAGTTAAATGGAAATAACTGAGACATCCGGAAGAGGCATGGCATGTGGAACTAGAACAATCTACCTCGGTGGACGAAATAAAGGGTTTGGTTCGAAATTGCAATCACCTGATGAAGGCCAGAGCATACAATGGCCGAAACATTGTGAATACGGCAATGAAGATGAGGATAACAGTTTGAATAAGGTAAATAGTCTTTCATGCTATTCATAAGAATGAATTAGAATGAGGACTTACTTCTCGAAACCAATTGAGTGTATAGAACAAAACGGCACAAACTACTTCTTTCTCAGATCTGGACAAACAATCAAATTTGTCAAAAACATGTGATTTCATAATGCAGACAGGGCAACCTAGAAACAAAAAACAAACCATCATCAACATGAGATATGTAGAGAATAAAAAATTGTTTTAATATTAATAGAAAAGAAATGATCTGTAATTTACCCAATTAATCATCAATAAAGCACAGTGTACGTATGTCCATCAATCTGTTTTTCAATCTTGGCAAATCCAAATCATAAATAAACTAAAATAACACGTGTTAACTACTACAGTTACACATGATTAAAAATTAAGTAAATAACTCATTTAAAGTTAAATTTAAATATTGAACAGAGTGAAAGGTTTAAAAGCAATTCTTTATTAAAGGTTCAACTTTAATTTCCTTTTTTATTGCAATTGATATCATCTAATTAAACCATAATTAAAACTTAAACATGGCACAGTACATTGCTCATATGTTGTTTTTTTTCTTTTTCTAGCACGCTTACTGTGATGTATTCGAAATATTACATATTTCGGGTTCCCTAATATCTTTTAAGTATGACTTTATGTGAATGGATCCTAAAGAATGGTCATTTTAAAAGAAAAGAAAAATTGCATGTAAAATAAATGTAAACTATGGAAATCGGTTGTGTATACAAAGAAAGATTATGCCGAATGAAGGTGTTGAATAAAATAAAACAATTTTATTATTTCTAAATTCTTATAACTTTTATGTACATAGGATGCTGAAGGGAAAAGGCTGAAGGCCCCAAAGCCCACCCCCACCCCCCCACTCCACATATTAACAGATGTTTTCAATAAGCCACCTGAATATTTACAGTGCCAGCAACCCTAGGACTGGCCCCGAAATTACAAAGGATTGTCAAAAAGGTAAACATTGGTACAGCTTGCATATAGGAGGGGAAAAGTTAGATTTTGATTCATTCATTTTCTATGATTTGTCAAACTTTTCAGGTTATTTTAAAGCCAGAAAATACTTTTGGATCATAAGAATTTTGGCGGGGGGAGATAATAATGGTTTAGTGATACAAATCAACCCATTGCTAGGGGAGAAGAGATGGATTCATACTTTTTCCAAGTATACTTGCACATAAGTGAATATGATAAACCCAACTGGAATAGGAACTTGGCAGTTTGATTAAGAATTCTGGACCATTACCATTACACCACCTGTAAATCCAAGCTTACAGCACCTGATATTCCCAAGCAGTCACCCACTAACATATTAACTGGTGTTTCAATGTGATGTGGTTGAGAGCCCAAAAAAGGCAAACATAGGCCCAGCTCGCTCTAGAGCCGCAAAGGCAGACAGAGGCCCGGTTCACTCTAGAGCTGCAAAAGCAGACAGAGGCCCGGTTCACTCTAGAGCTGCAAAGGCAGACAGAGGCCCGGTTCACTCTAGAGCTACAAAGGCAGAAGGAGGCCTGGCTCACAATAGATAGCTGACATAGCTGCATATTTATAATCAATGCCAAATGGTTGGTGTTTGAGAGAAATTTTAATTGATAGTGATCAAAGCATGCAGGTATTCTTTAATCAGAATATTCATATAAGGCAGACTTCCTAATCACACTCTCTTTATTTGGCCTTGTGTCAAACTTTGCTGAATATGTTTTTTTTTTACAGGGTGGTTAAAAAAAATTAGCATTTCAATTATCAATTAAAAATTCATGTCTGGTTGGGACTAACAAAAATGTCCGTAATTGCAATGCCCTGTATTGATAATTTCTTTATTTCAATGTTTTAACATCATTAGTCTCTTGTAAGAGAAAAGTTTTAAAAATCTGAAAATTTTACTAACTTGCAACCCAACTAAAGAGATATACAAAATTGACCGTTCAGTAGAAAAGGTAAAATGTTTTGACTCTTTAAGATAAAATTATTGATGAGATTCATCCCTAAACCTACACCAAAAATTGAGTTTATAGTTGTCAAGAATAAACACATCATCATTTTTTCAGGTTTCCATATTTTTAAAAATATGAACGTTAAGTTTTGATATGGATGAATGAAAAAAAAAACTCCAGAAATAGAGTTATAAGAGATACTAAAAGTTTTGCCCCAAATACATACCTAATAATGCCATGATGTCCTCTAGAGTTTCGTCTCTTTGGGATTCACACAAAGCAAGGAGCCGAAAAGTTGGAACAATACACAAAGGGGAAATCTTACCACTGTGAATACAAAATACTTCAGTGAATTCAGATGTTAAGTTATTGTTGTAATTTAGAAAAGATTACTGAATGAGGAATAACCAAAATGATGGTTGGAAATGAAATGGTAATCTTTATAAGAATAACAAAATACAATACTCGCCAGCAGCATGAAGTAGGTAAACCACTGCTAGTGGTGAACTACTTAGACAGCATATTATCCCCACTTACAATAGTGACCAACATATTTATGAGGATTGGGACATGCCCATTAGTGTTCATATGTATGGTATATAATAGTTATCAACTTCAAAAGAATTAAAAATCAATGAAATAAGTTTGTAACAGTCGGAGGCACAGCATAATTATTTTTTATCTATATTATTGTCTTTAACAATTCCAATTTAATCTTTCTCATGCAACAATTTTTCCAGACTTAATTATAATCTATCGATAAAAAAAATATACTTCTTAACAGTAGCAAGCGCATTTCTAGGAATATGCAAGAGAAATTAAGGGGATGTATGAATTTTGTAAAACACTGGAATTATGAATTAAACTTATGAATTATGTTTTGTAAAGCTGACATAGTTGGGTTTTTTGGGGGGTTTTTTAATCATTTAACCCCAAGCAAGGCAATAAAGCCACTAAAACACAAGGTGTTATATTTTACGAGGAAAAAAAAAAAAACACACACTATTATTAAAGAGAGAGAACAATAAAACAATAAAAATTATGATGGTAAATAACAATTGATACTGCATTTAAATTTTTGAGGATCCAGCTTGACAAGAAAGCAAGAAGACAAAAAGTTCCACAAGTGAGAAATACAATAGAAGAAACTTTCAGCATAGAACTTATGGTTACATCTTTAGCCAATTCAACTATAAAAAAAGTTTTGCAATGCCAGTTTGTAGGAGAGACTTTGTAAATCACAGATTCAACAATAGTAATGCCTTGAACAATACTTGGTGAGACGCTGCTAATTCCCATATATATTTTCCTTTATCTGTCACATGATCTAATTATTTCAAGATGAGATCGACTGGGCTTGCTCTCTGGCAATCCGTGTTCAAACCCAAGTGTCAGCAGCAACACTTTATTCCTATATAATAAGGAAACCTTGCTGACAATGTAGTACATAAAGTCTAGCTACCATAGAGGAAAGTTCATCAGAACAATTACCATGAAAGTATTTATAGAAAAGGCAAAGGGAAGCTACGTTACAGTGGTGGGAAAGTGATTGAAGCCAAGATGTTAGGTCAGGACTTTGGATTTTATCAAGAATCTCTATAGTCAGAGCAGCAGACCAGATGTGGCAGCAATGATCAAAGCAAGGACGAATGGTAGACTTATGTAATATAGATTCTGGCAAGAAAAATTGTCAAACATGACAGGGAATCAACTTTCCAAGTTACATGCCTAGCAATTGATTCAATATAATCTTTCCACTTGAAGTATATGGAAAATGTTAGTCTGAGAAAGCACAATGTCTCACTCTTCTGGAGGTTAGCATCAGCCATGCTGATGAAAAGATAAAAAAAAAAAAAAAAAGAGTTATCTCAAACATGGTGTCAAAATTAAGAATCTATTTTTGCACCAGTTAATAAGAAATTGTAGGTCACTTTTGATATCAATTCATATATTGCACTGATCTGACTTCTTTATTCCAATTTCAGATCAGTTTCAAACATGCAAAACTCATTTTTGGACTTTATAAAAGACTCCACAACTATTTTTTGAAATCTCCTACCTAACATCACTAGTAATGAATGGATGTTCCCTCAGAGATCATGTGCCTTGAGTGACTATTGGGCCTTAAACTCAACCCAGACTGCAATTGGAACTCATACATACAATTCATCACTAAAAGATGCAGAGGAAAAATGGTCGGTTCCTTGTACCACTCCAGTAAGTACTTGACTCCTTGTGCATATCCTCTACCTTTACAAGAGTACTGCCGTTATATTTGGGCAGAAGCTGCCTAGTCCTCACTTTTCAGTCTCGATAGAGTCCAAACATGTCTCCGCATCCTTGTGGGTGACAAATTATTTTCTAGCCTGAAACTCCTCTTTCACAGACGAAAATGTTGCAAGTCTTTCTACATTCCTTAGCTTCACCAGTTCTAACCTTGCAGGGAACCACCCTCATTCCCGCCATATTCCAATGTTGAGAAATAAGTTCAACTCAAGCAGCTTCTTCCTGCAAACCACAGCTCTGTGGAACAGACTCCCAAGAAGATGTTTTCTCTGATCACTACAATCTTAACCCATTCAAGTCTAGGGTTAACCATTATCTTTCCCACATATCCACATAAACTGTGCCTCTTACTCTTTAACTCTCTACCTCCAGTGGCTCTCGGGCCTTGTACGGGATGAACAACTGCAAAAAACATTTCTTGGGCTCCATTGTGAAATCTCTGCCACCTTATCTAAAAATGGGTGGAGAGCTTTTCCGCTGTTTATATTTACTTATCACTGGGAACAAGGATTTTCAACAATATGTATAACCAAAGGTAAATTTCATGCAAGCCTGCCAACTGAGAATGAAAAGTCTATCTCTGTCTCTCAGAAACTTTGTCTAGAATTGAATTATTTTTTGCAAAGAGCCAAACTAATCAAATATATAACATCAAATTACTAATCTATATAATAAATGTGAATGTCAGTGTGTCACTGTGTCACACTTTTTCAACTTTACTCCGAGAGGCTGTAGCCCAACATACCGGGAGCAAATTAAAACCATTTCGGACAGGATCCAGAGCCACAATCCTGAAATTTTGGATTTTCAAGTTTTCATTGCTACAATTGTTTTCAGCAATTTTTTTTTTTATGTGATTTTTTGCAACAAATTTTTTTGTACAATAATTTTTATAACTTGGAAATAAATTTGGGAATAATCAAAATTAATTATGAAATCCAGCAAAAATCACCCATCAAATAAAAATAGTATGTATAGAAAGTAAGGACCTACATACATCAAATTGTCTTCAAATTAAGCAACAGCAGGGAATTAGCGTTGAACTTTTAAATGTAAGCTTAAATATTAATGCAATACTTAAATGCAGCAATTTTGAGGTCTCCTTTAGTTTATTGTTGACTATCACATCTACTCCTCCCTGCCTATTGTGATGAGGGCCCAATCAAGAGTACTCCACAGGAGCCAGCTTAAATACCATCTGAATTTCTGGGATGAGTTATCATCATTTAGACTATTGTCCTCATCCTTGTTGTTGTTATCACAAAGTTTCAGACATTGTGCCCGCTCGCCTTCATTATGTGTATATCAAACTGGGTAAACTATAGGGATTTCCAAACTGGATCCTTTATTCAATCTACAAGGCTATACTGTTCTTGTTCCACTGCCTATGTCTAGGGGTATCTTGTCCAGTTTTTATTAAAGCGTCAGTTTGTGAATTTGGTGACATAATAATTCCGAGTTCAATCCCTGGACCGGGCAGCATGTGCATGGATTCAGTGAATACAGGGTGAGTAATAACTGAGCAATAAAAAAAAATAAAAATCTAATCGAGATATCCCTAGACATGGACAAGCTTGACTTATTTTTTTTTTATTGTTCACTCAATGCTTCTTATGATAGAGGGTTACTGAATGAGGGTGGATGCAAGAGGTGCACATTATGAGGATATGCAGGATAAATAATTGTTGATCCTAAACTTCAAGTTCTGATTATAGTGGTTGGGGAAGCATCCTCTTCGGAGTCTGTTCCACAAAGTGACAATTCTGGGGATGACTGGAACTTCTTTACCAGTGGAATATGAACAGAATAAGGATGAGTTGATGCCGTGTATGTGAATTGGTGAGTCCTAGCTGTAAAGGTCTGAATATTTTCTATGGAAATAGCAATAAAGTAGCAAGAGGCTAACAATGTTTCATATATGTAAAATAATTCATCACCCACAAAAACAAGTAATTCATTTTTTTTTTAAACTCTGTCAAGGCTGGACAGTGAGGACTTGATTTTCTAGCTGCAATAATTCATTTTTTTTTTAAACTCTGTCAAGGCTGGACAGTGAGGACTTGATTTTTTAGCTGCAATTTTATAATGAGTCTTTTCATCCACAGCCCTTATTTCAGCTGTCCCTGTACCCTGGGTACTTACCTTCTCAAGACTTGACTGATCAATACCAGTAAATGGTATTAAAATAATAATATAATTTTATAAGATTTTTCAACCAAAGAAATCAGAATATATTATTTGAAAAAAGATAAGTAAAATATACAGAATAAAACAAATTTTTGTCAAACCTGTCATCATCTTCAAAAATATTTTTCGTTTGCACACCACCTGCATTTTCAAAAAGTGGTAGGATATTGAGTGCAATATTTTCCCCAACATCTTCATCCAGACCAAATTGAAAATCCAAAGGCATAAAAGAATTTCTAGAAAAGAGAAAACAAAATTGATGAAAAAAAAAATCTATCAACAATAAAAAAAAAAAAATGAAAATAATTTCTTAAATTGCAAAATAAAAGCAGTTAATAAATAAAATGTTTAATCAATTAAAGTTTTTTAAATTTATGTTGTCAGGAAAAATTAAGTTGAAATATCGCTGCAACTTGCCATCTAGGATAATTTCTAATCAGACTTCAAATCAGAGGTCAATTGTTATCTATCCCACTTATCCTCATAATCTACCACCTTCTCTTTCATTAAAATCATTCACTTCACTCAAAGATTTTAACAGGCAACTCTAGCTAATGTGTACATTAAAAGATACACACTATTTGAAAATACTTTAATCAAATATAAACCAAATTGACAAACAAAACAGTTACTGATTTTAAATTTTAGAATTGAAAACACATTAATCAAGAGACTCCTGTATATCAAGTGCTGATACCCACTGACAAGTGAACTGGATCATTACAAAAAGGTTCATCTACAAGATTCTGGAGTCAAGGTGCTGAATACATCAATCAGCTAAGTGACAAATTTTATGCTTGTATTAAACCCATATATATATATATATGTGTGTGTGTGTGTGTGTGTGTGTGTGTGTAAAAAATTCCAGATAGAAATGCCTAGCTGAAACACATCAGCTAAGTTTTCCTTTTGTCTTTATATATATATATATATATATATATATAATCATGAGAAATGCCAGCTTAGGGGGAAAATTACGATGACTAATTATTTAAGCATATACACATATCTTTCTTCCATTTATGGATCTGATGAAGCCTTGAATGGTGAAATGCATAATCATACCTATTTTCATGAAACGTTTTTCATTTGTCAAATTTTAAAACTTTTTTGGGATTTCTATATTCTATTTTAAAAACACACACACACACATATATATATATAAACATCTCCAAACTAGGTAAGAGGAGTGGTATCAGCCCAGAAGTCAAAATTTGAGCTGAATTCTTCCATCAATTTTCTCAAATTTGTCAAGTAACTTACTTGCTGATTTCCTCTGCTTTACTTGCTGTGTCTGTATGTGTCCTATGGGTATTAAATTCTCTGAGCCTTCTTTCCTCATTATATGTCCCAAAGATTTTATCCATCTCTTTCTCATTGTTAGGACTTTGTAGTTCCTATTCTCTTTGAAACCTGCTCATTTCACACATGCTCAGTTTATTATAATCTCAATATTCATCAATAAAACCACATACTTGTTACTTCATATCTCATCTTCCTTTGTAAAGAAATTGTTCAGAGCTTTGGATATCTGTGCCATATTTTCCACTGTCTATTAATCCCCTCCAAAGACAGCTAAATTTCTGCAAGTGCTTGATTTTGATGTCCCTGATTTGTAACTCATACACTGGGTTGTCCCTTTTGCTAAACACCATGTATTCAATTAATGTTTAGTTCTTTTTTTGTTCTTACACTCATCAACTAGTTTTTAGTTTTCCTTCTGAATCTTTCTACAATGCGATATTTATTATTTGCCTTTTATAGATTTATTATTTACCATTTTATAAAGAAAAAAATTTGAATGTAAGCCAACTAGAATGCAATATTTATTATTCACCATTTTATAAATAACTATGAAAAACTATTTTTTTCTTCAATCTAATAGTGTTTAATATCTTTATTGTCAATTCCCAAGAATAAAGAAAATATATAAATACACTTTCATATGTTTGGATTTTATTAAAATTCTAATCATCACTTTTTAAAATAATAAACTTTGCCTAGGGAGTCAAAAGTGTATACAAGCTGTCAAGAGAATAACTGCTCTTTTGACACACCATTTTTTTTTGTGGGCATGAAAGTTAAACATTGCCTAAAATAATGTGATAACAGCAAATCATTAGCAATGTATTTGTATATTAATATAATTTACTAGTTGCTTCTCGAGTAAAACAATTTCCAATTAATTATTCCATTTGCTTTTACCGGGCTACTGTATTTATAATCATTACAGTAAATACAAGTTTAGGCATATTTGTTTAATAAATTCTCCCATGGTTTGCATCCCATTCTAGTTGTTTCCAAGATATAAATGCTCAGTTAGTATTGAAATAAGAAAATGATCACTACTTTATATATACAAGAAGAAGTGATGTTAAAACTGAAATCATGCATGAATTAATTTCAACTCTTATTAACAACTGCATGACAATATGACAATAAAGATGAGGACAACAGTCTGAATAATGTAAATATTGGGTTGGTGCATAATTATCAGGCGTTTTTTAAACAATATTTATTATGAAAAAAGAAACATAACAATTGAACAATAACATTTTTAAATGATTATTCCGGACTGTATGATTATCAACTTGCATTTTTATAACCTGAAAATAAAATATTTTTATTAAAAAAAGTAAACAAAACAGCAATTTTTATAAACAAAAAACTCACCAACAAAAACACCTGATAATTATGCACAACCCAATAGTGTAAGAAATTACTAATGCTCCCAAGAAAATTAAATTTCAGCATTAAATGATCCATAAGTTGATATGCTGTTAAAAAAACAAAACACACAAACAGAAGTTGGATCATTATATATATATATATATATATATAAAATTGAAATTAATAAAAATTCTGATGCATTTTAAGTTTAGATTCTTCAAAATGACCAGTACAAGTTATGGAACAAACTTAGCCTTTGTTTAAAAACATGAAAATGCTGAAAAAGAAGAAATGTTTTTCTATTTTCCTGACACGAGTCAAACAGAAAATACTGACCTGGTGAGGAAGTTTTTATCTAAATCCACAACATAATTGTCTTGAAAATCATTGATTACTTTGTCACTGAGCCATTCCTAAAAAGAGAATAAAAATCCCCAAGTAAAAACAAAACAAAGGATTTGCTTCTTTCCAAAAAACAGATTAAGTTAAAATTGGTTAATGAAACAATAAAAATTTTGTTTATTTCCATCTGAATTTCTGATACAAGAAGTTATGATTATCTACATTTTTAACACTCAGACTATTAATCAAAATCAACAACTACAAACTGGAGGTGGTTCATGAATTTGCATACCTCGGCTCCATCATTTCAGGCACTCTCTCTCCCTCTCTCTAGTCACTGAATTTTTACAGATGGATCAGACAAGCTGCCACCACATTTGCCAAGCTGACATCAAGAGTTTGGGAGAACAGAAAGCTTTCTATGAACACCAAAATTGCAGTCTATAGGGCATGCATGGTCAGCATGTTGCTCTACAGCAGCAAGACTGAGTCTACTTCAGACAGCACCTTTCATCTCTGTTGTCTGAGACACATTCTGGGCATCAATTGGTCTGACCATGTCCCCGATGCCATAGTTCTCTCCCATGCCCAGTTACCCAGCCAGTATGCCCTTCTCCAACAGCACCAACTCTGCTGGCTTGGACATGTACACTGCATGTCAGATGGGAGGATTCCAAAGGTCGTTTTGTATGGGGAATAGCCACTGGCAAGACGGCATGAGGGTAACCTTATCTTTGCTTCAAAAACATCTGCAAAAGAGACATGAGGGCAATAGACATCAAGAGGATGGAAGATGTCACCAACAATTGCCCAAACTGAAGAGACAATTTACACCAAGGGCTGGAACTATTAGAGAAGAAACAAAGGCTAGTCAATACAAAGAAAACATGGTAACATTGAGGGAAAGCATCTTCACATGTATTCATTGAAATCAAGACTATTAGATGTTGCACCACCATTATCAGCAAAGGCATAACTCTTTGGATGTAGATCCAAGGTTTGATGGATGAACATAACTCTGACTAATGTCCTCATCTTTGTTATTACGTTTCAGCCATTGTTTCTTCTGCCTTCTTCAGGTGTCTGTCAGTCCAGGTAACCTTTAGGGAATACAAACTAGACCTTTTATTCAATCTATGCAGGTAGATTTTTAAAAAAATAGTTCATGCACTACCCTGTCATGGATTGTTCTTATTCCACCATTCATGTCTAAGCATATCACATCTTATTATTTTTTTTTTTTTTTAAATGCAACAGAATGACACTAGTATCATAATACTGCCAGCAGACAAAGGTAACCATATGGTGATGGACAAGTTCAAGTACTTTGGAAAATTGGTAAACATAATTGGAGATGGTACCTACAGCAAGGTTAAAAAAAAAAAAAAAGGATCCGACATTAATAATTTATATCACAGATCATAAATAAGAACAAAGACTACTTCATACTGAATAAATATAGACACAGCTGACTCAACATTTACACTAAAGTGCCACATATGTATGATCTACATGATCTATTTACAGACAAATATTTGGATTAGTGATGAGATCACCCCTTAAGAGTGCTTTAGCTTGTCTTTTTCAAAATTCTTTTATCTAAACAAAATACTATATTTGTTTTCGTATAAGACATGTTTTTTTTTTTCAATTTTTAAATGTACAAAAAAAAAAAAAAAAAAAAGAAAAAAAACGCCTTTCACCTAATAAAGCCATATTATAGATGGGAGATAACCAAGCGATGTACCAGTAGACTCATAAAAAAATGGATACCAACAATGATAATGAGTTTTCAGGAATTGAGAATGCAAATTTACCTTCTGACTACTACCTGGTGTTATACCCTGAATGAACTCTCAGTCTCCCACAATTGATACACAATATGAACAAAGGATTGAAATTTACTTGCAAATCACAGCAAATAAAAACCATTTACTTATCTCAACCACATTGTATCTCCATTTGTTGTTTTGTCATCTCAACATTTTTTCTTAAAGATAAGGCCACCGTTATATGATAATAATTTTAAACTAAACATCTATTGAAAATCCTTCAACAAAAATGATCACATTCACACAAAGGTGCCACAAGGTCCCCAAACAACCCCCCTCAGGTTTTGAATTCAGAGTTGTCCTTCTCCTAGACCAGTTGCCATCCGAGGCTATAGAACCCAGTTTGTCCTGCTATTTAACCCATAGCTGGAGGGAGAAGAAGAGGATTCACACCTTTCCCAAGGGTATTAGCACGTAAGTGAATGTAATGGGTTCAACCTGGATTCGAACTCGGTTCTGCGATTCCACAATCCAAGCCGATATCCATTACCCCACTGTGCCTCCATTATATATATATATATATATATATATATATATATATATATATATATAACTCCATTGATAAAACATGAATAATTAGCTTGAAGAAGTCTCTACTAGAGATGAAACATCTGGTCTGGTGCTTCTGCTATGCATTTAGATTTTCTTGATAAAATGTAAAGAATCTGCAATGTTATCTGTCTTGACCTGGTATCTCAGCTTCAGTCATTTCCCACCAACTTAACATAACTTTCCTGTGCCTTTTCTGTAATTATTTTCATAGTAACTGCTTGGATGTGCTTCCCTTTTTCATACCTTGACTTTAGGAATTTAAGCACAATACTAGATTGGCAGCTAGGTCTCATTATTTTACAACTGAAATGGCTAGATGTAACTGTAAGTTCTATGCTTATAGTTTCTTCTCTCACACTTCTCAATTGTGAAATTCTCTTCAGCGAACTTTGATCTTCAAAAATTTAAATGCAATGTCAATCATTATCTTTTGTCTTGAAATTGCTGTTCTTTTATTGTTCCCTCCCCTTGATAAAATTTTTTCTATTTCTCATATTCTTTCACCCTCAGTAGCCCCTTGCATTTTAATGGCAATTTAAATGCAATGTCAATCATCGTCATCCATCTTCTTAATTCCTATTCTTTTATTGCTTTCTCTCCCCCTTAATAACGTTTTTCTTTTTCTCATATACTTTCACACCCAGTAACTCCATGTGCCTTAGTGGCTTTATTGGCTTGCTTGGGGGCGAAATGATTAAAAAAGAAAAATTAAACCTAACATAGGAGTTTATTTTGCATTTTGTAATTCAATTACTTGCAGTAAAGACTAAGAGGAAAAAAATATGCCCAATTGTACTTACTAATACTTTTTGGTGTAAAGTCGTCTGGTGGATCATACTGGATAATTCATCCATGAAAAGGGAATGAGCTTTTGGCATATTCTTGCTGCTGGTGTTCATTAATTCCAAAAGTCCAAGAACATCGGTCAAGATCTCTGGCGTCACATTGAGATCGCTGTTAAAAATATCAAACACAGCAGGCATCAAACAAAATTATACAACACCCAAGTCTAAAGTGGAAAAAGTCAGAATTTGGATTTGACCTATTTAATTAATGCAACTGAATTAAGTGCATTGACAAGGAAGCAACTGATGTTGAAATATAAATATTTGTTGTGTAAATAAATACTACTAGACCGGTTGCCAATCAAGTCTAGATCACCCAGTCTGTTCTGATATTTAACCTATAGCTGAGAAGGGGAAAAGAGAGATTCATGCCTTTCCACATGTAATTGTGCGAAAGTGAATGCAACAAACTTGGCTGGAATTTGAACTTGGCATGTCAATTGCATTTTCCACACCAATAATCGCTATGCTACATGCACATAACCAACAAACTTTCACTTGGCAAAAAAAAAAAAAAAAAGGATTTAGAAGTTAATGTCAATAAAGAAAAGCTAAATGCCTATCTTTTTTTATGCACTGGTCTTCAGGATGTGGATGATTATGGCTCTCCACAACTTCCTGACCTTTGTAACTCTTTATAATTTTAACTATTTTTAAGTTTTCTTTTCATTTCCATTGATCAACATTTCTTTTCATGATTAAACATAAGGAATTGTAAATATAAGACTTAAGTAAAATAATAACTATAATAATATTTATTAAGAATTTATTACAGGAAATATCAAGTTTTACAGAAATATTGTTGATAATTATGTATTTAGTTACATAACAAATAAATAAAAATAATATAAATTTTGATGCTATGTTCAATTTGTTGTCAGGTATTTTTCATTTTCTCCTTTGTTATTGGCAGCATTTTAGAATACTTTGGCTGTCATGCTAAGTTTCCTAAGTTGAACTTTGTTACCTCTCTTTTCCATTGTTGCTTTTAGATCGCAATGATCACTATGGGCAATAGTGAAATTATAAAATATAGAATGATCTTATTCCATTTAAAAAATAAAGATTGTAAAAAGGAATATTTTAAATTAATATACAACCAAAAATAAAATGCTTTTGACAAAAAAACCTTAATGATTTCACTATAATTATGTAACAATAATGTAATGATATTCTGCAGGCAAATCTTCAATTTATGTTATCTCATTGCATGGTTACAAACTATAAATATAAATTAAGCTTCAAATATTGTGCAATCAGCTCTAATTTTTTGTAAAATACTTGGCTATGATATAATGAATAATTTGCAGTGAAAAAAGCAATTTTTGATTTTTTTGTTGAATACACCCCCCACCAAATGCATCATATACTCCATCCATAGTATTCTCAGCATCCTTCTATAGAACCATATTTCTGTTGCCTCACGGTCTTCTCTTCATCTGTCAGGAAACTGTACAGTATATGCTATATAGGAGAATTCATAATACATAGCAGTTCAGCACATTTTTCTTTGTTTCTAAGAAATTTTTCTTCTTAATACTTTTCTTAACTTTTTGAAAGCATCTTTTGCTATTCTAATGCACCTTCAGATTTCAGTATCACATTTGACATCATTTTTTATAACAGTTCCCAGATATTAAAAATTCTGTACTTAATTGACTTTGACATTTTCAATTTGTAGCTTGTTAAATTTAGTTAAGTAGCAGCAAAGATATCCCAAGTGTCACCACATACCCACCCACCAGACAGTAGGGCAGGTCAATTTTGAAAACGTGGTATTGCACTCTATTTAAAAGTTGGAGTTTCACATGATAAATAATGAATGAAATTTTTTTTTTTCAAATGGTTACAATTTTTTGAGGAAACTAGCTCAACCACCTACATTGCCACAGTCATGGTCTCAATGCCTACATCAAGGACAGGTTTCCCTGTGGCAGGGACACAAAAAACAAGGACCCTAATCTTCCTGTACATGTGCTTGCACATGACATTTATAGTACCACATTCATCTTTACCCTGTATCTTCCTCAAGATGAAGGGTCAGTAATCTTCTGTCAAATATCAAAGAGTATTGACAATATCCTCACTAAATTTCCCTCTCTAAATTCAATGTTCACCACAAAGAATGGTTAGTCCACTTAAACAAAACCGATAGGGAAGGCAGATATTGCAGAGACTTCTCCATTGCATATGAATTAACCAAGATCATTGAAGAATCCACCAGTCTTGAATGCAACTGCAGTAGGCAAATCTCTTCAACCATTTTCTAACATTCTGCCCTGACAAATGTTCAGCAGAAGTTTTAGTCCCCATTGGCATGTCCACATTATATACCGAACAATTTAACTATATTACGATGTAATACAGTGCAGTAGTTTTAGTGTGATTTTCAATAAACAATGCAGATTTAAAACATTTTATCCTATAATTTGTGTCCAGGAATATTATAATGTTATATACACTTTTATCTACTTTTTGGTTTTATTAATTATGATCTAACAAATCTTACTCATTGAGTAGCTGTTTTCATAATCTTTTACAATTTTTTTTTTTTTTACAGTTTTTACTTATCGAATACAGTAAAAAAAATTGCATATTTCGTCTGTGGTGATTCATAATTACAATTCTGGTTTGAATATATTTTCCATTCAATGCATCACATTTTTCTTGATTTTCTGAAAAAAACTGAAAAATCAACCTGCCCTAACCAAACAGTACCAGATAAATTCCTGCATAAATCATACTTATTATAAAACCCAGGTTGTGTGTGTGTGTGTGTGTGTGTGTGTGTGTGTGTGTCTGTACGTTTATATATTGGATCAGATTTCCTACATTTTTCAACCGATTTCAACAAAACTTCACAGGACTACGTAAAATTACCTTGCGGTGGTTCTGACAGCGCCAAAAATTGGAAAAACAATTGTTTTTGCACAAAATCAATCTGAAAACACGATTAAGAGGCATCGCAAGAATGAAAGGGGGACAACTCATATCGAGTTATACTTATAAAACCCAGGTTGTGTGTGTGTGTGTGTGTGTGTGTGTGTGTGTTCATTTATATATAGGATCAGATTTCCTACATTTTTCAACCAATTTCAACAAAACTTCACTTTTTTTTTGGCAGGTAGTGTTTCTTATTGTCTTGCACACTTTTTTCTTTATTTTTACATTCAGAATGCTTTAAAAATTTCATTTACAAGACAATTGTTTATAATAAAATTCAATTCAATCGGTAGACTCATAACGATTGAAAACAATATTTTTGTTTGAGTTTAACCAATTCATAAAAAAAAAAAAAAACTAATTAAGACATGTGTGTCCATCAACCTTAAGCAATAATCTTTGTCAATTTTATTTTTCAGTCTTTATGATGGTCAATACTTGATCTAACTCTTACTGTTACATCCCTGGGCTCTACTGCTAGTAAGCAAATATAGTGGAAACAGGTTTTGTGTTTTCTATGGTGATATTTTCACCTTCTGTTACCAAAGCCTTTCTCAGTTTTTGTCAACACTGATACGAGAATTGAAATAAAATGTGGGGTGAGTTGATCAGTCAGTCAAAGACCAAGAGAGAACCTTGTTTGTTTTTACATATCTTGAAAAGTTTCAAGTTTGCAATAAATAAAATTTATGACATTTCAAATGCATTTTTCTTTGTTGAATATGATCACATAAAACAAAAAATGTCAGACTAAAATTTTGTTAATAGTCTTGTATTATTTCAAAACTATTGTTCTCACCTCGGTTGATATAGATGCTATTATAGATATGTTTCAACCAAGTACCCTCTGGTCATCATCAGGTGTCCATTAATTGGCTGATATGGAATATCTACTGATTGTGATATTTTGTCCCTGTGATGTCAGTTATTTCTCATTCATGTTGAACTGATGCTTCAATAATTGATCCAAAGATTACATGTGTAAATTAGTGGTGTGTTTTTTTGGAGCTTTTATATTTAATGTGAGATCAATTACTGAACACAAATAGTGAGACATTCAGAGCTGTTATTTACGGGCAGGTTTGAGTGTGTTGAATGCTAAAGAGTGAAATATAAACCCAGACAATGCCACATCATTTATAAATCCACTGAAACAATAACAAAAAAAAAAAACTGATTATGTTAAAATTTTTTTAAAATATAATGACTTTTTAAAACTGAAATTCATTTCTTCATCAAAATTAACAATTCAGGATGATTTACAAAGAAAATCATGAAATCATGACTACAGCTATTTAATTTTTTTTTATAATGCAGTGTGTAGAAGGTTGTAAAAACAAAAATGAAAAGTCTGATGACAATGGTAACATTATTGTTATGTAGCAATTTCACAGTGGAGGCTTGTATTTGTACTAAGTCGGTCCTAAAATAGGTTCGACGTACAAAATGTTAGGAACTTGATATAATAGGTAATGATGCAGCAATCTAGTTGTGGTGGCTGATACTTTAATATCCGACTAATGGTCGTCTGACATCAACCGACTGACCAACTCACTGCTGACTCACTTGTTACTCTTACTACTCCTACTTATTATAAGTGGGAGAGTCTATTAACTATAGAATAGGGGTGTTCCACTATAACAATTATGCAAATTAACTTTACACTTTAAAAAAATAAAATTCTTAAATGTTAGAATGTTTGTTCTCTATCCCTAATACTTGGTGAATATTGTATAATCTATCATTATTAAAAAATATAAATTTCTTAGAAATCAAATCTGATTTAATATAGTTTGGAGCATTTAACTTAAATTTTTTCAACAACACATCTCCATTTCAAAGGTTTGGACATCCAAGCTGTCTCCGGTTCAACCAACACTATTTAAGTACAATCCACAATAAATAAACTTAAGTTAAACTTTACATCATGTAAGAATTCAGAAATAAATATCTACAAAAATAGCAAAATAGTAATAAGGAGTGCCAGAGAAAAGCAATGATAACAACAAAGTTGCAATATGAGCTCTGGTAAAAATGGTTGCTGAAGACATAAGGTTTATAATACCCAGAAATTCATACACAGATGTCCCCAAGGACACATGGCACAAGGTGTTAGTTGGATCCAGTGACAGGACCCAAAGGGTGTGAGTTCAATACCCGGTTAAGGCAGTGGAGAACTTTCAGAGGGAAATTAACAGGAGATAACTGATAACTGACATCCATCAATGGCATTTGAAACTAGAACAGTCTACTCCAGTGAGCGAAATAAAGGGTTCAGTTCGACATTCCAACCACCTGAAGAAGGCTAGAGCGTACAATGACTGAAACGTTGTAATAAATATGGCGACAAAGATGAGGACAATAGTCCGAATAATGTAAATAATGTAAAAATAGCAGAATTTACCTTGATGAAATAACACTTTTAATCAACATGATTCCACCAATTATTCCATTTTGCTTGTAGCTGAATAAAAAAAAAATAAATAAATAAAAAAATAAATCAGGTAGATAAAGATACAAAAGAAAAATGGTTGCTGAAGACATTAGGTTTATAATATATTATAAAGATACAAAAGAAAGCATTGGTAAATTTAATGCTGACTTTTGTGGGGAAGGTTACGGACAATATAGGTTATATTAATTAATAGAAACACATAAAACAAAGGAAATAAGAAATTGACCTCTAAGAGATACTCACAAAATAAACATATGCCCAACCTCTTGAGCTTTGTATTTTAGATATTAGCTTTAACAAGTTCAATGTTGATTGAATTTTATTTACATATGATAAATTTTATCAGTTTATTAATTTTTAATGACTTTTTTCTTTTAAATTGTGAAGAAAAGAATTTGATAAATTTTTAATATATTTTATATAAATTAAATGCAATGGCTTTAACCCATTAATGAACATTTTGGGGACAGTAAACATTCATGGGTTGGGATAAAAACATGTAATTAATTAATTAGGAGTATAAATCTATAATTAATACCAGATTTTTTATTTCACATTTTTTTTAAATAAAAATTTAATGAAAGATCATTCCTGGATTTTTATAAACCCATAATACAAAATAAGCCTATAATTAATACTAGATTTTTATAAACCTGTAAATAATGCAAGATTATTTTATGAGCCTATAATTAATACTGGATTTATAATGTCATATTTTTTTTTTTTAGAAAACTATAAACCTGAATTTTGATTTTCATAATACAAGATTTGTTGGTGCACATTAATTTATTTGTATTAAAAATCATTTACAAGATATAGAAAATAATAAATACATGTCTAATTTTAGTTAATGCTAAAATAAACATTGAAAACTAACATAAATGTGTTGGTAATCTAGTTTCCTGGCAGTTGTAAATTCAATCCGTTGGTTTGGTGATGCAAAAAAAAAAAAAAGTCGTCTTCATTAAACAGACTTGCAAACCAAAGGCAAATAGACGAAAGAGAATTAACTGATACGAGTTATCTCCCCTGGTTTTGAAATTGAATAACTTACTGCCATAGACGGAATAAAAATTTGGAGTTTTTTTTTTTTGTTTTTGTTTTTTGGGGGTTTTTTAACAATTTTACTCCAAGCATGGCAATAAAACCACTAAGACACGAGGGGTTATGGAGTGAGATAGATTATAAGAAGAAAAAAAGCACTATTAAGAAAAGAGAACAATAAAAGAACAAGAATAAAGAAGACAGTAGATAACAATTGACATTGGGTTTAAATTTTTGAAGATCAAAGTTGACTGGGAAGCAAGAAGCCAGAAGAAAGTTCCACAAGTGAGAAATACAAGAAAAGAAACTTAGCATAGAACTTATGGTTACATCCAACCAATTCAACTGTAAAATATGAGACTTTGCCACCAATCTAGTACTGTGCTTAAATTTATAAACTCTAGATACCATAGAGGAAAGTTTATCAGAATAAATCGGCAGCTTTATCTTGTATCCAAGAATTTAATTTCTTCTTCACTTATCACTTCCTTTATGATGATGGTGAGATGATTACAGTTACTGTCAATGTTCAGGTTCAGGACTAGAAGCTTTCAGTTTCACCAAAACCTGCTCCTGTCATCCATTCCCTATCATCATTTGGCTTTGCAAGAGTTGGTTGAAGCTGAAAGAAAATCAGAGTAGAAGAAATTGATGATGGCGTGAATTTGTGTAAGGTGGACCTTAACTTGCCAGGAAGTGACCCACACACTTGATTTCATGACCTTCCTCTGCAGCAAACATGTAATGAGACTTGCAAAATCCAGTTATGAAACTGTAACATATTGCTGCTGTTATAATTTCATAATTTCAAGTTGCACCTTCTGTAGCATGTCTATCACATGTAGCCCTCTTCATCCGCTGGTTCAACCTTTAAGATCTATTATAATCATCAACCACTTGTTCCACCATGTGGGGTATTTGGGGGTTGGTTGCACTCAGTCTGGGTCCTTATTTTAGACCTTGCCTCCAAAGGTAGCTCTACCAAGAGTTTAGGACTCCCGACAGCATAGTTTTCAGTCATTGAACTCAAGCAATTACCATAATAGTATTTATAGAAAAGGCATAGAAATGCTACATTATGGCAGTGGGAAAGGGACTGAAGCCAAGATGCCATGTCAAAACCAATAACATTGCAGATTCTTTGGATTTTATCAAGAATTTCTGAATATATAACAAGAGCACAAGACCAGATGTGGCAGCAGTATTCAAAGCATGGATGATTCAAAATTCCAAATAATTTACCAAGTATGTCAGAAGAAAACCAGAATTCTGCAAGGATAATAGCCAAAACAAATAAACCTATCTGAAATGGACAGAATTTCGCAATTTATATTTTTGAGTCTTCATCTATTCATTTATTTTTAGTCACATAAATAAAACAATATTTTATTCATTTTTCATAAACTTCCCAAAACACTATTTTAAAATATTTCTTTTCTGATTATTAGTTTAATATTTACTTTCTGCAACATTCTGGGGGAAAAAGCAGCACTAATTTATCCATGGCTAAATACAGGCTGTGTTAAGTATATTTTAACATCACAGGGACAAACAAGATATTTTCCTCCTGATTGATTCATTAATAGATTTGATTAATTAAACAACATATCAAATATTGTTGGGTATGGGAACAAGGGTTTTATAGAACAAAAATCATAATGAATTAATAGGTAGACATATGTGCAGTTTACACTAGAGTCAAAATGACCAACATAGGACTAGTTTACACTAGTCAAAATGGCCGATATGTGTGCTGTTTACACTGGATTCAAAAAGGTTGACACAGGTTGAGTTGGCACTAGAGTCAAAACAATTGACACGAGCCCAGTTGGCACCAAGATAAAAAAAAATTAGACATTGGTCAGGTTTATGTCCAAATCTTCAAATATCCACAAATTTTTTTGCCAGTGATGCCGTCAAGTGCATTCTAAACCTCACCAAGGCAATCGGATAGTAAGATAAGAGTAATATAGACATTTATGGCTAGAATTACAACACTAAATGTACTATAATTGGTTGATACCAAACAGAGAATAAATTTGTCATTTCAATCAGCATTTTTTTTTTTTTTTTTTAAGCAAATCACCCCAAGCAAGGCGGGAGTGTCACTAGCATGCAAGGGGTTACAGAGAGTGAGAATAAGAGTAAAGAGGAGTGTTTAGGAAAAGGATAACGAAAAGAATGGGAATCCAGGTCATGGCATCAGATGTCAATTGACATTACATTTGAATATTTAAAGATTATAGCTATCAGGGAAGCAAGTGATAGGAAAGGAGTTCCACTGAGGGGAGGTGCAAGATAAGATGCTGTTGGAGTAGAAGAGAAGATTACATTTAGCCGTTTCAACAATGAATGGGCGGGACCAAGATGCTAACCTAGTAGCACACTTAAATTCATGCAGTTTAAGAACCAGTGAAAGTAGCTTGTCAGAGCAGATGCCATGAAAGTACTTGTAGAAACGACAGAGGGAAGGCACTGCAGATGAAATGCCAGATCAGGACCAACCACGTCGCATATCCATCTCTGGATTTTTTTATACAAACATACAATGAAGAGAGAAAAAAATTGAAAGGAGATACAAGGTTTTCTGATGACAAATTTTTTTGACAACTTCCAACAAGAAGGCAAAGATAGACTTACATGAATCCTTGACGAATGCTTTACTGGTCATATTTATATATGTAGTACCTGGTTAAACCCACATCAGCACATTACATCGTATGTCATCTCTTTTTTTAATCATCTTACACAACAAAGAGTTATATCCCTTGATAATGCCAATCATGACATTCTTTCATCATGAGACATTACTAAATATGAGATTATAAATTTATTCAAATTTTTGTTTTCAGCAGATTGAGCAATGTAACTTACCGTAATTTATTACTCATTAATTGTTTTCGGATGACAATGTGAAGCTCATTCTGGTAAAAAAACAGTGAGAAACAGACATTATTGTTTGTTTGATTTTTTTTAGTGGCATATCAATACCTCTATGGGTTATTTAATGCTGAAACCTAAATATTTTGAATACAATTTGTACACCTTCAACTACAGATAAAATATATTGCTGGTCACTTTACTATAAATATATATGTCATTGGTTTGTTTGGTTTGGTTTGTTTTGTTTTATGGCATATCAACCTCAATGGGTTATTTAATGCCAACAAGATTTTTATTACTGGTAATATTTTTTTTTTTCAAAAATGTATTGCTGGTAATAACTGTTTTCAAAAAACTATTACTTGTATTAAAACCTATTTTTACATTTTCATAGTGTTTCGACCCCGGTCTGGAGCTTAACTATTCACCTATAGCTGAAACTCTAACAGATACTGAAACCCTATGTCAGGGTCGACTTGGGAACAACAGCAATTAAGAGGTTGTTCAACACTCCTCAAAACCACCAATCTCCCAATCAGTGGCCTTGCTGCCGGATGTATGTAGATTATTGTCACACCCAACATCATTAATAATTTCAGTAACAAATACCAAAGTTCATTTGAAAACAGTGGTGAAAAGTAAAACCAAACAAAAAAAAAATATCTTTTCTTTCATTGGGTTGGTCAAGAAAATTTAAGGTATAAAAGTGAAAGACATTTTTATTCAGTGTGAAAAAAGTTTACAACAAAAGATCAATTTTCAACTGTGTCCTCAAGTTTTAAGAAAAATTTAAAAAAAAAAAAAAAAGGGATCTGGGAACTTTTGCACCCAGCAAGTATTTTCAATATTAAATTTATTGAACAATATTTTCTTCCATCTTTCAGGCAACTTCATTTCATCCTTTCAAGTTTTTCTATTATCTCAAGAAAGAACTTTCACCGTTCTTTCTGAAATTGACTTCTTTTTTTTTTCCTTCATTAAGAAAATTTTGAAAAGACTGGAATATATGGTAACCTGAAGATGTCATTATCTACTAAGTACAGTAAATGTATCGGTCAAATTCTGTCCGAATTTCTGGAATTGCAGCATTACAATTAGCTACATTATTTACAGTAAGACTAATGTTTTCATCTTTGTTGTTATTACCATGTTTCAGCCATTGTACCTTCTGACTTTCTTAAGGTGTCTTTCTTTGAAACATTGGTTTGTGAATTTGTTGGCATAGTAATTGAGAGTTCAATCCCTGGACTGGGTAGCACAGACTCAATAGAAACAATCTAAATAAACAAACAGCAAATCCTGTCTGTTCATTCATGTGCCTGAAATCTCTAGCTCAGGCCACACTTGCTCTATATAGACATATTCTACATTTTTGGAATCCAGATGATTCCGGGATTGAAAATCTGTTCTTCAACTGGTGCTTGAACATCCAACATTGGATTTGTTTCCAGATGAGGAGGGAACAATTAACAATTCAAATTTTAAAATAACTGAAAAAAAGATTAGTGATTTTAAAAGTTTTTAATTTATAATGAGTTTAAAGTAACACAAAAACTTTTTGAATTTAAAAAAATTTGTTTTAAATTCAGTTTAAAATATACCCAAAACTTTGTGAATTGAGGAAATCAATTTTATTTCTTCAAAATGCCAAGGAATCAGAGTTGACGTGAGGCTTTAAAGTTCTACAGAGTTTGTAATTTGAAGAACTCAGTTTTTGGCCTGAATTGAAATTTCAGCCCAAATTGAACTTATAGTCCAAATTGGAGTTAAAATGAGGTTTTGAAGTTCCATGTGAATTGAGGAATTCAAAGTTATTTCTTCAAAATTATCATTGCTGTTTTCTAAGCTAGACCAGAGGTCCCTTTAGCTTTAGGCTGAAGTCCCAATCAGCCCTCCACAGAAGCTAGTTACACAGAGTGTAGACTTTAAGCTACTACTAAATAAGAACAGGATGAGACATAGACAGTGGAATGAGAACAATCTGTACCTAGAGATTAAATAAAAGCTTCAGCTCAAATTTCTCTAGAGATTACCAGCATTGACAGGAACAGAAACCTGAAGAAAGTCTAAAGCCACAACAACCAAATCATTATAATAACAATAATGAGGACTATTTGCATAGTTCAGACTGTTGACTTCATCTGTGTTGTCATATTCATGACGTTTCAGCCATTGTACACTCCGGCCTTTTGCAGGTGAGTTGAATTTCAAACAGAAACATTTATTTCATCCACTGGGGTAGATTGCTCTAGTTACATGTGTCCTTATCTACTAAATACAGCAAATGTATCAGTAAAATTCTGTCTGAATTTCTGGAATTGCAGCATTACAATTAGTTACATTATTTACAGTAAGACTAATGTTTTCATCTTTGTTTTTATTACCATGTTTCAGTCATTGTACCTTCTGACTTTCTTAAGGTGTCTTTCTTTGAAACATTGGTATGCAAATTTGTTGGCATAGTAATCAAGAGTTCAGTCCCTGAACTAGAGCAATCTACTAGTTACATGCCTCTCCTCGATATCTCGGTTTCAGTTATTTCCCTTTCATAACTCTCTTCTGCTGTGGCCAGGTATTGAACTCACAATTCTTTAGGTCAAGTCACTGGATTACTTCAACCAATGCTTTTATCCACTGATCCATGTGTCCACTTGTTTGAAGTAATCGAGTCATGAAGATGACAAAAAAGATGAGGACAACAGTCCAAACTGTAAATAGTGTAAATAGTTACAATACCTCATCTCAAAAATATAGACAGATAATGAGGACATTAGTCATATATAACATGTGTGTGTGTGTGTGTGTGTATATAAATAATATATCAATAAACTTATTTTCTTTCATTTTAAACATTAGAATAAAAGAAACAAAAACTAATTCTGACAAATTTTAAAAAATATGCACAACTGTCACAATTCAATGAAAGGTGAACCTTTTTTGAACAAAGTTAAAAGTAAACACTCCTAATGTCATTGAATGACAAAAAGAGAACAAATTTTTCAGGCTACCCTATTCTGTTGGGAAAATCTCTCTCCTCAACCATTCAATTTAGCTTGTGATTTAATGTAGATCTATTCATTAATTTAATATAAATATTAAATTAACGTGATTTTTTTTATAAAAAGAAAACCAATAAAATAAAAACAGACTAACCTTTGTTCGTCCGCCATCTTTGTCTGAATGAAAAGCTAGCTTGCTAATTGCAAAATAGACTTTTCTGATTTGAGACATTTTCAGTTGATCTGTGTAGTCCAGTAACCCCTGAAATTAATATTTACAAAGTATGACTTGACTTTATCTTTATTTTTTCCCCCCACCAAATGTTTCGTTGCAAAAAAAATAAAGACCAAATTTTATAATCTCACATTAATTTTTTTTAGAATCATTGAAAACCACAAAATTTTCCATTGAAATTTTTCTAAAAAAAAAAATTAACTCTTGTTAATAAACTCTGAAAATGATAATATTATTGGGTTTCCGGTTTCTTCTAAAGTCTCTTCCTTCACTTTCACTTCCAGTAGCCATTGAATCTTAATGACGTTGTCATCTTGATTGGGGTGTACGGATTAAAAAAACAGAAAAAAAAAGGAGGGGGGGCTCCTAAACCTCACTGATAGGTTAGTCTATCATCCCATTCAGACTCCTACCTGGTCTTTTGAACAGGAGTTCAGGTTTATCCTTTGTCTTCTTTAAGGTTGTGTTTTTGGGTCCTTCTAAATTCTACTTTAAACTACTAACATTTCTATCTAAACTCTGAAATTTATACTCTTATTTGGTTTCTGGTTCCTTCTAAAGTCTTTTCCTACTCTTCCACTTCCAGTACCCCTTGTGTCTAAAGTGACATTATTGTCTTGCTTGGGGTGTATTTGAGTACAAAAAAAAAAAAAAAAATTTATAAAGAATTAGTGCAATAATCACTCACTTTAACAAAGATAGCAAAGGGTGCTATCTGATCCAAACAAGATTCAGACAGGTCAACTAAAATATCCAATGCTGTGTCCATCTCGTTGGTCATTCCAGAACCAATATGAGTCACCAGATTGCCAACAATTTCCTGTGAACAAACACAAATTTATTCCAGATGTTTCAAACAAAACCCACAAAAATGAAAAATAAATAAAAATAAAAAATCCTTGAATTTTTTTCTTTTCGAAAAAAAATAAAGTTTTATCTGCAATATTCTCATTATGAATCACTTTACTGGAGACATCAAGAAATGTCTGTCTTTTTTTTTAATAAAGTATACCACATCAATAAGTCCACAGCCTCATGCCAAAAAAAAAAACAAAAAAAACTTTTGCACAACAAATATTTTCAACATAACCTCCTTCCTTGGCAATGCATTTAGCTCAACACTTTCCATTAATATATGTCCAATCAAAACTATATCAGGCTACAAACTTATTGACCTACCCTTATAATTTGTCACTTGACATTTCTATGACCAGCAGTTTCCTAACTTGGCAAAAATCTAAAAGATCAAGGCAATCAGGTATAAAAGATTATTTGACCAATCTGCCAAGTTACAAGAGTGTTCTTCGGATAAAAAATGGCTTTTCCTAAACTTAAGTGTGTTTTGTTTCACTTGTCCTATGATCGCTTGCATCCCATGTTGTTGTAAAATATTCACTTTTCATCACCAGTTACAATTTGTTTAAAAATAAAAACAAAAAAAATGGTATGTTTCCATGAATTTTAGGTTGCAAATCACACACAGAAATACAGACTACTAGGTTTGATTTTTGATTAAAATATGTGTAAGTTACATGTCAAAGTGACTAATATTAACATCAAGTTGTTGCAAATGATTTTCAATATTGCGTTATTTAATATCAAAACTTACAGGGCAATATAATCCCAATGAATCCTCAAAATGGGAGGCATATGTCCCATTAACATCAATTTAATTTATATCCATATCTGTAAATATCTACCTAAAGGTGAACCCACTAGGAAGTGGAAACAGTCAACATATTCTAAGCCCCACCAATAGTGCAATAATTATTGATGGAGGAAGTACACTATTTTCATTAAAAAAAATTATTCTATCTTACCTGTCTACAAAATCGGTCCAAATTCTCAAAGGCATTTTTGTAGAGAATGCATGCAAAATGTTGGATAGCAGTCTCTGATGAGCAAATGAAAGCCAAGGCCAATGAAAGAACACTGGAGAAATATTCTTGCATCACACTGGCATGACGAGAAAAGGTAAACTTGAGTAATTTTTCTGTGAAATCGCCAGATCGGATTTTGTTTCGGAACAGACTTTCAACAATTTTTGTGTGTTTTAGTGAATGAATGATTAACAAGAGGAAGACATCGACAACTTTGTGTTCTTTGGCACCAAGAACCTGCTCCAATACCTAAAAAATAATCCAAGAGATAAACAAATAGCACAAATTTATCAGAGACAACACAGAATTTATGACAATAAAATCATTTCAAAAACATGAATAGAATATCGAACATATGATAGAGAATTTTAACAGTATGACATCTAGCCCGTCCGCTCAGTATTCATGCTCATTCCCGACAACTGATTGTAGAGGTGATCACTTCGGCCCAAGTCTTGTTTTGCCCTATGTTGCAAGACTGGCTTGGCTCAAATGGTTGAATGGAATCGATGACTTAGTTTGGTCCAGTCAGAGTAAAGTCCCACAAATGAGGAAAAGTAAATTGGGTAAAAGGAAAAAAAGTATTTATATACACTTCCTTGATACAAAGTTGATGGTACAGTCATTGATGGCTTAAGCAGGCCTATACTCTCCATGCAATAACTATTGACTCTTCCCGATTATCGTCATACACTGTTGTTAGGATTTTGGAACAAGACTTTAAGTCAGAGGCTTTTTCTTCAGGGCAGAAAATCACGAGATCAGGCAAAGGTGTGGTACTCTGCTCTCTCTGCAATGTCTTTCTCTCTCTGCATCTATTCAGATTGTTCTTTTACATATGTTCTTCCAGGAACCGGTCTGCTTTTAAAAGTTAATCCTTATTAATCAACCGAACTCACAGCCAGGCATCTGTCTTCTGGTTTGTCGCTCAATGGTCATAAAAATATTATCTATTTCTTTCCGGAAGGTCCCTGGACCTCCAGAATAGCTCATCACTTAATCTCAGTTCTTAATCAAAACCAGATGGTCTCTGTTTTACCTCTCCACCAGACGAGAAATTTAATTACCTTCTAGTTTTTTCTCCAATAAAAAAAAATATCATTTTGTTTCATTTTCCCTCGTCTGTTCATCAGTATATCTTCAGTCTATCAGAATTTAGTGCTTTTCAATTTACTAGTGCCTTTCCAATAGTGTCACACAGACAGTACATATTTTATTGAAATCAATAACATTTATGAAAAATATGCGATAGACCAGGACAGACTAACAGACAGACATAAACACTGGGGGATCGAAGGGACGGACAGACAGGAATGAGCAGATAGACAGATCAAAATGGGGAGGAACAGGCAGACAGACATGAATGGACAGAAAGGATTAGATAGACATGAATGTATGGGCAGACTGGCATGAATGAACAAGGAGAGACAGACATGAACAGATGTCAAATAGATAGACATATTTGTAGAAATACATGATACAGACATATAAATTATTGGGTTGGTACATAATTATCAATCAGGTGTTTTTGTAGGCGAGTTATTTGTTAATAAAATTTGCTGTTTTGTTTACTTTTTTAATAAAAATATTTTATTTTCAGGTTATAAAAATGCGTGTTGATAATCATATGCTTCAGAATAATCATTTAAAAATGTTATTGTTCAATTGTTATGTTTCTTTTTTCATAAATATTGTTTAAAAAACGCCTGATAATTATGCATCCGACCAATACAAGTGACAAAGATTTTTATAGACATTAAAACACTGGGTCTAAAATCAGACCTCCTTTGCCGTTTATAATTTTGTTCAGTAATAAATTTGGCATGTATAATCTGTTTAATATATTCTTTGAATAGATGGATCACAGTGTAATAATTTTTGTCAAAATTACCCCCCTCCAAAAAAAATGTTAAAATTCAGGTTTATGACTAGATTAAGTGTTAGATGGCATCATATCTTGGATACAAAATGGTGGAAGACAACATGAATGACTGGCAATGTGAGACACATAGGAAACACTACAGAATTTCCCTGGCTATTATAACTTATAAGATCCAAACAATCTGCAAAAAGAGTGGAAAGACTATTTTTTTTTTACAAATTTTCCATTTCAAAGATTTAGATGATTGGAACCAGAAATAAAAAAAAATTAAAAAAAACTTACTTTTATCCAAGGAGCAACCAATGACTTCTGGAACTGAAGACAAGAATGAATTGATTTCATTGTTAATAACTCTAAGGCCAGAATCTCATTGTTTTGATTGGTATCACTGAAAAGATAGAAAAGTGAAGGGTTAACGCTGTTAGTACTACTGCTACTACAGCCACTACTGTTTTCTGATTTGGTGTTGCATTTCATGTTGTCTCAGATTTCAATTCTTTACACCCCAATGCTACATCAAAGACTGAATCAACGATGGACAGCTTTTTTAGATTTCTTTTTATTTGCTTTATTTCATGAGGAATAGTTAAGTATCGTTTCTTTGTGGAAGCAAGAAGAGGGAGAAAATAGAGGACAGAAGCCAACTTGTTGGACAATTATTCATCACCATGAGGTGGCCTATCTCACTAAGGAATCTGGGAGTGCAAGATGTTTTGACTCTCCAATTCTTACAGCTGGACTGTCTTTGCACATTTTTCTGTCTTATATCAAAACAATCCATCATTGTCAGAATTCTATGCCCATGAGGCTCAAACCAACCTCATTCAGTTCAAATCATTAGAGTTCTGACCAATAGTTTGCCATTTTGGGCCAGCCTACACATTAAGTACATAAGTTTGTAACCTAATGATTAAAAAGCAGTCTCCTTCTTTGTCAATGCACTTAATTCAGTAATGAATATGTAGCTACAGCAATAAGTCTGCTGTTTAATGATGAAAAAAAAAAAGCATTTATTTTACAACATAATCTCTTTTGTCAATGCACTTAATTCAGTGGTGAATATTAATGACATAGATCAAATATTATACAGTGAAAATTTTGTATCAAAATTCAGCTAATAAATATGTGAAGTTATCAATCTAATGATTCACCATCATACTGCAATCCATTGATTTGGTAGTGTTGCTCAGCAAACTATCAAATTTGTTTGTAAAACAGTTCTAGCTTTAGAAGATGAAAGGGTGAAGTGGAAACATTTTTATTAAGACCCAGATCCCTAAGCAAGGTGTCGTAGAAAAAATTTTTTGTATATATTTACACATTTGTCTTTTGAACTTTTGCAGAGAAACATATTTGTATGCAATTTTATAATTCTTCTTCTTCTAAGTGCTCTCTTCAAGAAGTGAGCGATCATGGCTCTCCACTACTTCCTGTCCTTTGTAGCTGTTTTTTTTTTTGCAATCTTTCCTAATCCTTGTTCTACCATTTATTTGTACAAGCTCATTAGGTAGTTTATTCACTGCTTTCCTCTGTCTCTCTTGCTTTCAATGTCCTGTGAGTGTTATACCCTCCAAGCCCACTTTCCTCATTATACCAGATATCAAAATTTAAATGTGAATTTATGACTTAAGAAAATTAATACCACTGCTCTTCTCTGTAAATTTTGCAATATGGTGTTAGCAGATGTTGCAATGTGCTGCTGTATGTATTTGACAAATAATTAGATCAATCTGGCGTTTGGCATTCTGGGTTCAATTAGTTTAAGGCTGGTCTTGTTACAAATAGATAATTTTAATAAGACATAACTTACTTGACTGACTTTGAAGATCCGGGGACAGGTGTTGAAGAAATCATGGAATCAAGAGTGACATCAAATTCTAAGGCAATTCTCATTTCATGGAAAACCTTTAAACAAACCAAAAGAGAAAATACCTATACCATGCATCTACAGTTGTATAATATTTTATAGGCTTATTTTCCGGAAAAACAGAATGGCCTACTTGAAACGGAAATTTTCTTATTTCTAACAATTAGATTTTCCAACTGCCATTTTTATTTGTTACTAGCAGTAGAGCCCGGCGTTGACTGGGGATATAACAGTAAGGGATAGATCAAGTATCCACCATCATAAAGACTGAAAAATAAAATTGACAAAGATTATTGTTTAAGGTTGACGGACACGCATGTCTTAATTATTTTTTTTTTTTTTTTTTTACGAATTGGTCAAACCCAAACTCAAACAAAAACATTGTTTTCAATCGTTATGAGTCTCCCAATTGAATAGAATTTTATTATAAACAATTATCTTGTAAATGGAATTTTTAAAGCATTCTGAATATTAAAAATAAAGAAAAAAGTGTGCAAGACAATAAGAAACACTACCTGCCAAAAAAAAGTGAATTTTTGTTTTATCGGCTGAAAAATGTAGGAAATCCAATCCCATATATAAAGGAATACACACACACAAACAACCTGGGTTTTTAACCCGATGTGAGTTGCCCCCCTTTCATTCTCACAATGTCTCTTAATCATGTTTTCAAATTGATTTTGTGCAAAAACAATTGTATTTTTCCCCATTTTTAGCACTGTTAGAACCACCGCAAGGTAATTTTATGTAGTCCTGTGAAGTTTTGTTGAAATCGGTTGAAAAATGTAGGAAATCCGATCCAATATATAAACGTACAGACACACACACACACACACACACAATCTGTGTTTTATAATAAGTAAGATTATGTTTGTCTTTCATAAATTATTTGTCTGACAGACATCAAAGAGTAAAGTCAGTAATATATCCCTTTACCTACTGTGTCCCTACAGGTTACAGTATTTAGGAAACAAGTTTTACGAAGTTTGCTAGATTTAATAAGAAAAAAAATCTTGGTGGGCAAAACAGATTTTGTCCTTTTGTTTTATCCTTTCTTTTTCCTATCACACATGGTGACGAAGGTGAGGGTGCGGTTTGTCATTTCAGAAAGCCAAATTCTTTTTTCAAAAATTTTAATAATTTTATTTTGTTTTAATAACATTTATATATTGTTACACTTTCTCACTAAGTATTATAATGAAAGAAAAAAAAGAATTCTATACTGAAAACAGAAAGAAAAAAAAACACAATTCCCTAAAGCCTGAAACAGAATTAAGGACAATTTAAAATGGAAAATTAGTCCCTCTGAATATTCCCTTCTATGTCTGCCTTGATTCAGTTAGAACAATAATTCTGAGTGGAGACAACTTCAGTGGCCACAGAAAGATTTCAAACTTCTTATTAGTCCCATGACTGGGCGTGGTCATAGGGTTGTACTTGGACTCTGTGAAAACAGGGCAAGCAATAACTGAGCGGTAGAATGAGAATTGTCTACTACAATAGATTAAATAAAGGGTTAATTTCAGAATTCCTGTAGGTTACACAGATCAGTATAAACCTGATGAAAGTTGGAGGGCATAACAGCTGAAACGTTGTGATAACAAGAGAATAATTTTCCAGATATAAATAGTTGAAATGCAGTTCAATTTTTTTTTAGTTCACCAAATCATGAGGCACCCAAACATTGTACAATTCATGCATCCAAATGTTTTTAAATGCAGTACAACATTCATATATGGGGGGGGGATCTCAGCAATGTTTTTTTGTCATGTTAGCTGGATTATTTTTAATCACCATTTCAATTTAGTCAACATCAACAACTGCAAGCCTTCCTCAATGTTCTTAGCCTTCCATTTATGAACATACGGAACCAATTATAAATACTACCCTCAGCTATGGTATCATAGACAATACTAAACTTCTTTCCATTAATCATGCAAGAGACCTCTTTCTGCCTTCCATCAGCATGGCTGATGCTAACCTCCAGGAAATTGATTTATTTCACCATCTTGGGCTAATGTTCTCAGCTGACATGAAGTCAAAAAACTATATTGAATCCATTGCTAGATCAGCTAAGAAAGTTGGTTCAGTGTCATTCAAGACAATTTTTCTCTCCAGAATCTATCTTACATATCTATCAGTCTACCATTCACCAAGGCTTAGAATATTACTGCCACATATGGTCTGGTGCTCCTACTATATATTTAGACATTCTTTATAAAATCCAAATAAGAATCAGCAATATCATTAGTCCTGACCTGGCATCTCCAATCTTCAGTCACTTTCCAACTGCTGTAAAATTGCTTCTCTGTGCATTTTCTATAAATTCTTTCATGCTAATTGTTCAGATGAGCTCTTCACTATTGTACCTCTGACATTTTGAATTTAAGTGCAGTATCAGACTGGCATTGAGATCTCATCAATTTACAGTTGAGCTGGCTACACTTCTTGTTTATGGAACTCTCTTCTAGCTCTATGCTTTCCAGCCAACTTTAATCTGCAAAAATTTAAATGCAACATCAATCTCTATCTACTGTTCTCCTGATTACTCTTTCCTCTTCATTATTAATGTTTCTGTTCTTAATTCTTTCAGATTCTATAACCCCTTGTGTCTTAGTGGCTTTAATGCCTTGCACGGGGGAATACTGATTTTTAAAAAAATCTTTTTTGGCCATTTTTACAGTATTTTTTTACCTTCCCAGAAATAAGAGCATTAACTGGTGAAAATACCCCATTTTCCTCCACTTTCACTTTTACCATTAAAAAAAAAAAGAAAATTTAAAATCCACACTCCTTACACAAATCATAAGTCACTTACCCCCACAGCATCCTTTGTATTCACTGAGTGTAAAATAAATTTCACAACAACAGGCAAGTCTTCCATTTTACAAGAAGGCAATGTCTTTAAAACTGATGCTAACACCTACAACAGAAAATGTATAGAATATTAAAAATATAAGTATTCATCCAAATAAGTTTTGTCTATATTTCTGAGATTAGGTACTGTAACTATTTACATCATTAAGACTGTTATCCTCATCTTTATTGCCTTATTCATGATGCTTCATCCTTGCAAGTGATATGCATTGGAATTTCAAACCAAACACTGTATTTAGTCCACGGGGGTAAATTGTTCTAATTATACACGCCGTGCCTTTTTTTGAATATCTCAGTTAATTCCCTTTAGTAACTCAATTCTCTAAGTGTTTGTTCACCTCTGCTGTGGCCAGGTATTGAACTCACAACTCTTTGGATCAAGTCACTTTTTGGATCACTCAACCAACACTTTTATCCACTGGGCTACATGTCCTTGGAGTCAAAGATGAGGACAACAGTCCAAACAATGTAAATAGTGTAAATATTTACAATACCGCATCTCAGAAATATAGACAAATATCTGACGTGTTCTACCTAATATTATTAAATTCAGTGAACAAAGTCTGTTAATTTTGTTATTGTATTTTTCCAGTTTTTGAATTAAGATGTTATATATCAGAATGGAAACTATGAATAAAATGTTTCTTTATGTTTGTTCTGTTTTTGTTCAAGTACTTTCAACCATAACTTTGGCCCGATTCAAACTTTCAGATCTCAATAAAATATCTTGCCTAACACACAGACAACACATGATTCTTGATAATGACCGAGATGATCAAAAGTACTTGCACAAAAATGACACAACAAACATGAACTTTAGACATATCATCCACAATTTAAATCCTGACATACATCTTATTCAAAAAGTGGAAAAATGCTGTGCATAAGCTGACTTTGTTTACACGGTAACCCCTGAAATTTTTTGCATGAGTTTAGCCCCCCAGAAAAAAAATTACCTGGGTATAGTACAACCGCTCAGTGAAAATACAGGATTTTTAACCTCTTCAAAAAAATTGCCTGTCTATAGTGTGACCCCTAAATTTTATGTAAAAAACTGATCATAAAATCTCACACTATACACAAATATATATGGGACCATAAAAATTGTTGGTTGAATTTAATAAAACTTGTTTATATATATATATATATATATATATATATATATATATAGAGAGAGAGAGAGAGGGGGAGAGAGAGAGAGAGAGAGAGAGATATTGATTTGATTGGTTTAACGGCATATCAACTCCTTACGTGTTATGTAATGCCAAAATTTAATTTTTTGGGGAGCCTTGAAATAATAAAAAATATGTTATTCTGCTTTCACAATTGAATATATAGTAGATGATACTCAGCTTTTGTCCATATACATGTTTGTGTGGACATATTTACTAGAGGCGGTGATATGTGTGCTTTATATTGTACTTTTGTTGAAGTCATATTTTGGAATAGAGTTTGATTTCTTTAAGAAATTGTAGGATATTATATGGATTAATGTCATGAAAGAGTTCTTTCATGTTGATTGTTTGGTTGATTTTGTTTAGTGACACATCAAACCCCATGGGCCACTTAATACTGAAAACTAAATATTTTGAACAATATGATGGCTTCAATTAAATATATTTTGTACACAATTATAAGCCAACTACATATAAAATGTATTGCTGTTAATTTCACCATAAATATGTACTACTGGTAATTTTTTCGTATAAAAATGAGTTGCTGGCACTTTCACTGTAAAAATGTATTTTCATACTTTCATGATGTTTTGTTTTTGTTTAGGGGTTCACTATTTGCCCATAGCTGGGACCCTAACAGGTGCTACCACCCCAGGTCAGGGTGGACCTGGGAATGACATTAATTAAGAGGTGGTTCGACACTCCTCAAAACCTCCAATCTGTCAATCAGATGTCTTACTCACGGATGTAGTTTATTGTCATAACCAGAATGAGAGAGATGGAATATATACAAATATACATCCTCAATCAAAAAGAAAATGGAACACGTACAAACTGTTTTATTTTTTTCCTTATCTTGCAGAACTCTATTCTGTTAAGATTTAATTACTGAAGGCATGTTGTTATATTGTAATGGTTAACAAGCTTGCCCTGCAGAACATTAGTATTAAGTTTGATCCTCATCAGGTAGCCCATATTTATAGTCTTGTACCAAAACTAAGCTAAAGGTATTGCATCTTTCCTCCCCACCTCAAATTTGTGATTGCTATATTTAACATATATTAAATATATAAATTCAAGAGGATAGTGTCCAGGGCTATTATTACCTTTTCCCTATTGGGTCAATGGGTCATTCCATCTCAAAATCAACTAACAGCCACAAGTGATCCTCTTGGAAAAATCTGGGATGATTCACAGGTGTGAAATGCTATGAAAACTTAAAGATGCACTGATTTGAAAACTATTAAAAGATACAGATCTAATATTTGGGATCTATTAATAATTTTGATCAAGGAACACCTGTGAATTTCTCCAGATTTTTCTAAGAGTGTCACCTGTGGCCATTGATTGATTTGAGATGGAATGGTCCGATGGGTATAAGATGACAATTGCAAAAAAATCTTAATTTTTTGCTGACGTCTTTCATCTTTTTCAAGGCAAAAATGAAATCAAAATGTTTTTGCTGTTATAGTTACATTACAAAAATCCAAATTTAAAAAAGAGAAACGCTTCTGGTTAATGTAATTTTCCTTTATGCTAAGAGTTTTTTTGTCTTTCCATCTCGACAATATAGTTAAATTCCCAGATCGATTCTGTGGACAAGACAAATTGTTATAAGATGACAATTGGAAAAAGTTTATCAGGGAATTTAACTATAGTCAACATGGAAAAAAAAAAAATCCTCTTAGTATAAAAGAAAATTTACATTAACCAGAAGCTCTTTTTTAAATTTGGATTTTGTAATGTAACTATAACAACAAAAACATTTCAATTTCATTTTTGCCTTGAAAACGTCGTAGATGAAAATGCGTCAGCAAAAAACTAAGATTTTTTTTTCTACTTGTCATCTTATACCAATTTGTCTTGGATTAAATGACAGCTACAATCAGGATGCAAATTCAAATCTTAAAGGTGATTCATTATTTTTTTTTTTTTTTTAATCAATCCTGCTTAATTAAATCATCGTAGAACATAAAACAAGTGTTTCACTATAAATACAATACGATAATCTGAAATTGATAATTCATGAGAATCATTTCCCCAAAAAACTTGATAAATTACAAAGTAATTGTTTCAAATATGGCTGTTTCAGTGCAATAAAAAAAAAACGAAGATGAACAGATAACTTTAATAACAAAAAAGAACAATTGCCAAAAAATTTCAGAAAGACAAAAGGGGGAAAACAAATATCAGGTTGGCTAAAAAGTTCATTCGGTTTATTAAATAAATTTTCTATTAATAAGCAAACATTAAGCCACTCTAATATATTCAAATTTGAAAATAGTATCAGGTCATCCCATAAGTTCTGTCAGAATTTTGAATAAAGAAAACAAGTGACCAAATATTACATTTAATTACAGATTCAATCAACAATGTATTTTCCCTGATTATCTATGACTTCCTTCCATCTATTAACAAGCTTACTAATTCCATTACTGTAAAATTCTTTTGACTTTAATTCGAAGAACTCACAAATGTCAGTTTTAACCTCTTCCTGTGTTACAAAAGCTGTTTCTTCCAAATGATTCTGTAAGCTACGAAACAAATGGTAGTCTGAAGGAGCAAGATCGGGAGAATAAGGTGGATGAGGAATTTTCTCCCAACCAAGTTCTTTGATCTTTTGACATGATTCTTGCTGTGTGGGGTCGCACATTGTCCTGATGAAACATTACCTCTTTTCGATTCACTAGAGCAGGTCTTTTTTTCCTCAAAGCTTGGTTCAAATGCTCTAATTGCTGACAGTATATTTGAGCATTAATTGTTGCATTAGGTGCTAAGAATTTAAAGTGGATTATTGCTTGGTGATCCCACCAGATTGAAAGAAGAACCTTTTGCTCATGAAGTTGCCTTCTCGGCTGTGGCTGGGGTCCTTCCCCTTTACCAAGCCACTGTCTACAATGCTTAACATTTTGATAAAAGATCCATTTTTCGTCGCCAGTCACAAGTCTATCCAAAAAAGGTGAAACAAGTTGGCAAGAATGGAGAGAAGAGCAGATGTCAACTCAGGATTTAAGGTTGTTTTCAGACAATTCATGAGGCACCCATTTTCCAAGTTTAGGAACTTTTCCAAGTTGTTAAAGATGACGATGAACAGTTGTATGGTTTGAACTGAGAACCACTGCCAATTCCTCAACTGATAAAGCAGGACTTTCTTCAAGGCCTGCTTCAAGGAGCTTTTCATTAAACTCAACTGGACGTCCGGTTTGATCTTCATCTTCAAGTGTGAAATATCCACCTCTGATTTTTGCAAACCATCTTCTGCAAGTTCTTTCATTCACACATTCCTCTCCAGAAACTGAGTGAATGTTTCTAGCTGCTTCGGCTGCTGAGTTTCCTTTCTTGAACTCATAAAGAATTACGTGCCTTAAATGATTCTTGGGTACTTCCATGTTAGCAGGGTTTTAATCAAACAAAATTTAATTTTACTATTCTCTGAAATAAAATTTGATCAGTTTAAATGCATCAAAACATAAAAATAATGTTCAGCTCCATTAGAAATTATAAAAAACTCTTTAAATTTCGTTCATTTTAAGAAAAAGTTAAAATTCGGACAGAACTTGTGCAATGACCTGATAGTTTGTGTAAAAATACAAAAACCTGGTAAATTTATTTTTTTTTTTTTGTTATAGCTTATGTCTTGGACATAAGAAGAAAATTGAATTCTAAAGAAAATAGCAACTTACTTCAGCTAATAAGTCTTTGTTGAGGACAAGATTGGACATTGTCTCCAGAATAAGAATGGTCAACACTGGACTTTGTTCAAGGAGTTCTCTACAGAAAGAAAGAAATATTTCAAAATTGTCTTTTTTTTTCTTCTTTTTAACATACATACATACATCAATAACTCAGTAGCCTGATAATGAAAGAATTTATTTTACATATTTATTTTTCAACATAATCTCCTTCCTTGTCAATGCACTTAATTCATTAGTGAATATTAATTACACAAACTGAACATTATTCAATGAAAATTTTTAATTAAAATTCAGCTTATAACCGTGTCAGTGACAGTTTAATACAGTGTTTACTATTTTTGTTGTAAATTCTCAAGACCAAAAAAAAAGTATCAATTGACTTTCATCATATGCTTAGGTGTTATTCAAATTCTAACCAATGTGTTTTTTAAAACAATAAACATTGTCAAAGAGTGAAGGTAATTACAAAAGTAGTGTCATGGGACAAAAAAAACGTGCTTTTGACACTGTGTCTTATTGTGGGCACATTTATCCATGTTTGCTGAATTATTTTGATAATTGTTTTTCAATAATACCAAAAATAAAATGTAGTTTTGATTATAAAAGCCTACAAAAATATTATCTTTAAGTTACGGTCAAATAGTATTATAAGTTAATATGATCTAGGAATATACTCAGATCATTTGTGAACATCTATGTTGATGATACAACGATATACAGATGCACCTCTAAAACTTGATCAGAGATTGATAGCTGATCAAGTACTAACTTGTCAGCTGGTTTGTTATATTCAATGTCTTGAAAACTAAACTAGTTACATTTCATCATCGTCAATTGGACCCCGAACTACTGCCAGTCACAAAGAATGGGTCCCCCTTGGAGAAAGACTATTGGGCCTTAAACTCACACCTGACTTCATAGATCTCTTACATGTGATTCATCCTTAAAGATGCAGAAAAAAATGGTCGGCTCCCTATACACCTGACTGTGCATGTTATCTTCTATCTTTACAAGAGCCAAATTAGGCCTAAAATGGAGTACTGTTTTCAAATTTGTGTGGGAGCTGTGCAGACCTCACTCTCTGGTTTTGATAGAGTCAAAATGCGTTGCAGGGTCCTTGTAGGTGAAAAAATTATTTTCCACCCTCCAACTTTTCTCTCTCACAGGCGGTATGTGGCAAGTCTCTCACTGGTCTGTTGCTACTTGAATTTAAAGTGCTCAGACAAACTATATTTCTTTTCTCCACCAGGTCTAACCTTCATTGCTAGGACTCGCCATGCCACTTACATTGTAGCAAACCACTTACATTCTCTCTGTGTTCTATCAGTGAGAAGTAAGCTTTTTCCCACGAACCACTGCTTTGTGGAAGCAACTCCCAATCATTAAAATCTTAACCTGTTCAAGTCTGGGATTAAACATTATCTTCCTCTCCTAACCTCATAAACTACCTCTTAATGTAACCATCTACTTTGAGTGGCTCCCAAGCCTTGTACAAGGTGAACCTCACTGTAATTAAAAAAAGAAAAAAGTATATATATATATATATATATATATATATATGCATACATACAGACACACACACAGGGTGTATCAAAAATACTTATACAAATTTTGGAAGCAGCAAAACAAGGATAGAAGTCCATATAAAGACATGCTGGCAAATCCTTTGCTTCTGAGTTATTAAGTTTAAAGTTTACAGTAGTCGCTGTTAAATGTAAAATCCAAGATACAATCCAAAAATACTTTTACAAACTCTGGGAGTGGGTTCCTGACACCAAAACATGTGCAAAAGGCCATCATTGTAGCCCAACACAGCAACTCATAACAAATGTTCAAAATGGAAGTGTGTTTGAAATAAAGTCCCTGTAGACAGCTCCTGTAAGACATGCTAGAACATATGAACCTACCAGACAGTCAACTACAATTCTAGCCAACACATTAATCATAAACTGGTACTGGTCTCTAGCCTGTATTGTACCATGGAGTTTCCAATCTGCCCACAAATTTTAGATGTTTAAATTTGTTATTCTGTCTCTTCCAACTGTAACTTCATCTGTAAAAAAGACTGAAGAGACAAACACCCGATCAACAATTTGTGCAATAAACTATGGGCAAAAGTTCTCCTGTGGTGAGTGATCAGAGGGTGAAAGACCCTGCACATGTTGCAAATGATACAGATACAAGAGCTGCTCTCGAAGTACTCTCCATGCGGTACTATGAGATGTATGACATGCTAGGGACACTTGATGTGTGCTGATACCTGGATCATCTCCAATAGCCTGTAGAATGTGTTCTTTGTGGTCAGGCATACAAACGGATATCGGTCTTCCTTACTCCATAGTGTGTAGTGCCACAGATCCTGTCTCAGCAACGCAATGATAAACAGCAGCAAAGGTTGGATGACTCAGCAGCCTTCTGTCTAGAAACACAAACTGATACAGCCAAGCAACCTCATGTCCATTACCATTCATGCAGCCATATGTAAAATAAATATCCTGCCATTGTTATACATAACACTTCTCAGTCAACTCACTACTACATACGTTAAATATTGAAGACAGCCTAGCCACAAATGTACACAAATGACAAATGTAACCTAGTCTACATGGCAACACAGTACTATCTACAATAAAGTTTCTTTAAACTTAATAATTCAAAAACGAAGGATTTGTAAACATACAAAGTTTTGTCCTTGTTTAGGTGTGAAAAGTATTTTTGATACACCCTCTGTGTCTGTGTGTGTGTGTGTGTATATATATATATATATATATATATATATACACACACACACACACACACACACTAGAATAATACCAGTCAAAAATGAGAGGATTATTTATATAAAAAAGCAGCATTTCTTTATTATCAATACCTTGCTTTGGAACAGTGCAGTATCTGTGCTCTCTGCCTAAATCAGTCTTTGCAATGGCATACAAGCAGCAGAACATTGACAGAGTGGATTTATTATTTGTCTGCTTACCACTAGGTCAGATGTTCAAACCCAAGCAGGATTCACTTGTTCATTTCATATATCTGTTTTATTATGACAGAAGTTAAAAACACAAAAAGACTGAACCGAAGTATACAACTTTATTTTGTACTACCCGACACAGGAACTGAAGTCAAAACTGCCAGGGAATTCAATTTGTATAACCAATGCTTTTACTCACTGGGCCCACATCATAAGTGATATCATAAGGAAAAATTAACGAAAAAGGTTTATACATGATTTTCTAAGCATCGACAAATTTTCTCCCAAGGACTGAATAAAAAATTCAGTTATGGAAGGTTACGAGAGATTCTTGACAAAATACAAAAAATCTGCAATGTTATTGGTCCTGACCTGTAATCTCAGTTTCAGTCACTTCCCCACCACCATAATGTAGCTTCCACATGTCTTTTCTATAACTATTTTCATGGCAATTATTCTGATGAGCTTTCCTCTTTGGTACATCAACTTCATGAATTTAAGCATAGCACTAGATTGGAAACTAGGCCTCAGAATTTTAATGTTGAAATTGCTAAAAGTTCTATTCAAATAGTTTTTTCTGTTGCACTTGTTGCTTGCAGAACTCTCTTTCAGTTTATTGCTTTCTTGATTAACTAATCTTCAAAAATTTAAATGCAACATCAATTGTCATCTTCTATCTGCTTGAATCATGTTTTTACATATTTTTTTTTTTTTTTTATTGCCCTTTCTCCTCAATAGTGTTTTTCCCTGTTTCTCTCACTTTTAGTCACCTCCTACATCTTGGTGGCTTTATCATCTAGAGCAAAGTGAAATAATTAAAAATAAATAAGTAAATAGCAACTTTAAGAAGACTGAAAAGTACAATGGCTGAAATCTAACAATAACAATCAAATTGAGAACACTAGTCTGAATAAAACGGTTAATAATGATAATTCTTCATCTAAAAAATTTAAAAGTAATCATTTCAACTTAAGAACTGATATTATTTTGTCCATTATTAAATCAATAATAGACAAAATAAAACCTGCTTTTCTACAAAATATCTATAAAAGATATCTTTCTATATTTATACAAATGAGAGTGCCAATAGTTACAAATGACTGGCATTAAATAAAAAAAAGATACTTGCTTAAGAACTCCAACAACTTGTTCATGTTCTGTGACATCCATGATTTCTGGTAAACAGGAAATGATTTCTCGCTGAACATCCAAAGATGTGACCATAAGAATTTCTAAAAGTTTTTCCCGAAGAGCCTGAAAATAAAGGAATTATGCAAAGTTAAGCAAGGTGCTGAGAAATGGAAAAATTTCATTAGAAAACAAAGAGTGTCGATTGCTATGTGATATCCATCCTCTTATATGGCAGTAAATGCTAGACAATCTCCCTAGAAATGAGGAAAAGGATGAGAGGCAGCAGAAATGTGGTTTTACAGAGGGATACTGAAAATTCCATGGATGGAGCAAGTAAGCAACAAGCTTCAAGAAAATGGCAAGAGAAAGAACATTTCTACTCAGAATCGTGTGTGTGTGTGTGTGTGTGTGTGTGTGTACTCCTGTACATGTGCACATGTGTAGGATGTCATGGTTATTTCTTCTTTTCATAATTTACTTGTCCCCCTTATACTCTCTTGCTATTCCTTTTTTCTTTCTTTCTTTCAGTTCTGAGTATCAAAAGATGTAGTTATTTCCAAGGTCAGAGATGGCTTAAAATTAGGTTAATATTCCAGAATATTCTGGGATTTTCTAAAGTTTTCAAAATATAGGCGTATTTATTTTTTTTTTTTTTAATTTCTTGTTTAACCTTTACCCCACACTAATTTCTTTCTAGAATTGTACCCCCTACCACTGCATATCTTTTTTTGAGGGTGCAAAAACATGAATACCTACTGTTTTAAAATTGTTATAACTTTCTTTGTATTGTGTGTATTGATTTTATTTTTGTATACTAATAAAAGAATAGACAAGTAATATTTTGATGTAATGCATTATGTTTTGTATGCATGTTTTGAAGTTGAAAACAAAAAAAATTGAAATGCGAAATAAAAAACAAATACATTAAAAAAACAAAAAAAAAAAAAAAACTCCTGAATAAATGCTTCATTTGATATTGACATGGCCATTTTTGTTTACAAAAAATCGTAAAAAAAATTAATGTGGGTTTAATTGGTGTTACGCCGCATATAAAGTATAGAAGAATTCAAAATGTGGTTGGAAAAACGAAATTTAACCTTCTTCCAAAGCAGCAGTAGGCGATTTCCTGCTTAAAATACTGGAAATAACAGTTGATAAGTGTTTATTTATAGAAAGCATCTCAAGGCGACAGAATGTGCCTAGAGTAGCAAAAGGAGAGAATTCTACAGCAACAATTGTCGCCTGTAGCATGATCAAGGTTAAATATCTTTTTTTAATAAATAAAAATACAAACATTCATTTATCTAGTCTCTGCTCAGAGAAATACATCCAGACTTGATGAAACATGACTGTTATCAATCAAATCTAAAGACTACGTGTAATTATATAAAGCTGCAAGTAAAGACAAGTGAACATTTAATGTCATTTATCGCTATCAATGCTCTATCTCTTGATATTGAGCACTCTAATCACAAAGACTACTTGCCTTGAAAACGTTACTATCCGGAAATACCCAGGTCAACCTTTTTTGCCAAAATACAATCTTTGTTATTGATACATGTATATTTTTATTACTTCAAACATTATTTTTAGTGGATACCAGTGTTTGAAATAGACATCTCGTTTTTATTTTAAACTATGTGTATTACATCTATCAGCCTAAGGAATATATATATATAATACAAAAGGAGATGCAGGTTCATACCCAGCCAGAGAGCACATTTTCTTTATTACATTTTCTTGAGTACACAGGCTGACAGACATAATAGAGACTGTTTAAAATGGGGAAAAAAAAAACTAGACGTCTATTTCAAGCAAGGGTATCCACTGAAAATATTGTTTAAAGTAAAAAAATATCAGATTAAAACAAAAATCCATTCATTCTTACAGTCATATCTTCAATATGGTCAAGCCATTGTAACTGTGCCAGAACTTGACGTGGGATGTTCATGTTCTCATCACATTCAAATAAAGGCCTGAAAATAGGGAATATATTTCAGTTAGCTGACCATCATCTAAAAGGTCATAAAATGAGCAAAAAAAAAAAAAAAAAAAAAAATAGTGATTAATAATATTAAGTTGCTTGAATTTCTTAGGGAAACCAATGTCATTATTTTTTACTATTTTTTTCTTATTTTTACCTGCTTCATTGGCAATGCCTTGTATATGCCCACTGCATCCCTTGCAAAGAGAGAGGACCTGTGTTAAATAATAGTTTAACAGACTATTATTTTTAGGGGGAATTGTATCTCTGCTGTGACTTCCAGAGGTTGACCTTCAAGGTCAGATACAAGCCAAAATAAGGAAGTTGATTTTGATTGGCTGCACTAGCGTGGAAATGATAGAGAAAAGTTTTTCAGGGTGTTGGTTCTTACATGTCAAGCAATGCAGATGTGTTCACTTTCATGTCTGAAACGGCTCCCCAGTGAGGAGGAATGCCCCCCACTGGATAGTTAGTACATGTCAACATGAACAGTAATAAAAAATGTTAAGTAAAATTCTTTGTGTTGGAGTCTTTTTATTGTTGAACCAAATCAACTAGCAATCGCCAGCCAAGATGAGAGAGAGGATGCAAGACCAGTAACCAGCCTTTTGAATTTTATACAGTATAAAATGACAAATGTATTTTTTTTAAGTTAGAATCATTGAAGTTAAACTCTGAAATGCACTATAAGCAAGACACTGTTTATAGAAAAGCTGATAAACTAATTCTAGATGCAGTTTCCTAACATTCAACCTTAGTTCTGCCTTGGTTGGTTGCCTCATAATTCATAGCAGTGAAATATGTAATTAAAATCCAAACATCTTACTATTTAGATAAAAAACAAAAATAAAATGTAAAAAATACTAGTTAAAAATCAATCTTAACAAGACACTAGTTGTATTAAAAGATGTTTGCTTTTTAAAAATGTTATTGTCAGATCTACTCTTAAGAATAAAAATTTCCACAAAAAATTAGTGGGAAAATTATTTGAAAACACAGAACTATCTATACAAAAATTCAAGCTATTGTTAACCAAAATTTTTATACAAAATTATATAAAAAAATAAAACACTATCATAATAAACATATAAGCAAAAGTCGGTAAAGTATAACATTCCAATTTGAAAAAAAAATAGATAAATAAATAAAAAGTGAAGAGTTAAAAGGACAACCTTGATACTGCTATTACAATATACTCACGTGGTAATTCTTCTTGTTTTAAAAAGCTATTTTTAGAATTTTAAGAAAATACGAACGTATGAAACTCAATTTATACATTCTCTTTATTCTCAAAAACTGACAACAAAAAACACTATTCTTGTAAATAAACAGTTTAATAAATAGTGTTTAACATTTTTGTTGTCAGTCCTCAATAAAAAACAAAAAAAAAATCATAGAAATCCAGATGCTCACAACTTATTTTAGCAAATTTATGTGGCAAGAGCAAATGAAAGAAATTTATACTTACAATTACTCATCATTATGCATTTATTTAAATTTTCTAATTCTCTTATTCAGTCACTTTTATAAATTTATGAATAAAAAAGTTTTCATAGTTATTTCTTTAGAATATACTAAACTAGCAGTAGAGCCTGGCGTTGCCCGGGGATGTAACAGTAAGAGATGGTTCAAGCATCGACCATCATAAAGACTGAAAAATAAAATTGACAAAGAATATTGTTTAAGGTTGATGGACACGCATGTCTTAATTAGTTTGTTTTTTGTTTTGTTTTGTTTTTTTACGAATTGGTCAAACCCAAACTCAAACAAAAACATTTTCAATCGTTATGAGTCTATCGATTGAATAGAATTTTATTATAAACAATTGTCTTGTAAATGGAATTTTTAAAGCATTCTGAATGTAAAAATAAAGAAAAAAGTGTGCAAGACAATAAGAAACACTACCTGCCACAAAAAAGTGAAGTTTTGTTGAAATCGGTTGAAAAATGTAGGAAATCCGATCCCATATATAAACAACACACACACACACACACACACAACCTGGGTTTTATAATAAGTAAAACTCGATATGAGTTGTCCCTCTTTCATTCTGGTGAGTGATGCCTCTTAATCATGTTTTCAAATTGATTTTGTGCAAAAACAATTGTGTTTTTCCAATTTTTGGCGCTGTCAGAACCACCGCAAGGTAATTTTACGTAGTCCTGTGAAGTTTTGTTGAAATCGATTGAAAAATGTAGGAAATCCGATCCAATATATAAACGTACAGACACACGCACATACAATCTGCGTTTTATAATAAGTAAGATGATAAATATTGCATTGTTGTTGCCTCACATATATTTATAAACTTATAAATAACAAATTATTCTTGTAAATAATCTAATAAAATAAATACTGCTTAATTCTTTTGTTGTCAATTCTCAAAAAAAAGAAAAAAAAAAGAAGAAAGTTTTCTTGAGCAGGGATTCTTTGAGATTTTGCATTAATGTGGGTGTCTCCCAAGATTATCCTTGAATCTACATTGTTCTTAATTTTCATCAACTTCGTCCAATTAGTTCTCAACCCTGTACCTATGCGGATGACACAACTATTTATTCCTATCTTAATGGTAAGTCTGATCGGTTCAATAAGGTCAAATTGGAAGGTGAGCTAAAAAAATGCCCAACAATCTGTTAACTGGAGCAAGAAGTGACTGTTAATTTTAGCACTACCAAGACAAAACTGCACTCCTTTAATCATCTTAGAGAACTTTTTGGCCCTCCATCAGCATGTCTGATAATAACCACCAGAAGAGTGGTTCATTGACTAAAATTTTCCATTGACATAAATTGGAAAGATTATATTGAATCAGTTGCTAGGAAAAATGGTTCATTGTGTTGTACTAGATAATTTTTCTTGCCAAGAATATATCTTACAAATTTATAAGTCAATCATTCATCCATGCAATAAATATTGCCGTCCTATCTGGTCTGGTGATTTTGCTATGTATTCAGAAATTCTTGATAAAATCCAAGGAAGAATTTACAATGTTATTGGTTTGAACCTGGCATCTCAGCTTCAGTCACTTCCTCACTGCTGTGTCATAGCTTCCATGTACCTTTTCTATAGATATTTTCATGGTAATTGGTCTGATGAGCTTTCCTCTCTGACACTGCAACTTTAAGAATTTAAACACAGTACTAGATTGGCTGATAGGTCTCATCATTTTATAGTTGAAATGGCTAGATGTAACCGTAAGTTCTATTCTAACAGTTTCTTCTCTTAAAGTTCTCGTTTGTGGAACTCTTCTTTCTTTCCAGTCAATTTTGATATTCAAAAATTTAAATTCAATGTCAATCCGTCTGTCTTCTTAATTCCTGTTCTTTTAATGTTCTCTCTCCTTAATAAAGTTTTTCTTTTTCTCATATTCTTTCAGATTTTCAGCTTAGTGGCTTCACTGCCTTGCTTATGGTTAAACATTTTTAAAAAAAAAATTTTTTTTTAAATGTATAAATCTAGTTTCATGTTTGGCTTTTATTAAAACTGTAAAAATAGCATTTAAAAATAAAAGAAAAAATTGCCAAGGGAGTGTATAATAATAGCAGTACCAAGAGAAAAAAAAACAAAAGCATCCTTTTGACAGTTTTTTTTTTTGTGGGTACATATGTTAAACTTTGCCCCAAAGTCAATGTAATTTCCTTTCAGCTTTTTTTCAAAAGAAAACAAAAATGAATACATGTGTTACTTACTCATCATCCATAAATTCTGGTAATTTCTCAAGTAAAAGAATTATCAATTTAGGCTGAAAAATAAAATAAAAATGGTATGTATTTTTTGTGTACTTCAATCAAAGAGAGTTCCATCTTTAAATGTAATTTCAAATGAAAGGTAAAAAAAGAAAATATTTCAGGTCACAAACTTTCAAATAAATATTTATAATTTAAATATAAGGAGGCATGGTGGAGTAATGGATAGTGGCTCAGATTGAGGAATCAGAAAGCGGTGTTCAAATTCCAGTCGAATCCATTAAATTCACTTACGTGATAATACCCTTTGGGAAAGGTATGAATCCTCTTCTTCTCCCCCCCCCCAGTTATGGGTAAATAGCAGGACAGACTAGGTTCTATAGCCATGAATGGCAACTGGTCTACCGCAGAAAGAAACGGCAGCCTACTGCAGAAAAAAAAATTTGCCTCGTCAGACATGTATTGAAAGATACATGATCACCTAAGCTTGTATCATGCATGGCACATAACTGAATTTAATAAAAATAAAAAAATTAAATATCCAGTTTACTTGTTCAAATCTTTTTTTTTAACTTATGAATTTTAAAAAAATGTTTAATTATATACATACACACACACACACACACACACACACACACACACACACACAGACAGGGTCAGGTAAAAGTCGCACACCGTAAAGGTTAATTAATTAATCTTATTTTAATTGACTAATTTGTTCTACTATTTTCTTATTTTGCAGAAACAATTTTAACAATGTAAGATGGCTGATTTTTTTTTCTGTGGGGTCATTTGAAATTAGTTGTTTATCAGACATGCTCAAGAAATATTGAGAATCTTAAAGAAAGGATTAAATATGAATGCAGTAAAATGACAGGAAACAAATACATGTTAATGAATCATGCAGGCACAGAATTGAAATGTGTTTTGATAAAGAAGGAAGACATTTTGAACAGTACATATAACAAATAACTAGTAAATAAAATTTTCATGTGTCATTATACTTTTAATGAATTATCCCTATGGTGTGTGACTTTTGCCTCACCCTGTATATTTATTCACTTTGAACATTATTTTTAGAGGATACTCATATTTGAGTAGACACTCCGTTTATCTATTAAACAGTATATTTATTTATTTTTGTCTACTGGCCTGAATATTCAAGAAATTTTATTAAAGAAAAATATGCACTCTCCAGCAGGATTCAAACCTGCATACCCCAGGGATGAGAGAACTGTCGTTAGATTTGACATGCTTTAACTGACTCAGCCACGAAGAAGGTTTACCAATCTAGCAAGGATGAATAGTGAAAAATTCTTCTCATCATAAACTCTTGAGTTATCGAGGTTTATATGACTTGTGTAATAAACTCAAACAGACTGCATAATGTAAACCCCATATACAAATGAGGTCAGTTTATAAATACGAGACAAAACAAAGAAAACAAACAAGGTGCCAGTACCCTGTCCAAAAACAATTTCAATGACCCTACCTGGTATTTAAGATAATTTATAAATAATTATAAGTCTACCACTCGTCTTTGCTTTAAACATTGCTGCCACATCTGGTCTGGTTCTCCTGCCATATATTTAGAGATTCTTGGGGCATCTTGACGTGGTGTAATGCTTAGAAAGCTTGTCTTGCTAGATCAATTACAGAGTAGTGAGTTTGATCCTCACTGGGTGCCCCATAGTTTCGGCCTCGTGCCACATCAAAGCTGCACTTAGAAAATCACAATTTAGAGATTCTTGATAAAATCCAAAGAAGAATCTACAATGTTATTGGTTCTGACTTGGCATCTCGGCTTCAGTTATTTTCCCACCACCATAACACAGCTTCCGGCTGTGGTACTTCATGAATTTAAATGCAGCACTAAATTGGCAGCAAGGTCTCATAATTTTACAGTTGAAATAGCTAAAAATTACATCTAGCTAACTGTTTCTTTTATTGTACTTCTCACTTGTGGAACTCTCTATCAGGTTCTTGCTTCCCTGTCAATTTTTGATTTTCAAAAATTTTATCGCAATGTCAATCGTTATCTTCTGTCTTCTTAATTCTCTAATAGTCAATAACACCTTGCATCCTAGTGGCTTTATTACTTTGCTTGGGGTGAAATAATTAAAAAAAAATAAATACGTTAAAAATTCTTAGAGAACATTTATCTCAACAAAATATTAAAAAGAAATGATGCTTATAGAAGGTTATGCTCACCTGGAGTAAATCAATATTCAATAATAAACGTATCAGACAGGCTTGTTGTTTGTTTCTGGAACTGAAAATAAATGGAAAAATCTCATGATAAAAATGTTTTAAAACTATTGTACAATTATTTTTTTTTAACTGTGTGTTTTTATTTGTATTGCTTTATTCAGATTAATTTCCTTGTTATTTTATTGGGAGATGGGGATATTGCGTTTTAGCCACTAGAGCTGATGTTGCAGTTTCAAATCTGGCAATCAGTTAAAAGAGTCTATTTGAATGAATAGTCTCAGAAAGGGGGGAGTAACTCAAAATTCCTATATTAAAAAAAAATCAAAACTTTAAATCAGACTCAAGAATTCTACAACACATTAGTGATGGAAAAAAAGATAATCATTGAATTTTCTAGATTGCTATATTATTTTTTTTACCGATTTTTTTTTACTCCTGCAAACATGTAAATAAATAAGGAATAGTAGGTATTTATTCGCGCACCCACTACGCAACAAAATGTGACATAAATAGTATCCTATGATTAGCATAGTTATCTCCCTTACTATATATTTTTTTAACAACTCAGTATTAGTGGAAATGATGAGACGAAGTAGAAAAAGGTTTATAAACGACGCGTTGGTATTCAGCGAAACGCGTCGTTTATAAGATTTTCTATTTGTCCCATCATCTCCACTTTTGTTTCAAAGACTATTATACGTCTTGCAAACACACGATTCTGCATTAATGAAGACCCACTATTATAATTCAGCAATACTTTGGTGGCTATATTGTCTATATTCTTACACTGTAGTCCAGCTCTAAGTCTTTCAGAATGCCTACAACATATACAGTGCACTCAAAATATTACCAACTTTAAAAGAGATTAAAATTTTTTTTTTTTAAATTAGTCATCTACATCCATTAAATGGTGGGTTAATTTCTGGATGGACTTTGTATTTTACTAAAATTACTAGTTTTCTTGACCAAGGATATTTCCAATCATCACTTTCAACCCAAAATCATTGACAAGACCTTGTGGGGTGGTGACATTTTCCACCCCATTTCCCATAGACACAAGTCTTTTGTTACTATCTATATTTCAGATGAGCTACATTCCACCAATTCATACCTTGACAGCTAAGACCCATCATGCTGTGTCCACAGAGTTAAACAACTCTCATTCCCTCTTTATTCCAATTGTAAGGAGGAAGTTCCATTCAGACAGCTTTTTCTCAAGTACCATTCCTCTGTGGAACAGAGACCTGTGTGGATGCTTAACCAAACACTAAAATCCTAGCCCCCACATCTATATAATCCTCTCATATCACACACCTCATTCAGTAACCCTCTACCTTGAGTGGTTCTTGAGCCATGTATTGGATGAACACTTGTTAAAAAAGAGCAATCTGTTATTTAAAGAGAAGACAATATTTATCACATAATCTGCCTTTTCATCATGAAGAAAATGAATCCAAATAATTTTTGGGGGTGATTTTCATGAGATTATTTAGTATTAAAAATACTAAAGCCTTCTCAGCGGTCACTACTTCAAATATAAGAAAAAAGTTAAACTCAAAACAGCTTTTTTCCAAGAACTACCATTTAGGGGAATAGACTGCCACAAGGATGCTTCTTAGAACACTTTGTTATATTAAGCATATGGTGGCAGAACAAGGCAGAAATGACAGGTTTAATAAATAAATAAGTGTATTAACAAAAAAATACAACAATAATGAAATGGTGTGAATGTCTCTCATTGAAAGAAAGAGATAATTTGTCTGCAGAGGCATACAGTAGGAGAGAGAGGGTGAGTCAGGACTTACTGCAGCAACGGCCTTTGGCGAATTGTCTTTGGAGATGGGAGGGCAGATGTGGAGGTGGCATTCCGATGAGCATGTGAACCCTGTGCTAAATGACAAGGTGTCCCTTTCATGGGCTTTTATTTCCTTTTCCTAGGCTCAGATCGGCTCCAATTTTTATTTCATTTCTTTAGGTGGGAGTGGGTGCTATTGGGTAAAAAATTTGGCTTGTATATTTTTGAGGTGTGTGAGGAAAGCAAAAGGTGTGTGCAGCGCCAATGCGCACTTGACAGAATTTTTAGTTCAGTTTTGGGTTTTAGGGCGTTCACATCTGGCCAGTGGTGGAAATTTGTGTAAAATGAATCAGATCTGATTTTAGGAAGATTATAACAACTTCAACCTTGACCTCTGCAAATCAATGGTCAAGTGTCATCTTTTCTCTATATCCTTATAATCTTCATCTTCTACCATTTTTCTTCCATTCATATCACACACCACCTCATTCATGATTACCATTTTGACTGTAAACCTCAACCTTATGCAGCTTTTGAGCATTGTATTGGATGAATTTTTTTTTTTAAATCCCACCATTTGGAGTTGTGTTATAAGTTGTTTGGTTAATTTAACAACATATAAACGCATGTTATTTTGTAATATTTATATCAAAAGGTAAACAATAACCTAATTGATGACTTGTGACAAAAAGGCAAACATTGACATAAATATATAAAAGGTAGACATCAGTCCAATTTATACCAGTCAAAAGGTAAAACATTGGTCCAGTTTATACTCAAGTCTGCAAATATCCACCCAAAATGTGGCTAATATTTGGAAGGTTGGAATCTTATCCTTCTGTAGAAGATATATTAGGCATATTCCAAGTGACATAAAGCTAGATTCAAACAATATAAAAAATAAAAGCAGTAAATGTAATGAACTACCACAGAGGGCAAGAGGCTCAGTTGCATGCATTTTTCACAACAGTCAATGTAACACTAGAGAAAATGGCTTACAGGATGAAAACAGATTCAAACATGTCATATGTAAACTGTCCCAAAAGGAAAAATGGTGACTTCACGAGTCACACATTTAAAACAGATAGATCCCAGAGTTGGATATATTCTCGGGAGAGTCTCTTTTCACATATATAAATTTTGGCTGTTAATGAGGGTATAAAAAAAAGTGCATAACAAGATGACAGGTAGAGGAAACTGCAGGAATTGATTACAAGCCAGAAGAAACAACTCTACTGTCATATGCCTTAGTCATTACCAAAATGAGTCTCATCTTTCCATTCATAAGTTAGCAGCGCTTCGATTTCGAGTCTTGCTCCTTCAAAGACAGCAACTGACTTCCAAGTAATTTTCTAATTCCCACGTGTCCTGCATTTTGGTGCGAATTCCAGTTCCTGCTGCTTCATGACCTTACATCAGTCCCCGGTCTAGATTCTGTCTAGATGTCTGTTGCTATGAATAATTGGGTCAACCTCTTGACTTGCTTTCCCAAAATGTCTGGAGACTCCCACGTGACCTCTTCTTTTGTCAGGCGGAGATTAACCCGTGTGTATGCGTGTTTGGGCTATCTGCATTAGTCACACTACAAACTTTTCACTACAATGAGCTACGACTACAAAATTTCAGGATTAGGTGAAAATGTATAAACCTTTCATTACATGAGTATCATCAATTTTGTTTACTTCTTTAAAAAGAAAACAAAAATATTATTCCAGATGATTAGTTTAGACTAATGTCTTCATCTTTGTTATTTGTTGTTTTGTTTGTCCCTCATTCAGTCACACAACCATCAGTCTCAGAGCTGACCAAACCAACCATACAGAATGATTAAAACATTCATTTAACAAAATTCAGACAATAAAAAAAACAAAAAGACAAAGGAGTTCAATTGTAACAGCAGTAACTGGCAAGATAGGACATTAGGTTTAAGACTGCAAGTTGTACATTCAAGGTTTGTCCCATAATGGATGAAAACATTGGTTCATCAATTTGGTGACATTAATTGTGTTCAATCCCTGGATCAGGTAATAAAGACTTATACGCGGTAGAAATGGAGAATAGTAGTATTACTAAAAAAAAGGACAGCAGAATTAGAATAATCTACTCCTGTAGATTAAATAAAGGGTTCAGTTTGAAATTCTCAAAAGTTACCCAGATCAACAGACACTATAATAAAGCCAGAGGACACAACATCTGAAATTGTAACAGCAACAAAGAGGACATATGTTCAAATGGAAATAAGAAAAAAAAATCTTTTTATAAAAATGTGAAAATCTTTGAAAATTTTTGTTTTCTTTTTGTTGACATAAAATCTTTTTAGAGTAGCTTACCTGATATCTTCTGCTGTAGAAACACAAGGCAACAACACTTGTTTGAACCTATTAGGAAAAAAAAAAGTTGTTTGATTTGGTTTAGTTTATTTTGTTTTATGGCATATCAACCTCATGGGTTATTTAATGCTGATAAAATTTTTATTGCTGGTAATATGTTTTTCTTCAAAAATCTATTTCTGAGAATATTTTTCCTTGAAGAAATCTATAGCTGGTCAAATTTTTTCCAAAGAATATATAGCTGTTTGTATTGCTGGTATTTTTTAAAGTGTTGCTGATAATAATTTTTCCTTCAAAAATTATTGCTGGTAATAATTTTTTTTATTACAAAGTATTTCTGGTATTAAAAACTATTTTTTCACAAGTTTAGGTGTTAACTATTTGCCCATAGGTGGAACCCTAACAGGTGCTATCAACCCGGGTCAGGGTGGACCTGGGAACACCAGCAATTAAGAGGTGGTTCCATGCTCCTCAAAACCTCCTGATCAGAGGCCTTGCTGTTGGATGTAGTTTATCGTCATACCCAGGACACAAAAAAAAAAAAAGTTGTATAATCATGTCTATAAATAGAATTGCTACTATAAAGTTTTTATCACATTTCTGTCATTTGATAAAATTTTCATGAGTCTTGCTAGTTAAAATTATTTACATTTAAACTAATGTCCTCATCTTTATTGTTATTATCACCCACATCCATATAAGAATATCAGGGGGTTGTCAAATTTTGACGGAGATTTTCTATATTTTACCAGTTTTAAAGCTCTTCAAATATAAACTCAATTTGGAAGTTATCTACACAAGTTAACCCTTCTATACATTATGTTCTCATGTTCAGGTTTTATGACATACGTATTTTTACATATCAATATTATTTTGTTATTTGCATGAAATCTGAATTCAATAAATAAATTTTATATATATATATATATATATATATATATATATATATATATATATAGCTTAAACATTCCTTAGTTAGCCATAATCATGGAATATTAGTGTTTGAGCTTTTTATATTCTTGCACTGTCTTGTACATGGAACTCTATCTGGATTTTATCCACTTGGAAATATATATATTGACAACTAATATTATCTGTCTGTTTATATATATATATATATATATATATGAAATTGCTGTTATCCCTTGACACGAGGACAGAGCAATTGCTGGAAGTTCCATCTACAAAACTAGAGTCGGGATGCTGAAGGTAACATCAATCAGCTAAAGTGACAAATTTTTTATTTGTATTAATCCTATATATATGCGGCGGGGTAGTGTATGTAAATTTAAGCAGTATAGCTTCATCAAACCTGTTTTGTTGAATAATAAAAACACATTATGTCTATTTATATTTTATAATAATCCCTTCTAATTCTCTAATCAGTTTCATGATGTTAAGATGAAATTCATCAAGGAAGACGCTGTAGTTTTTTTTCCTATCCAAGTATTTTAAGATCAACCTCAGGGTGAATTACAAAGACAAACTTATTGTAACTAATTCATTATGAGTATAGCAGTAACGTGTTGAAGTGCATTTAACAAACATTTAATGCCATTTTGCATTTCTATCAATCCTTGGTTAGCTCTCTTATGTTAAGACACTTGTTTGCAAAAAAATTCCCCAATAAATACAATGGAAAAATGAAAAATTTTAAAATAATTGTATCAAAGCATGTTCATAAATCTTTAAAAAAAAAAATAAAAAAAAAAAAAAACATCACAACAAACACAGTTACAAGTCTGTAATTCATCTAACACTAATATTTTTACCTGTTTTTGAGCAGATGTTTCATTTTTTTTTTTTTTTTTTTAAACGGTGTTTATTTCATCTACTGGCCTGCATACTAGAGAAAATTTAAGAAAATGTGCACTCTGGCAAGGTTCGAACCCATGTCCCCCTTTACAGGAAGAACCACCATCTAATCTAGCATGCTTTGACTGCTCAGCTACATAGAGCTTCACAGTCAAGCAAGGTTCTATTTGCTTTAAAGCACATTCATTCGTTCATATTTTCTTAAAAGTCATATCTGCTGTTGCATATCCAAAATGTAAACAAAGAAATTTCAAAGAATTAGCTGATTTTTTTGGTTTTTTCAAAAATTATGTCTGTATCTGTTGGCATGGTTGTTTTGGGGTTTGTTTTTTTTTTATTAAAAAAAAAAAAAAAAAAAAATGATAAATTTACCTGCTTCTATCTTCAATGTACTGCTGTACACCTTCTAAAAAGTCGTCAATCACCTGCAACAAAGAATAGACAGTAATGAAAAGGACAGCTGAAATGACATGTAGGAAAAGATTTTCTTCAAACATTTCGATGACAAACACAATTATTTTATGTAAATATCAGATAATTAAAGGAAAGGTAATCCTCTAAAAAAATTAGCAGAGGTATTGGAAACTCTCACTGCTAATGGCGACATCATCATCTCCTCCTCTTTTTTCTTTTATGAGGACATAGATGATCATGGCTCTCCACTTCCCCCTATCATTTGTCGCTCTCAATAAGTTTTATCCCTTTGCTACTTCTCCCTGACCCTGTTCTGTCATCCACTTGCTTAAGCCCACTAGGTATGTCACACATTGCTTTCCCTTGTCTCTCTCCCCCTCTTTTTGCCGTGAGTATCAGACTGTCTAAGCCTTCCTTTCTCATTACATGCCCCAGAAATTTCAGCTGCCTCTTCCTGATGTTAAGTATAAGCTTCCTCCTTGTTTGCATCCTCTCCAAAACCTCATTGTTGCTCACACTCTCTCCTTAGCATCCTTCTGTAGAACCATATCTCCGTTGCCTCAAGTCTCTTCTTCACCTTTGAGGAGACTGTTCAACATTTACTGTTGTAAAGGAGGACAGATATCACATAGCAGTTCAGTACTCTTTTCTTTGTTACCAATGAAATCCCCCTGTCTTGTAATACTCTGCCTAGCTTTCAGAATGCATCTTTGGCCATACTAATGCATCTTTGGATCTCAGTGTTGCACTTACCATCCTCTGTCAGAACACTTCCTAGATATTTAAATTTCCGCACCTGCTTGATTTTAGTGTCCCCAACCCTACCATTTCTTATAAGAGAGTGTCATTCTAGAGCAGTAATCAAAGCTGTTGTAAGTAAATATGACAGAAAGACATGGTCATTCAAGCAATGTATCTTGAGCTAGAATTCAAATTGTTAGTTCCAATCCTTGTTGGGAATGACTTCAAAAAAATCCCCTCAGATTTATAGGCAAAACATACAGATGCATGATGGGATTTCTTCCTAGCCAATAAGATTGCATGTTAACACCATTCTTAGTTTGTGAACTTTTTGCCTTTTTACTGTAACTTTGCCTACTTTTGTTTTGCGTATATGGTTTGCTTAGTATTATTTTGGGCCCATTCTTTTCTTTCTCTTGTTATTCTTTATTGCAAACTTTGTCAATTCTGTTTGTTTGGACATTTCTGACTATTATATTTAACCATGGTCAATTACTCTACACAAATAAACAGATTTTTTTTTACTATTTGATGAGACAAAGAAACACCTGAGCATAAATAAAAAAAAAAAAAAATCAATCTACTCTCATGATGTGAATTAAAGATTTGGTTCAAAATTCCTAGATAGTTACTAAATATGAAAACATCTACCTGAAGAAGACCAGAGAGTACAACAGATGAGCATAAGCTGATCTGAATAACAAAGCTAATTGCTTTCCTCTCAGCTATTAAGAATCTGCAAAGTTATTGGTCCTGACCTGGCACCTTGGCTTCAATCACTTTCACATCACTATAACATAGCTTCCCTGTGCCTTTTCTATAAAAATTCTCATGACAATTGTTCTGATGAGCTCTCCTCTTTCAAACCTCAACTTCATGAATTCAAGTATACATAGTACTAGATTGGCAGTTAGGTCTCAACATTTCACTATTAAATTGTAAGCATAAGTTCTATTCTAATGGTTGACTCTCTCACAATTTTCGCCTGTGAAAGTCTCTACCAACTTCTTGCTTTCCTATCAACTACGATCTTCAAAAATTTAAATGCAACATCAATCATCATTCCCAGTCTTCTTAGAATCTTGTTCTTTTATTGTCCTTTCTCCTCAGCAGCAATTCACTCTTGTGGAATCTTCCACAACAAGCCAGTTAACCCCTGCTAGAAAATGCACTATTCTTATTGTAATTTTCACCATCACCATCTTACAAATATATGACAAGCATTCATTGGTTAATCTACTCAAAACTAGCTTGCTGATTGGTCAATTCCGGCCAATCAGATATCTTGCACGCGACAAATCTGTTTTCCATTTGAGCCTGTCACGTGGTACCACAAAATTATAAAAACAAAACATGTGTAAACTCTCTCTCTCGCATCTCATTCCTTGCTGCCAAGATGTAATCTTCAAGAACTCCCGTCTTAACCTTTGCGGTCAGATGTTAAAGACCATCACCAACATTCACGCAAGTACAAACTCTGAAATCTCTTCTGAACTTTTACAATACACAATTCCAGACATGCTAAAGAAACTTTATTCTTCTAGACTACAGTTTAATAATTACTTTCACTTTATGAACTTAGGTACAAATATTACCTAATTTAAGAGACATAACTCTGTCTAACCTTTTCACTCAGTATTCATGCATGTACATCAAATACTTAATAAATTCAATTGTTACGTTTTGAAACAAGATGTTTATGAATCATTATTTCTCTGTCTTGTATTAATTGTTGTGGATGGAAGATTATTGAACACGCACGATTTTAAGCCTTCTGATAATTCAAACCTTCTATTCCTCTCCAACACACATCACACATCCGCAACACTCTCAATAACCCTTTGCGTCTTGCTTGGGGTGAAATGATAAAAGAAAAGAAGACATGTCATTCAAGTGATAGGTTTCATACTAGAGTTACAATTCAAGTAAACAAATTATTTACTCTTTGCTGCAGCAACATTTACTCTTGTTGCTTGAAGTAAAGGTTTGGTTTAAAATTCCAAGATGCTTATCAAATATGAAAACAATAACTGAAGAAGACTGGAGGATACAACAGCCTAAACATTGTGCATATAACATCAAAGATGAGCATGAAATAGTCTGAATAATAAAGCATAAAAAAAAAACTATTTCTCAAAAAAAAAAAAAAAAAAAAACATTGCAACATTATTTCCTCTGATAATTATAGATAATTAAAATTTTTCCATTTTTATTCTATGAATTGTACACCTGCTGATGGTTGAAAAATGGACCAGTCAAAACATTGTGTTAACTGCATCAAGTACATAGAGGAGGATTTCAATTGTCCAACCAGATTTTAGAATGTTAGCAACTCTTTTCAAATTTAAAGATTGGTGGCAAGGTCTCATCATTTTACAGTTGTTGATTAAATCCAAAGAAGAATCTGCAATGTTATCAGTCCTGGCATCTCAGTTTCAGTCACTTTCCCACCACCATAATGTAGCTTCCCTGTGTCTTTTCTATAAATATTTTCATGGTAATTGTTCTGATGTTCTCTTTGGTATCTCAACTTTACAAATTTAAGCACAGTACTAAATTGACAGCTAGATCTTATTTTAAAGTTGAAATGGCTATAATAATAACCTTAATTTCTAGGCTAAGTTTCTTTTCTTGCATTTCTTGCTTGTGGAACTCTCTTCCAGCTTGTTGCTTTCCAGTCAACTTTGATCTTCAAAAATTTAAATACAATGTCAATCATTATCTTTTGTCTTGAAATAGGTGTTCTTTTATTGTTCTCTCTCCGTAATAAAGTTTTTTCTTTTTCTCATATTCTTTCACAGTAAGTAGCCCCTTGCATTTTAGTGACTTTATTGTCTTGCTTGAGAAGAAACGAAAAAAAAAAAAAAAAATAAATAAATTTCTATTCTTTGATTTAGATGATAAAACTTCACAATCACAGGTCCTGTAGCTAATTACAGTCATATTGGTACCACATGTTATTGCAGCAGTGGTTATGCTTGGGGTAAAATAGCCTGATGGTTGCAATCACTCTTTGAGATGGTTTTCTAGTCAGGGTTTTCTTTCTTCTAGACTGGTTCACCTACCAAGATAAGAGAGCTGAATATAATCATACATAATAAGCTCTCATGACTTGGTAGGGAAATTGGTCTAGGAGAAGGAAAATTCTGAATTCAAAACCATCTGAGTTGAGTGACTCTCATGACTTGTATTGGGTGAAAATTAGAAAAAAAAAAAAAAAAAAAAAAAAAAAAATTAGCTGAAATGGGCATTGATAATAATCCTGATTATGATGAAGTCCAACTGCCAAACAAGTGGATTTGGTGAAGAGGTGACATTGACTATCCACTCCTATGCCGTCATCAGATCACACAGCAATAGTCAATGAAATGAAAGGCGTCATTGAAAGAGAATGTGGCCAAATAGCAAATGAAGTGATTCATCAGGTTTGCTATTCCAGTGATCTACACTGTGTCTGGAGCAGACCTGTCATCAATTCCAACATTATGATTCAAAATTAATCTGTATTTTTATTCTTTGATTTCTATGTTAAAACTTCACAATCACAAGTCCCATAACTAATCACAGTCATCTGGGTCCCACATGTTATTGCAGCAGTGGTCAGACCTAGGGTAAAATAGCCTAATGTAGACAATCACTCTTGGGGATGGTTTTGTATTCAGAGTTTTCTTTCTCTTAGATTGGTTCACCTACCACAGTAAAAAAGATCATACATAATTAGCTCTCTTGACTTGGTATGGAAATCAATCTAGGAGAAAGAAAACTGAATTCAAAACAATCTACCTTGAGTGGCTCTCATGACTTGTATTGGGTGAACATTAGTATAAAGAAGAATTAACTGAAATGGGCATGTGAAATTCAAATTCTGAGCAAGTCCATCTAGTTCACTTTGTACTATTGCCCTTGGAAAAGGCATGAATATATTTATTTAATCTAGAGCTGGAGGAAGATATATTCATGCCTTTTGCACATGTTATTGCAGACATAACAGCAGAGGTCATGCCATGGGCAAAATAGCCTGATGGAGACAATCTCTCTTTGAGATGGTTTCTAGTCATCTATTATAAAACTGCAGGAAGATAGATTCATGCCTTTCCCAAGGGTATTAGTACAAAGTAAACAAAATAGAATCAATTGAAAATTAAATTTGGCAAAAAAATTTCACTTTTCATGCAGATAATCATCACACTACCCACATATCCATCACTATAAGATAAAATGTCTTTAAAAAGTATGTTTTTATTTTTCAGCTTATCGAACTTTCTTCTTAATTGAGACCAAATATCGACACTAAAGAATGTAGGAAGGTGGTTATTTAAAACAATATCAGTATATACATACCTGTGGGTAATTTTCATGCCGTTTCAAATAAATGGTAAGCTTTTTATAGAATTCAATATGTTCCACACCTACAGAGAAAAATCAGTATTAACCCAAAATATGATTTTAAAAATTGGAAAAATTATCAAAGAATAAAAAAAAAAAAAATGCAGGGAAATTTCTTTCTAGTGTATTCCACCATTTATTAACAACATATATTCCAAAAGTCTCTAAGCAGATTCCTGAAACACAAATAGCACAAACCCCCAGTTTTTTCCTATACAGATCTATGACAAAGTTTAATTAAAAAAAATTAGGCATAAGAGATTAATAACAATGATTAATAATAAAACAGAACAAATAATCTCCTCTATTTTAGATTCTTTATGTCATTTAAAATTCATTTTTTTTTGCTTGGTTTGTTTAATGGCATATCAACTTCTTATGGGTCATTAATATCAAAATTTAATTTTGAGAGCTTCAATAATAATGTATTGCTGGTAAATTATTTTTTACTATGGAAATGTATTGCTGGTATTCTTACTACAAAAATGTATTTCTATCCTTTCATATCATTTTGACACCAGTTTGGGGGTTAACTATTTGCCCATACCCGAGACCCTAAAAACTGCTACCACCCCAGGTCAGAGTGTACCTGGTAAGAACAGCAATTAAAAGGTGGTTCCATGCTTCTCAAAATGTCCCTATCAAAAGCCTTGCTGCCGGATGTAGTTTATAATACCCAAGATGATTTAAAATTCAGTCATATGAGACATGTTTATTTTATATAGTGCACATGATTGCAAGAATATCAAACAAACAACAATGTATTACCAGCAAACTTGAACCTTCGTGCGTGCAAAAAAAAAAAAGTTTTTCCCTTGACACCACTATTATTTGAAGTACCTTCACTCCTCGGTAATGTTTGTTTTAAAAAGCAATGATTAGAATTGTAATAAAACCTAAACATATGAAAGTAAAACATTGGCTAATTGCCAATTGATTCAAACTTTATAAAATGGTAAATAATAAGGATTTCCTTATAGTTGGTTCGCATATTCTAATAATTTACTAAATTTATAAATAAAAAATTATTTTCATATTTATTTCTTTATAAATTGGTAAATGATAAATGTTGCATTGCATTAGTTCTAATTATATTAATTTTTAGAATGTTGTAAATATCAAATTCTTGTAAATAAACAATCTTAAAGTGTTTAATATTTTTGTTGTAAATTCTCAAGAACAAAAAAAATGTAGAAATTCACTTCCTTATGTTTAGGTTTTATTCCAATTGTAATCATCACCATGTGAAGGTAGTTTAAAAAAAAAAAAAAAAAAAACAGTGTCATGGAAAAAACTGTCCTTTTCACAGTGTCTTATTGTGGGCATTTTTGCTGTTTTAATTTACAAATATCTTCATTTATATAAAAAGTACAGAAGTAAATTCCTTTATCAAAACCTTTCTTAGAACATGCGGAATCAGAATATATATATATATATATATATATATATATATATATATATATATATATATTTATATATATGGTTTTTAAATTTAAATGTAGTTTTTGAAGTTAAAATGAGACACTCCTACATTCAATTGAATGCCTTTATATAAGATACAGATAATGGCATCAAGCAAAGGTTGGTGATAATAGTCAATCAGAACTAATTACCAATGTATATTTCTCCAGTATGTGTACTCTTCTGTGTAGCTGCATGAGAGAATACAAAAACAATACAAGCCACACCTTCAAAATAAAACCCAAGAATTATCAGAAAATTGTGATCTGTGCAGAGGCTCTAGAAATCTGATATAGTTGATCAGGTGTAATGGGGGGGTGGAAAAAAAAAAAAAAAAGAAAATTTACTTACAAAGTTCATTGCTATGGTTACTAGCTTTTAACTGGACTCCTGCCTTTTTCAAAAGATTACAAAAAATGCTGCCATCATCATAATCTTCAATAATTTCAACCCCATTCTGCTGCTTTGACGGCAGATTACCTGTCAACAAATTAAACAGACATTATTTTAAATGAAATCATTGCTTTCTGGGTCAAAAATTAGATTTGTATTTGAGAGAATTTGCAAAAAGACTTAATAACTGGAAAGGCATAGACCTTTACTCCGAGAACAAACGGATGGAAATAGATTGCCTTGCCCAATCTCCTAATTGGAAAGAAGTTTTACCAGCATTATTCTTCTTCCACTGTGCTTAGGGTGGAAAGATAAATTATATGAGACTGGCCGCTGAAAAGTTAAATCAACACAAAGACGACACAAGACGCGGTAAACTTAACTGTTTTAGTCAAACTGTTGCTTGATCCATTTTGCTCCCAGCATTTACTAGTGAGACCATAAGTCCTTACAATCATCATAATCAACATTATTGATGTTATAAACAATTCTCAAGATTTAGAGATCATCAATGATGGCAGAAAACAAAATGCTTGTTACAGAATAAGATTAGGTCAGGTTGGTTAATGATGTATTGAACTGTGTTTGGTTATTTAATGTCAAATACAAGACTGATGGCACAAAAACACTAATGAATTAATAGATAGGCAGAAAGGAGTTCAATCGATATACAAAAATAGAAAGGGATGTAAGACAAAAATGTGTCTTCTCACCAGATTTATTCAACCTATACAGTGAGAATTAGAAATTCTACCAGGATTCATTATTGGCAACCACAATCTTAATAATATTAGATATACAGATGACATAGTGTTTATATCAGACACAAGGAAACTATAAGAACTTCTACAGAAGGTAGTAAAGGAAAGCGAAAAGAAAGGATGAAATATCAATTACAAAAAGACTGAATGCATGGTTGTTAGCAAAAGGAAAAGTGTAACAGAGAGAGGTATACACATACACACCCACATGAATGCACACACGCAAATATAACTTTTATTGACCGGAAGTGGAAATGGTGTTTATATATCAAAGTACAATTCAGGTTAAGATGTGTGTTTACCGATGAGAAACACGACCTCAGTCCAGGAGGCAATGTTTTAAATCTGGGTCACTAGTAAACAATGGAGAAGGGCGAGATACTTGGTTTTGTTTAACAGTATTTGTTTTGATTAAAAGGTTGAATCAATGTTTAGATATCCCAAAGTATAATTTTGGTGAAGTGAGAAGAACTCGTGATTGAGATAAGGTAAATAATTGGAGAATCGGTTTATATGTCAAGGGATAGTTTTTGGCACTTGTAGTAGCTGCGTGCCAGGCTGAGGGTCAATTGTGATCAGCTGATCCTTTTTTTATATTAACTCGAGATTTTGCTAATTAGACGAGACTATCATTGCAGTGAGTCAAGAGATTTGCGGGAGAATTTTGGAGGAGAGAAAGAAGACTGCCCCCTGTTCTGAGAAGTCTGTATGAGACGGGACTATTAGTCATAAACCTACCCCAGGCGATTCAATACGCATTTATCACACACAAACCCTCTCTCTCTGTTGGGAATTCACTGGATGCATTTTGTCTTTTTCTTTTCTCATTTATGTTAAATGTTTTTATTCTCCCCGTAACCTCTGTTCTAATGTTATCTTCTTATATAAAAGACGTTAATATTTCCCCCATTGTTGTCTGGCTTCTGCAGATATTATTTCTTGTTTTATTTTGCCACATTCTAAACTTCCTAGTGCCAACTCTCACAGCTGTGTCCACATCCCCAGTCGACCATGAACGTATGGACAACACCCCGCTTACTGGATCTAAAAACTAACACAGTGCAGGCAGCTAGCAGGATTTGACTAGTCGAAATAATCTACAGGTAATCAGGGAGTGTACGGCCAGTTATCCCTAAGTTCGGTTCTGGCCAAGTGGACACCTCAACCCAAAGAGGAAGACGCCGGAGGATGAGGGTCTGGGGACGAAGTGGTAGACAGTCAAACATGCAAATATCAGATTGGAGATACAACATCAAATAGGTACAACAGTTTAAATATTTAGAAAGTGTTTTAACAGAGGACAGAAAGTGCAACACTGAAAACTAAAGGTGCATTTGGATAATGAACGATGATCTTCCAAAAACTAAGTATTAAGAAACAGAAATGTTGTGTTAGAAACAAAGAAAAGAGTATGAACTGTTATGCAATATCAGTTTTCCTATATGGTACTGAATGCTAAACAATCTCTTCACAGATGAAGAGACTTGAAGTAACAGAAACATGGTTCTATAGAAGGATGCTGAGAATACTATGAGCCAAACATATGAACAACAATGAAGTTCTAGAGAAAATGGCAACAAAAAGGACACTTATACTTAACATCAGGAGAAGACAGTTGAAATTATTATTACACATAATGAGGAAATCAGGCTTGGAAAATTTGGACATATTGAAGGCAAGAGGGGCTTAGGAATCCCATGCAGAACCTATCTGGCGAGTGAATGGATGGCAAGCAGGATTTGGGAGAGATAGCTAAAGACAAAATTTATTAAGTGTTACAAAGGACAGGAAATTGTGGAGAACCATGATTGCCATGTCCTGAAGAGACATGGCACAGTGAAGAAGACTCTAGAGTCAAGAAGGTAAACACAAGTGTGGTTGACACAAAAGCCAAAAGCAGACATTTGTCCAGTTTACACTAAGGTCAAAAATGTAGACAGCTTAAATTGAAAAAATAACTTTCTTTTTTTAATTAAATGAATAAATTTTGAAAACAAAAACAGTATTTACACTTAATCACAATTCAATTAAGAAACTATTTCTTTTAGAATTATTTCAGAGCAAAGTTTTTAAACTGACAGTATAAAAGTTTTTTTTTTTGTTTTTTTTTTCAATTGAATCAATAAGTCTAAAACAAAAACAGTACTTAAAGCAATGGTTGGCAAACTTCAATAAGTTCATGCACATCAAATAAATTAAAAAAAGAAAAAAAAAAAAAAAAACGAACCAAGAAAGTTTCTGGTAAGGCAACATTGATGTCTATTTCATGCCTCCACCCACATCCCACTGCCCAATAAAAGAAAAGAGGAAGTGAAAGAAAGAAAGAAAAATAACTAGTAAAAAGTATTTTTAAGAATATGTGCAATGTATTGCTTTTCATGGGAAACTTTAATTGTGTCCCATGGGATGATACACAAATGTGAAGGTTAGTGCATCCTTTAAGAGTTTAATGCATCGGGGATGCAGGACACACACCTATCAGAATCTCTGGACTGGTTAAGCTGTATAACACTTTTTCATAAACAAACATTAGTAAGTTCAACATATTTATCATTTGTGAGCTAAACATGAAAAAAAGTTGGAGTAGGGGTATTAGAATGTGTGACATCAATAGATAAATTAATGTAAGTTTTAAATAACTAAAGAAAAAAATAAGACCCAATGTTATATAAGCAGCTGTAGGTATTAAATAAAAAGTAAAAGTAATATCTACTTACCACTGGCCTGGCATGTGGCATTTTTATCTTTAAGGGTTCGTTTGAATTTTCTGGACAACATCTCAGTAAAACATCACCTTGAAAAGACTATGCAACCTGCACAATAGAAATGTTTTCAAAAATAAACTTCAAAAAATGTATTGCAAAAATTTTTTAACCTGACCTACGAATAATAAGACTTCATCTAACCTGACCTACGAATAATAAGACTTCATCTAACCTGACCTACGAATAATAAGACTTCATCTAACCTGACCTAGACAAAAATCTAATGCAGTAGCAACCTGATCTCCAATATATGCTAATGAGATATTTCATTGTTATGGTGATATCATTTATGTTCCTTTATTTATTTGGGAATATTTTAATACTGTATAACAGATTTACATGTCATAATGTTTTATATTATAAAATAGATACAAATGTATGACAAATTTACTGGAAAAAAGTATTATAAATTATTTCAGTATTAGCTGTTTAAACCACCTGAGATTATATATGTGTGTGTTAAATGTATAAGTAATATATAAGTAATAGTATCAAAAACAAAAGTGAAGATGATGAGTGGAAAATTTTATTAACGACACATTTCACCAGCTTCCAAGCCAAGGAGAGCACAAGCTTCTCTGGTGAAACACATTGTTAATTAACTTTTCAACTTTGTCTCATCAACATCATATATATATATATATATATATATATATATATATATATATATATATATATATATTATAGTTATTTAATGAAATTATTTGGTAATCCATAGAGAGCTCAATACAAAAACAGACCAATTGTAATAATATATTGTTTATCCTAAAATACCAGTATTACATTTTATACAAAATTCAAACAATACATTTTATAGTAGATATTTTTATAGCAAAATGACAAACTATACAACACTAAAAAGGTATAAAAATACATTTTTATAGTAAAATATCAGTAACACAATTTTATTAAAAAATTGCCAACCATACATTTTATAGAAGAATGACTAACAATACATTTTATAGTAAAATGACAATAAAATACAAAAGATGTGTAAAAATACATTTTTATACTAAAATTACCATTAATTGTATTAATAAACAGACAAGTTTAAGGGTTCATGGGATTATAATTTATTTCCTTAAGATCAAAATCCCGGCCCTAAGGAAATAAATTATGTGTGTGTGTGTGTGTGTGTGTGTGTGTGTGTGTGCAAGAGTAGGGGCTAAAAAAAAAAATCTTTCAAAAATAAAATACTTTTCTGAAACATGACATGAGAAAAATTAGTGGATTTAAAGTATAATTAATTAATCTGAACTGAACCAAATATTACTTATTTTAGTTTTAAATATCACAGAAAAGCATTTTTTTTTAACATGGAGATGGGTCTTTTTATAAGGTATTGATAGCCTAATGTTTAGGAAATTTAATTAAGGAGCAAATAACTGTAAGAAATTTAATTCTGAATGAAAAAAATATCCAAAACATAATAAAAACAAGATTTTATCACCAAAATCTTTATGTTATTATTATGAAAGGAGTTTTTGATGTAAAAATTTTTGGTTAAAATCTTGTTTTTCTAGCATCAACATGGGATCATGAATTTGCATAGGAAAACTGAGCATTATTATGCAGTGGAAAACCTTGATTTGGAAATTTCTGCAAAAATCAAATGGTTGTCAAATTTTAATTAAACTTTCAGGATTTATTCAAAAACTAACAAAATCATTTTCTTTAAATATTTCTTTTTTACAAAATCATTTTAATTTTTTTTTTTTAACAGTTACCTCCACTCATTTAATTTTGTTATTTCAAGAAATTCTTTTATTTACTGCTTAATGTTCATATTTGTTATAAGGACAAGACTTCAAAGAATTTAAATAATCAAATTGGTCAAATAGAACACCCAGTTATAAAAAATCTGCTCTGAATCATAAAATAACAAATGCAATAAAAATAAAACATTATTTAATTAAAAAAGCTTTTAATTGTTTTTATGAATAAAATATATTGTGAACACTATTGTATTAAGAAAGAAATTCAATGACTATTGAATTTTTACAAAAATTCATTTCATTTTCTTTTTTAATTTTAATTACAATAATTTATAAACTTTAAATCTTAATTTGGATTGAGCAAGTGATATTGTTATTATATTGAAATGATATTTACCAATCATAAATGGAAAAGCCCACTCCATTTCAATGACCCCAGTATTTTAAAAAGAATTTTGATTTATTTTATGCATATATAAATATGTCAATTTTTGTAAATATGGATGTCCATATACAAGAAAATAAAAAGTACCTGTAATAAATTTTAAATTTACGAGTAATTTTCTAACATATTCTCAACAAGCATCTTTGTAAATTAGGATATAAAATAAATTCAATATTAGATTGCTTAAAATATTTAAAATTTTTAAGATTACTCAGTAGTTAAAAAATTATATAAAAAAGGCATTCATGTTGTATTCAAGTAATTTTTTTAGTTATTGCCTCCCTTAGTAAAATTTTCCTAAGCATCAGACTGTCAATAAATCACTCAACATGTCTTAAAAAAAGATACTTTTCTGAGATAATTTAAACTAAAAGTAATATTTATTTCATTTCAGATTAATTCAACTTTAAATCAGCTAAATTTTCTTAATGTTTCAGAAAAATCTATTTAATTTTGGAAAGATTTTTTTAACAAAGAGAATTATGTTGTAATATCAATATGTACAATTTCATCAATTTTACTGCAAAGTAGTAAACAAAAATTCCAATCAGTTTAAATCGGTTTGAAACACACCAAAGTATTTTGCTTATTAGGAATGTTAAATTTAATCTATTAGCTTGGAATTGAATTTAAAATTAAAGCTTCAAGAAAGATTTTCCATTTTTTAAAATGCATTTAGGTATTACTTTTTTTTTTTTTTTTAGAGGTACCAATTCAATCATGTGAAAACATGGATTTTCTAAAAAAGGAAAAAAAAAAAAAGACATTTTAAACTTTGAAATTAAATTTTGCTTTTATTTGTGAGATAAATGCCTAAAACTAATTTGTATTAAAAGAAAAATTAATTTTCACATGTAATTAAAGATTTTAAGCATTTTTAAAACATTGGCATAGTCAATCTTTACTCATTGATCTGCCATAACAGACAAAAAATGTAAACAACAAATTTAAAAATCTCTTAAAAATACTTGCCCTGAAGATGTTTTGAAGTCATTTAATAAATTTAAAAATCACTTTGCTGGATTTTGTAAAAGTAATGCCTACTTTTTACTTAAAACTTCATGAAAATAATGTTTATTCATGCACAGTAGCCTATAGAAGGCATGTCAAACAGGGCTTAATGAGGACTGCATCAGCCATATCTGCAGCCTCGAGGGCCACACATACCTACTTACAGTCTTACATTAATCATAGCTGGTGATAACTGAACTTTAAATACAAAAAATACTTAGAATACAAGGTAGTACAATTTAATCATTTTTATGTTGTCCTGATGATTGACATCACCTCAGACAAACTATTCTTGATATATCAGGTTGGAATGTCTGTAAATCCCATTTTGATCAAAGATGACAAATGTTCAGTTAATTTGGTTCTGTCAGACGTCTGTGTTGTCGCCTTCATAAACAAAAATAACTGCTCATATGTGGAACCAAACATTGCCTTAATCTTTGGGGCAAACTTTCTGAATTTCTTAAATATCTGAGGAAGGTATGAAAAAAATCCAGGTACCCCCACTTCTAGTTACTTTCCCTTGAGTGTTGAGTCAGTCTGCATTTCCAGTAGTTCTATCTGTAGACTTACCTCTGCCAGAGTAACATCAAAAGTGAATAGTGCTGAGAATAATGCAAACTGATCTTCACAAGATGAAAAATCACAAAATCTTTGCTGAAATTCCATTGTCAGCAATTCCAGGTAATTGTCATACTTAGCAAAGATAAACACAGACTCAGTATTGGCAGTTTTTTTCAACTCCTTGCATATAGGAAAATGAATCAAGTTTTCATGTGACAAATGGGACTTCAATAAAGCTAATTTAGCAATGAAAACCTTTATATCATCATATAACTGAGTGATGAGCTTATTTTTACCTTGTAATTTGAAATTAAGGTCACTTAATTGGGTAGTAATATCCACTGAAAAAGCTAGATCTTGGAGCCAGCTTTCATCTTTCAATTTATCTGTGCTTTGACCCTTGATCTCCAAAAACATAACAATTTTGTGTCGCAATAAAAAAAATCTTTTCAGTACTTTGTGACATGAAAGGCGCTGAAGTTCTGTGTAGAATGCTTTATTGAAATTTGAAGTTCAATGTCACAAGCCCTGATGAAAATGGCAAGCTGTGCTATTCCAGCTATGTCAACAGTCTCATCCAGAGCAATAGAAAAATGTTCAAAACTTTATAATAAAGTGTCCAACTGTCGGCTCAAATCACCTGCCATTTCATCAATCTGTTCAGCAACAGTTTTCCTGCTTAATGAAATATCTTGCAATAAGTGTGACTTCTCTCGACATACAATTTCAGCTGTTTTTACAAGACATCGCAGAATGTTGCCTTTCTGAATTTTTGTAAAGCAACTCTGTTGCTGTGTTAGCTTAACCTTGAATTCCTTCACTTTTGAAACATGCATATCTTCTTCATATTTATCATAAGATCAATGGTTTGTTTCACAATGTCTTTTCACATTATATTCTTTTGGCATAGCAATGCAGCGGTTGCAAATTAACAGTGGTACAAAAGTACTATAATTCTCACTTTTCTTGAAACACACATCCTTCTTCAGATAATTTTTTTCTTTTTACGAGATGGAGTAGAATTCAACATTTTTAAGGCAAAATATTACAAAATTACGAACGTTTTCACTTTACATTTGTTCTTATTTAGTTGTCAAGGATATTCACATGATTAAACGGAAGTTAAGAATAGTTGCTGACATTTGAAAACAAAAAACTTTTGAGATAGAATAAACAATCTCTAATCATACCAATTGTAAAAAAATCTCACTGTTTTTAATAATTTGCATTACCAACATAGACAAAATTCTCGATGTACCACAGCTATAGAAACCTTTGTAAGGGCTGCATGCAGCCCACAGGCCACCAATTTGACACATCTGCCCTCTAGGGTCATAGGTTTAAAACAAAAACTGTACAATTACACCTCTGACTTTAAAGTGTGCAAAAAATAGAAATTGAATAAATACAGAACACCAACAATGCAATAATCAACAAATTGGTATTTATGTTTAAAAATAAATTATCTTTAACTTTATATAACCAAGTGTTAGAATATAATTTTTTATTCTATATGCTTTTATTAAACTCAGAATTAATAATTTCTATACACTAAGTATTTTTTGTTTTTTATGTTTTTTTTTACTTTAAGTCATTGTTTGTTTTTTATTTTTTACATTTGTACCCAATGTGATTTTTTTATAATTAGTCTAAAAATTTAAGAAAATGTAAAATAAACAGAAAATGGGTAATCCGCAAAAGATTGTTAGTTATTGAAATTGAATTAATAATTAATTTTTAATTGAAAATATTGATTGCGTTCACTTTGAGTTTTAATTCACTATGTGACGTACTTCTTGTTTCGTCCGTAATATTGCCGATAATTAATAATAACCAAGACTTTAAGAATACAATATTTTATTTTTCTATATGCAGATGCTGCTATGCTCTTATGAAATTTAATAGAATTGTCAAACGCGAGAAATCAGAATTAGTTTGTTTTTTTGTACATCCATAATTTGACCGTTGCTAAAATGAAAATAAAATTCTTTTAAAAAAATGTTCATTCAAAATGGCATTTTTACATTTTTCGATTCTTCAATCATATCTTTTTTTTTAAAGAAACTCTTGTAACGAACATCAACACGAGGAATTTCAAAATCTCACTGAATAAATTATAAGTAATTTTTTCTAATTTTTTTTTTTTTTTTTTGTAAAATGATTTTTTTTAAGAAAGTCCGTGGCGGTACATAAAAACCCATGGACAATTCGTAAGTATTGCGTAAACATGAAAATTCAAAACAAATTAACATGATTATTTTTTGATTCACAATTATGCCTCAGATCAATTCTCTTCTTACTCTAACAAATAATAAAAAATAAAAAGATTTAAAAATTAAAAAAAGAAAAATTCACTTTTGAATTGTACAGTAAGTTAGAGAATGACAACAATTAATTAGAGAAAAAGAGGAACAATGGTCGTGTGTGAGTTTGATGTTTATTATTTTTATTTTAAAGAAAAAGTGATGTCAACCAGACTTCAAAGAAAAATTGATGTAATAATGAAATAAATAAACAAGAAATTAGTTTAAAAAGAGAAAAAGAAAAAAGCTAATTGTCACTAAAATCGTTCTTTAGCTTTATGCCCTTAGCAAGTCTTTTTCCAAAAATATAAATATTCTAGAGGACTCATTCCCCACGACAACGGTCTACAAATGTCTGTTTAAAAAAAAAAAAGTTCTATACAAATTTCTAGTTTTAAAGTTTTCTTAACATGGAACTTCTTAGTGAAAATCAAAAGCAAAAAACAAACTTAACTTTGGAAAACAAAAGTTTAAAAAATAACTTCTTTCTTAAGAAGACGTTTAAAAGAAAACAAACACAAAAAAATACTAACTAAATTAAATCGAAAATGATATGACTTTTTCTTTTCTTATACGCTTTAAAAAATTAAAAACTATGAGGAAAATAAATTAATGCACCAAATTGTTAAGTGTTTTTACTAAGAAACTAAAGTTTTCTGAAGTTCAACTGACAAAAAAGGGGAAGAAAAAACAAATAGCATGTCTTTGGAAGTAATTGGTGTTGTTATTGTTTCACTCAGTAATTTTATTGACGTACTTGTTTTGCTTCAATTACTTGTTGAACAGAATAATTTTGAAAAAAGAAAGACGGGGCAAAAATGCTGGGTCAGTTTGAGTGTTTTTTTGCTAAAGTTTCGCTAGTGCGATCTTTGGAGATTTTAAGCATTAAATAATGTATAAGATAATTACTTCTCCCTTTTATTATTCAAACCATTCAAAGAAGAAAACAATTAGTCATCGACAAATAAGTTAAGAAACTTACGTAATGGTTTCAAACTGGTGTATATGAAAGCACGTAGAAGAACCAATATTCCCGCCGAATGACGTCACATTCAGTGCGGACTTGATATTTTTTTTTTTGAATTGGCTGTACCTAATCTTAGTTTTTAAAAAGCATATTGTTCAAATTTTTAATTAAGTAATCCATTAAAAAATACATGAAAAGGCAAAGGGCGACACAAGACAAGAAAAACACTTTTTTTTTTTCAAACGTTAGTTGGTGAATTTAAAAGGGCTTATTTGAATGTTCTTTTTATTTTAATTTTCACATTTTTCACTTCACTATACACCCCATGATAAAATAAACCTTTAATTTACGACCCTAAGTAAACATGTGAAATTTATTATTATATCATTGCATCCTTAAGAAAAACTGGTAATTGAACTTAAATGGTCTCAACATGAGACTTGAATATCTTTTAATCATTTTTTTAAAATTTTTGTTGTAAAAATTGAAGTACTGTAGCTACTAATTTACACTGCATCATACCCAGATGCTAGATACAAGCATCAAACTTTACTGCGACCGACACAAAAAGAAAAAAATAGTGCTTTAGCTTTGAAATTGAGTTGGGATTGGGACCGTATTAAACCCAAAAATTTTTTTATGTCAAAATGTCTATCACCAAAAAATGTCCTTAAGTCAGAACAGATAAAACAACAAACCGAAATACTTTTAGCTACATTACATATGTCATCAGAACGAAATGAGAAATCATTTTTTTTTTTCAGACATGATGACTATATAGTTGAGTTTCGATCCGGAACATTAATTAAAAGGAAACCTTTTTGCCTATAGACCGTTATGTAATTTTGCTTTGCACTTTGTTTTAGAAACAGCATGTTTCATAAGCCTTAAAAAGGTTCTTTCGAGTTTCATTTATTTTTAGTGAATTATCTTTTACTGCAATATTATCATATTAATTCATGTTCAAAGTAGCTTTAATATAAAATAATTGAACAACTGCTGGCTTTTTGGTAGACAAAAAAAATCATCTTTCACCGGTTTGTGAATGTAAACAGAAACGTTTAGGTGAAATGGCGGTAAAAGGTGAGTTTGAATTCTTGCAAAAAAAAAAAAATCACCACTATTCGTCTTGATTTTTAAAACCGTCTCTGCTTTCAAACAACGGGAGTAATTCCTTAATTTTAATCTAGAAACATATAAACTTATACGCACTAAATCACGCTTGGAAAACACGGTTAATTCGTCAATGTGTTTCTTGAAATTGTTTTAAAAATCGCTCTGTTAAAAAGTAAAAATAAATAACAAAGTTTTTGATAATGCAAATCACAGGTGTGATCTAGCATATTTTTAAAGACGTCAGTGTTTTAAATTTTACAGTTCATGAATCAAAATTTAACAAAAACGGAGCATAGGATTTTAAAATTTTAAAAATGGTTTCCGATTGTTTTCCATTTTTCAAACAACCCCACAAATGGGAATAGGTCTAAAAATAATGTTAAAAAAATTCTATCCTGATTGTATTTTTTTTTTATCGTCCAATTTTAAGTAGACTTATCCATCGTAAAAACAGTGAAAAACGCTTTTTTTTAAATAACTTTTTTTTTTTTAGGTCAGCATTTTCAAACTTTCTTTAGATGCTACACTTGTTATGATCGAAAAATATTGATTAGTCATCGATTTAGAAGGGAGAGCTCTGTTCATAATAGCAATAGTGTAAAATCGATCCCTGTCTTGTTAACCAATTAAGCGCCGATAACTTTGTTTACAAATATTACGTTTGAAACTGTGCTAATTTAAAATAAAATGTTTCCTTATTTTTATGAGTGGACCAGTTTTTTTAAGAAGTTCTTTTTTTTATCTGATCCTCATCTTTTTTTTTTTAAATCCATTATCCTTAAAGCATTTTTCTGGATTTGATTAATTTATATATACTTTTGTTTACTTGACTTTGTACTTACTTTGGAATGAGAGCTATATACACTTTTCCCGACTATGGCACTTAAAATAAATTTTTACTAAAAAATCCACTTAATTAAATTAATCCTTAAATAAATTTAATAATAGACCTTGAAGTACATCTCTAAAACAAATATTGGATTTTAAAGAGATTTTTAATTTTAAATAAATTTGTTTACATTTTTCGTATACAATGGGGGGTTGATTAGTCGACGGATAAGTGACGAAAAAACGTGCTCTACGGTTTTGATGTCTAAATTTGATGCAAGAAAAACAAAAATTTTAATCGAAATTTTAAAAGCTTCTAAAAAAAAGTATTAAAAATATAATTTAATTTTTAATAATTAAAAAAATACTTTGGTCTTTCCTGACAAAGATTCTGACGATAAAAATCTGTTTTTAAGTTTCTGTTTGTGGTATTTTTCATCATGTTATATGTTCACTTTTTTCTTTTTTAGTGAATGTACGTACCTCCACTGATTCGCTAAAAAAAATGAACATACCAAAAAAAATGAAATACCCAAACAAAACTTTTTTTTTTTTTATCGTTTCAGAAAGTTCAAAATTTTGGTTAAAAAAAATCTTGTATCTTTTTTTGCGTCATCAGAGAGGGGAGCAAAGATTAGTATAGGAAACTTTCGTGTTCAACGTGTTTTTTTTTTTTTTTTTTTTTTTTTTTTTTTGTTTTTTTTTTTTTTTTGTTTGTTTTTTTAGGTGAAAAAATCATTGGTTTGGAGATTCTTACAAAAATCAAATAATTGTCGGATTTTAATTAAACTTTCAGAACTTATTCACAAACAAATGAAATTATTTTATAAATGTTTCCTTTTTTTTTTTTTTTTTTTTTAGAAAAGTTTCGGATTTTTTTTTTTACATTTGTTATTTCCCCCACCCCATTTATTTAATTTTATGAAATTTCGAGAAATTCAGTTTTGTACCGCTTAATCTTAGTTGTTTGCAGAAATTCATCAATAAATGAGTGAGGAAGAACATGAAAAAAATATTTTTACAAAGGTTCTCTCAAAAAGAAACATCCCGAAAATAATTTCAATTTCTGAATATGTCCTGAAAGTTTCATTAAAATCTGACAGTTATCTGATTTTTGCAAGAATTTCCAAATTAATGTTTTTCATCTCAAAAAGACACTCAAATTTCCCATACAATTTTTCTGTCCTACTTAACCAAAATTTCCAGGTTTTTAAAAAGGATTTAAAAAACAGTCGAGGAAATGAAAAGCCTTTGTGTAAAATATGGAAGTGATAATCTTTTTCTTTTATGGGTGTCTTAGTGGAAATGGAATGTGCTGTTTATTTAGCTTAAAAGGTCACACAAAGTGCAGCTTTTAAACTAGCTCCTGTGAAGGGCTAACTAACTGGGTCTTAAGCCCCAAATTAAAGGGACCTCCAGCTTAGAAAACAGCAATGATAATTTTGAAGAAATAACTTTGAATTACTCAGATCACTACATGGAATTTCAAAACCCCACTTTAACTCAGATTTGGGATACAAGTCCAATTCCAGCAAAAAGACCAATTTTGGCTAAAATTCCAATTCAGACCAAAAATTGAGTTCTCCAAATTACAAACTCTGCAGAAATTCAAAACTTCACAAGATGAAACCTCTCACTTTAACTCTGATTCCTTGGCATTTTGAAGAAATAAAATTGATTTTCTCAATTCACAAAGATTTGAAGATATTTTAAACTGAATTTGAAACAAAGATTTTTAAATTCATGAAATTGTTGTGTTCCTTTAAACTCCATATGAATTAAAAACTTTTAAAATCACTAATTTTTTTTTCAATTATTTTAAAATTTGAATTTTTAACTGTATCCCCCACCACATTCCCCTCATCTGGACACATATCCCAATGCTGGATGTTCAAGCATCAAATGAATGACAAATTTTCAATCCCGGAGTCATCCTGATTCCAAGCAGGTACAACGTGTCTGTGTAGAACAAGTGTAACCTGAGTTAGAGGGGTTTCAGACAGACAGAATTTGCCATTTATTTATTTATTATTTGCCATGAAAAAAGGAAAGTACTGTGACATTTTAAAGGTGAATCTGCCAGGTGTGTTTTTCCAACATGTTAAAGATCTTAAACACATAAGTGCTCGGGTGAAAAATTGGCTTAAAAATAACAATCTGAGCCTGCAATCAATTTTTCTTCCTATTAGAAATAGTCCAATTTCTTTCTTTGGACAGTTTAAAGCTTTGAAATTAAATTTTCAAATTGTAACAGATTGAAATTGCTTTTCTTTTGTGTTGTGCCTAACAAAAGACTGGAAACTGGCAATGAATGATAAAATCTTTGAAATCCAGATGTCATGACTCAATGTTAACACATACTGTGCAGTGTCAACTATAACAAAGAAAAGTTTGTAAAGAAATGTGTTTCTATTAAATTTCAATTATTTCTTGATGGAAAACTGGCAGGCCAATTTTTCTTTTGAGATGTTAATTTGATTAAAATAAGTCTCAACTCATTTTTATTAATTCTTGGAAGTCATCTCACAGTCATGGATCAGTGGGATTATACTAGCTTGTATGTACATTATAGTTGCATGCTGTTTTGTCTAATTAATTGTTACTTTTTATTAACCTGAACAGCAGGTTCAAGTAAATAAATTGTAGTAACTTGAAGCAAATTCAAATCTAATAAACAATTATTTTAGATCAAATAAAAAAACTTCTTTCAAACTAAAATCTGTAATTCAGTCATAAATGGATATGCTGCTATTATTTTAAAAGAAACTCCTTTCTTGCACTTATTAACCAATCACAACTCTCAAAAATAGCTTATCTGATCTGTCTAATCTTTATATAAGAAACACTGTCCATCAATAGCATCAGAGTCTGTTCATTGTTTGTTCATCTCTTTGAGCTAGGTGGGGCACTTTGACATGGTGTAATGCTTGTCTCACTAGATCATTTACAGCCGAGTAGTGAGTTCGATCCTCACTGTGTGCCCCATACTTTTGGCTTTGTGTCACATCTATGCTACATTTAGAAAATTATTTGGACTCTTCAACATGGCATAATGGTTAGCAAGTTTGTCTTGCTAGATCAATTACAACTGAATAGTGAATTTGATCCTCACTGGTGCCCTATACTTTTGGCCTTGTGCCACATCTAAACTACACTTACAAAATCACTATAAATGTATGTAACTATAGAATGTGAGTTATTCCCTTTGCAGTTTCATTCTTCCAAGAAATTATGTATATATCTTTAGCCATGAGACAATAATTATTCCCCTTGAAAACTTAACTCTTCTGATCATAGAAGAGATGTTATATTGCCGAGGAAAGAAGATTATTCCCCTTGGATTGTTACTTTTCCTGAAAAAACTCTGTTGGTGCCAATCCTGTTTGGAATGACTGCAAAAACATCCTCCTCCCCAAATTTATTAGTTCTGGACTAAATATTCTGTATGCAATTTTATGCTTTCAACAACAGATATTTTGTATTTAATTTTATACGTTCAGGACAAACATATTTTATAGATATATAGTTTGTAAATGATAAAATGTATTGCTGGTAATTTTATTATGAACATGTATTTGTATACTTTAGTGCAGTATTGATTGTCATTTTGCTATAAAAATGTATTACAACTGGTGTTATATACTTTACCTATGAACACTAATGGGTATGTCTCAATCCTCATGAATATGTTGGACACTATTGTAAGTGGGGGTAATATGCTGTCTAAGTAGTTCACCACTAGCAGTGGTTTACCTACTTCACACTGCTGGCAAGCATTGTATTTTGTTGATTTTATAAAGATTATCATTTCATTTCCAACCTTTCATTTTCGTTATTCCTCATTCAGTAACCCTTTCTAGGTTACAACAACTGGTTATTTTGTTATAAATATATTGCTGGTATTTTTACCATGTTATATTTTTATACTTTCTCAATGATCCACCAAACAAAAATCAAAACACTATTTGCCCATAGCTGGGACCCTAACAGGTGCTACCACCCCAGATCAAGATGTATCTGGGAACAACAGCAATTAAGAGATGGTTTCATGCCTCTCAAAATTTCCAATCTCTCTATCAGAAGCCTTGTTGCCAGATGTAGTTTATCATCATACCCAGGACTAACTAATACTAAGAAAT